CAAGTACACACACACAAACACACACACAACTAGCCATCACGCAATAAGTAAATGTTGATTTTCTCATGTCTACTAGGAAGCCAGCTAACCCTTCTCGACCAAAACTATTGTTGAAACCCAGAAAAACAGACTGTAAGCAGTGTAGCTTCACCTTTCTGTGTGAAGGCAAATGGATTTTACATGTTATAATCTGGCATTCAATTAACCATTAATTTTGTGTTAATTGAACAGTTTTATCAATAATGTCAAACTGCCTCAAAACACTTCACATGGAAGTGCTGTCAAGTTTCGTGACTGTGTATTTGAAGCAAACAAGGCGACCAATTTGCACACAGCATGGACCCACAAACACCGATAACACAACAACGCGTATTTATACAGCACCCTCACACAGGGTAGCATCCCAGAGCGCTGCATGCAAAAGGCCGATTTATCTGGAGAATCTTGGCCAGGACACAGGAAGAAACACCCTTCCCTTTTCTTGAGCTTCTCCCAAACCGCTGGCTAACAATCTTCCAGATAAATTGGTCTCATGGCTGTTTGTTTGTGAGGACTTGCTGTGCGCAAATTGGCTGTCGAGTTTGCCTTACAAAAGCAGTCAGCGGGCTTGGTAGCAATTGCCTTGAAACATTTTGACCTGAAGAAGCACAATAAAAAAGCAGTTTCTTTTTTTCCATCATCCTGCAGAAAAAAAGGAAATATGTACATCTTGCTTTGGGTATTGGGAACACGCTCCAATCAGGCTGCATGGTAATAATAATAAAATAATAATCCTTGCATTTGATATAGCATCTTATCACGTTGTTGAGATGCCTAAACGTGCTTCGCTTTGGTAACAAACACAGAGGAGCCTTGTAAAAATATTTTGCTTTAATCCCACTTAACATCCCCTCAACTCAGAGCCTTGAAGCTAGTTCCCTTAATCAGAAGAATTAATTTCTCTGTCTCTTCATTTACACAGGGACTCTGTCTTCAATGCAAACAGGAAAATTGGATAATTTGTTGTTTAAATATTTAAAGAAGAAAAATGTTAAGCTTGGATACCCTGGCAAACTGCCCAAACATGTCTAAACAAACAGGGAAAAAAAACCCACTGTAAATAACGTTGCTTTTAAACATCAGCTAAATGCACACTTCAATACTGCTTTTACAAAGTCTTCTGCAAAATTACTGTAACTAACAAGCAGAAATTTATCAGCTTCAGCTAAAATCAATTGCTTAAATCAATTCGAACATTGCTGGTGTGTAAGAGGCCCACTGGCAATTTAGGTAAATTACACCATGTTAATGCTTTCGCGTTAATTGAACAGTTTTATCAAGCAGACTCTGAACGCTGTCCACACAGTTTACATGGAATCTGTCGAAATCTAAACATAAACACATGCTACGTCCGTCCGGATGAAAAGCTTTTGTTTAAACGGCAGTCGCTTGAACCTCCGCAGCTCAAGGAAATGCCTTGAAAAGACATCACACTCTATACGTCGGCCCATAACAACAACAACTTTATTCCCCCCCCCCATTTATACAGCTCTCCTCATGCAGAACAGCTTCCCAGAGCGCTTGACAGTGGTGAAGCACAACGCCGAGCCGGGGGGAGGTGGCCGTAGGCACGGTCGAAGAGGAAGGTCTTCAGGCACGACCGGAAGACGGGGAAGGAGGGGGCAAGACAGAGAGATAGAGACCAAATGTCTCCCGAATAGACAGAATACATAAATACAAGACTCCCGCTTTGGCTTGTACTTGTAATAAAACTCTGCACGAAACGTGGGGGGAGGGTGGAATAAAAAAAATCTAAATCGAGAAATGCTCCTTTGTTTTTTTTTAAGATGCCCACATTTAGGGGTCTCAAATCCGAAGCGATTTTACTCCCGGGAAAGCAATCCGCCAATCGACTTGTTGCAGAGCAAACCATTTTAAGCTTGGCTCAGTTTCTGTCTCTCTCCTTCTCTCCTCCTCCTCTTTATCTGAAATGGAGGAAACCTTCAGGGAAATAACCCAGTCCACCTGATACTAAAGTACTTTGGAACAACTAGGCTGGGGACGAAGGCTGCTGTGTGGCTCCCAAGCTGTGGATGTGAAAAATAATCAAAAATACATTTTTTTTAATACTTTCTCATGCGGCTGCATGACGCAAAACTGGGTGATGGGGTCTGGGTGGTGTGTGCAGCGATGCTATGCTGTTCCTTTAGTTTTGGTATGTAGGTGTGAGTCAGTCCCTTAGAGAGAAACGATGGAGCCTCTCATCACTAGCAGCAGCTAAAGGTCTGAAGAGAAATTAGTTTGTGGTATTCCTAATTGAGTTGCCAGCGTGAAACTTGTCTTTCCACCTATCGAAGTGAAATTGATGAGTTCGGGCTGGATTCAGGACAGACAGCACGGGGAATAGAAAGGGTCAGGCCTGTGCTGAAAAGCTTTCCATCAACGCTCGGGCTGCAGATACAAGGCGACCTGTATCTTGTAACCCACGTCCTATCCAATTCCTGAAGCCACAAAAGCCACCAAAAATAAATATGGAAACTTTTCGCTTGCGATAAAAAAACCCAACAAGCCACAAGATCCAACCTACAAGCCCTTGAGCTGCACAGTAAAGGCAACACCCCTTCCGAGCCAGAGAACACAGGCTCTGTAAGAATTAATGACAATATTACAGCGCACACATGTAAATTATCACTTAATGACCCGTGCCAGGCAAAGTGCGCCAGAGTGATTTAAACCCGTCAGGAACAACACAACACCGCACTCAGCCGCACCTCACTGAAGGCATTTGTTTGCTCATGAAAGTGACCATGATAACTTATATGCACCAGTGGACCTCACGAGTTATGGATGTTTCACGTTTGCGATAGAAACAGTATGTTAAGGGCAACAAGAATAAAATAAAGCCAATAATAATCCCATCCAACTTGTTCCACATTCAACCGCCTGGTACTGTATGCAGCAGATCACACAGAACTGAGGTGAAATACTTTGATATTATTCTTATGTGTGTGTGTGTCAGACTGACTCATTCTCGCCTGAGTCAGAAGGTTGTGGGTTCAAGCCCCAGGTCGGGAGTTTGAGCTCACAGTCCTGGCTGATACTCAAATCCATGCAGTGCTGGTGGGGGGAGAGGGGCTGCATGGTGGGAGGTGCCATCAGACATTAAACTGATGTCCTATCAGCCTGTCCAGGTGAACGTTAAAGATCCCATGGTGCTTTTCTAGCAGTAGGGAGGTTTTTTTGGTATCTTGGCCAACAATCCCCCAAATAAAATTGTCCAGTCACTTTGTAGCTCTTTGTGGGACTTTGCCGTGTTGTGTGCCAACTGTTCACCTACAACCTACACGCTCTAATTTGACAGTAAATGCTGTGAAGCGCTTTGAGACATCCTCCTGACGTGAAAGGGACTCATGTATCGTAAACGCGAGGATTACTGATGGAGGCACTTAAGATTGTCCAATGGGTGTGGGGGGGGTGTCTTTCTGATACTCTGCATGGAGCCACCTGCCTCCAGTCTGCATTGCTCCACAGCAGAGCGGCTGAGATCAGCAACTCCACCACGTGGGGAGAGGCACATAGTGAGATTACAGCTGGCGTGGGCAGACCGGAACAACAGCCGAGCCTGCTGTTGTGTCGTGCACTGTCTCAGGCCTGTTGTGTCCCTCCCTCTCTGTTTTTAAGGAGACCAGTGATATCACTGGAGATCCAAATAATCACTTAAACCAACAAATCCCCCACTGTAACACGCAGCCCCTTTGCAAACCAATCTTTGAACTGCAATGTGCATTTATTTGCATAACAACTGCTAATGTGCACATCATACTCAAGGGCATGTTTATAGTCAAGACAACAAAGCAATTAAAACTACCTCGGCCCAGATTACACTCAGAATGCAATGCACTCGGAAAGCACTTAATATTCAGGTTATTAACTAAAAGGAAGATTTGTTCTAAATTCTAAATAGGCCTCCAATGGATGTTTGTGCAACAGAGACTGGAAGCATCACACACCTGCCCCATTATCCAGGCACACAAGCAGACATGCACTCAGCCTGGCACAGTGATGGATTTCAGCTCGTGACTCCGCTCAACAACGACAACAGCAACAAAATTATATTTATATAGGGCCTCAAGATAATAATAATCCCTGCATTTGATACAGCACCTTATCACGTCTTCGAGACGTCTCAAAGCGCTTCACAGGATATACTGTAAAGTGAACTGACTGTATATTTTGTGAACGAAACGTGGCAGCCAATTGCGCACAGCAGCGTCCCAAAACAGTATATCCTGTGAAGCCCTTCGATACTTCTCAACGATATGATAAGGCGCTATGTCAAATGCAAGGATTATTATTAAATGACTGAAGTTAAATTCGCATAATGCTACAAAGTTTGCTCTTGCTTTGGGTAGCATGAACTCCCCCTCTCCTCTTCTCCCCCCTGCTCCCTTCACCCCACACCCAAACTTGGGTCAAAAACACATGAGAGCTTGTAAGTGATTTGAGCAATTGGGAGTCTGAAGCGATGAGGAGACAGTGTGAGGAGTGGCGATTATTTTTTGCAAGGAAAGAGAAAACAAAGTAATTCGATCCCTGCAATAAAATTTAAGTGCTTGTAAAAAATAAATAAATGGGAGTTGATATATAAAAGTTAGATGTGCAATCCAGAGCAGACAGCCTCCCTTTAAGCCAAGGTTAGCGCAAGCAGTGATCAATACCTCAATCTCAATAAACTATTTCAATAATAGTTGATTCAGGTGGAAACAGGAGTTGAAATTTCTGTTCGGCGACCTGTGTCACCTTGTCATGTTTGCTGAAAACTGATAATACATCATAGCTGTAATGGAAATGACTGAGTGTGAAGTGTACATAGAAAGGCACCCGTGGAATCGCTTTCATTCCTCAACATCAAATCAATATGATATGCATGCCTTCAGCCAAACCTGCGTGATGGATGCAGGGCGACATTAAAAAACCCTTTACCAACACACTCCGTGGTAATAGGCAGAACAGATACTCACTTGTACACAGTTCCCCCATTGCCGTGACCGAGGATGTCTCGATACTGAATGTCCTGTTCGTTCATCTGAAACGAGAGAAGGGGAATGGGGGGGGTTGGGTTGGGTAAAAGGAGGGAGGGAGGCAGAGGGAGATTTGAAAGTCAGTAATGTCAGACAGTGTATAGAAATGTCAAGGAAAAGTAACTCAAGGCCATAAACAACAAGCATTCAGGTCATTTCAAGTTCAGCAGCAAGTGGGAAAAGATCAATACAACATTTGCTGTTCAATTTATAAAAGACAATACCAAGGGACAAAGTGATGGAAAGTTTAATGACAATTTGTTTGCCTGGGTCATTTCATTAATGTTTGATAAAAGATGTCAAAACGCAATGATATAACATGGCTTAGATGGGTCAGTGTGAGGAAACTAAATTGAGGGGAGGGAGGAAAGGGGAGAGAGGGAGGGGAGAACGGAGTTGGGGGGGAAGGAAAGGGGGGGAATGAGGGAGGGGATGTGTGTGCATCACTCATACCCCGAGGCCAATACAAAGTCAAAATGAGAATTGGGTAAAAACAATGCCATTCTGCCTCAAAACTGAAACAATTTAATTTAACTGAGAATGGCTTCCGTACTCATTACAAACAAGTAGGAACGCAGCCATCCCTCAAAGTGCACGTCAGTCCTGTCAGACTCTGTCACGTTCAATGCCAGTCACGCAGAAACAAGAGACAGGTGCAGCACAAGTGGTAATGTCAAAGACTTTGATCGTTGCAGCAACTTCGGAATAGAGCTGAGAAATAATCTCTACCCGCGGTTTGACATCCAGTAAAAATAATAGTTAAGACGTTTAATATGAAACGGTGGGGGGCGGGGGAATCTCTCCCCCTAATCTCTGCCTCTTTTTCTCAGCCTCACTCGCTCCACTTCACTTCACTCCTGTCTTGACAGTGATGTGGCGCAACACTGAGGAGTCAATTGATGGGTCTATAGGAGACAATGGGAGTTTGGATGCACACTGATCGCTGGGTCCTTTCCGCTAAATCTGTGCAATGGCAAATCCCATTAGAAAGACTTAAAAGAAACAGGTGGCATTTTTAGCGCTCAGTCTGTACTGGAGCCCAAATATACACAACATTGTTTTTAATACACCTCACCACGCTGCCTGTCATCGCAGGTCTCTCTCCCACTCTCCCAGCACTGGGAGGTCGCTCAATCTCGGAGCTTTTCATGGGCTATTATTCCTGCCGCGCACGGTTTGCAGCTATTCGACGGAAGCGAGTTTAAGGCGTTCAATCCATTTGCCACTGGGATGTTTAAGCAGCCTGGTCCCCGCACTGCGAGTGCATTAAACCCCCAGGCAATGCACAGAAGAGGCAATATTTGCAACAAATTGCCAGCATCATGTATAACCCTCCTGGTGCAGACACAAACTCCCGATTAGGTTTCTGAACGTTCAAGCAATCACTTTCACCAGATTTTATCAGAAGTGCAAACCCCTCTAATAATAATAATCATCATCCTTGCACTTGTTACAGCGCCTAATCACATCTTCGAGACTTCTCAAAGCGCTTCACAGAATATGCTGTAAAGCAAATTGACTGTATATTTCGTGGGTGAAACGCACCATATTTTTTGAATATGTTGTGGGTGAAAGCTTGTGCATAATATAAACGGGAATGGCAAAACACTTTGCGATTTCAACTTCATTTTTTTAGAAAGGAAACATCTTTAGATTTACGACTTCCAGATCAAATTACTCGGAACGCCAATTACTGCAAACTCTTAATCTGATTTACAAAAATAAAAAAAAATTGGACCGTGATTCTGAAGTGATCTTTTGTTAGGAGATGCATGTGGAACAAACGGTCCCTGATAAAACTGCAACCTCTTTATTCACTGCAGTAACCATTTCACCCGAGTATTAATGTTATCAATTCAAGCGATTTAGCAAACGCCGCTTTATACAGTAGCCGTAATCCAAAAACTCTATGTGGTCAAATGCTTCTTATGAACCCGTGACACTTTATCAATACTCAATCAATGGCCGGCATTACTCGTGAGTGACAGATATGAAATAAATATTTATATCACATAACCTATGTCAATGAAACACAGCAGAAAGCTATTTTCAACCTGTCGATAGCTGATTTTCCCAATGACAAGCGGGAGGATCATAATTTTAACTTTTTTTTTAACACCTAATATGAAGTCAATATTGAACTGTCAGTGGTAATTTTGTTAAACTACCAGGTAGCACATTTTTAATGCTTGGTTATATTATGTCCTGAATTGATTCCGTGGCAAACAAACAAGATTGGAGCATTGCCACTACTATCAAATGTCAAGGGGACATCCCTCCATTAGGCCACTCTGTTACAGGTGATATCAAGGGACAAGCGTAAAGAGCTGGCTGGTAATTGTCTGCTTGACACACACCACTTGAACAACTTGATTCATGAAATGCCAGCAAGGCTTAGCCTGTTCCCTTCACACAGAATGAATACACATCCAAGATGATTAACTTTTTATCCTAAAAAGTGTGAAGGGGATGTGAACAGCAGTTAGAAAATCAATAAGCATCTTTCATTTGCCGTGACACAGATGTCTCAGTCAATAGAACCTAATAAGGAAGCCTGATCACACTGGACAGCAAGCCCCCCCACCCCACACACACACACCACTCCGGGAAGCTCTTTAAAAGATGTTGTCGTCCTCACTCGGACACTTTAAGCACTGTTCTAATATATTTACAGTGGCCACTGGAATTACACACGCAAAAAAATAAGTGTTAACAATTTGTCATTAGATTGCACCAAATCTAGGGTATTCTAACCCTCCTGAACAGCGACTCTACTGACCCCGGTTGAAACAGCACAGAGAAACTAAAAAGACCAATTGTCTCGGAGAATCTCTCACCAAGACAGCAGGACGAGAGGGCACGGGTTCAGGGTTGCACAGGGGCAATTTCAGGACAGACGTTTACACAGAAGAGAATCGACAGATGGGAATAGTTTACCACAGAAAGGGTGCTTGCAGGCAGGGCAACTAACGTTTAACACAACAGCTTGCTGTGTAATGGGAAGACGGTGGGATGGGTATTCTGGAAGAATGAGATTTAATGGGCCGATGGATTAGGCCCTTTGCATCCGTACCTCTCTCTCTCTCTCTCTCTCTCTCTCGAGCTTGTGATAAATCAGCACAGCATCTCTGTGGCCAGCAGACACAGTGTGCTCCATGTCGGCAGTGAAGCGACAATGGGCTGAAGCTAAACCCGCGACCAACATGTACAGTGAGCGTCAGATGAGAAAGGTTTCAAATCGAGAAGGCCCGAAAGCAAAACGCCAATTGGATCTGAAGAGGAAATTGTGGTGAGCGGAATGCTGTAACCTAATCACAAGATGGGTCTGCAGCAAGAAGGCCCTTCGGGCTATCTGATCTCATCCCTCCAGAACACCCATCTTACCATGTCCCCCATCAAGCTGCTTTTCAAATGAGTCTCATGTCCTGGTTTCTACCACCTCGCCTGGCAACTCTGTTCGTAACCGAGAAATCAGGTGGTAAAGAAACCCTTGCCCTCCCGTATACGTGATTGGCAGTGACTTAAAGGACCGGGGTTGGATGTGAGATGGAATTCTGTGTGAGCATCGATTTTCTAGGGTTGTGAGGATGACTATGTTTTAGCTGGACCACACCGATCTGTTCAGAAAGAGCTGAAACCATGTTTAAAAAAGGAAATGGAAACATGTCGCTCTGCGAATTATTAGTTTTTCACTAATTACAAAAAGTTTTACACAAATAAAATAATGTGAATAGTGATGTTGCTTCAATTGCTTTTAAAATCAACATTTGTCTGAGCACCGAAATAATAATTATAATAATCCCTGCGTTTGATACAGCATCTTATCACATCTTCGAGTCTCAAAGCCTTTCACAGGATATTGTGTAACGTGAATTGACTGTACATTTTGTAGGCAAAACGTACCAGCCAATTGCGCACAGAAATCCGTAGGCAGGATTCTGTAGTCACAGTGCTCAAGCCCTATACAGTTCTGTGTAGCGTATAAACTCACACAATGATTTTTTAGGAACAATGAAAGACGACCCTATGTGCTTATTGACACGAAGAGGAGTTTCCAAAAGGTCACGAGAGTTTGTCATGCAATAATACAATTTGGTTCTGACACTATGCAGAGCCCGTCTGTGTACAGTACAGCACAGGCAGGAAACCATGAAATGGTGGGATATCAATCACAGTAACTACACCCTCAAACATGTCCACACAACTCACATTCACTGCAGTGTTCACGTGGGCAACAAGGGGAGAGAGAGAGAGGTTTTTCTCATGTCTGGTAATGGTTGACACTGTGTCGTACAGACAAACACCATTAAAGTTTCTTTTAAACCCGACAAGGTCAAGGCAGGTCAGAGGTTTTCAGCCGGAGTGACCACTGCTCAACACAACAGTGTAGAGGTAAGTGACTCCCATTGAAAACTGCTGGGATGGTATCCATCTGTCCAGGATTCCATCAGCGATTACTACTGAGCCATCCATTGGGGGCTGAACCTTCAACCATTCTTGCCTGCTCTCTGCAGCTTTTCTACCCAAATCTCTTTGCCTTGTTTCCTCTCTGCTCAGTGCTCTCCATTGTATTTAGTGAACGCTTCCAGAGAGTGGGAGATGCGAGTTGGTGTATATCAGCCCCGTTGGTCTAGTACACCAGCAGCCGACATTTTTGGTCGGCTAACAAAATAAACTGTCTTGATCGAATATTTCTTGATTTATGCCATGAATCAATCAAGAAAAAACAGGAAACAAAACATTGATTTCAAGCAGACTCATCTAGACTAGTGCGAACATTTGGTGGGCCACATTCGGCCCAGGGGCCACGAGTGGGCCACCACTGGTCTAGTGTGTACAGCCTCGGCTCACGATCTCCTCAACAGCCTGACTGAGAGGGAGACTTTGCCATGGTTGGAAATGTAGGCATTAATCTACACTGCACCGCTCCATGGCACAGCACATTGGCACTCAGTCATGCTGTGCCACTGCATCACCCAGCTCCGAGAGCAAGTGCTATTCAGCACTTAATTAGCCGAGGTGTTCTACCCAATCTGACCGGTAGGCATGAACTCGTGACAGGATCTCCCTCTCTAATCCCTCACTTTGCTGAACGCTAATAAGTTAAGACTGTAATTTGAATGTGAAGGCAGCACCAAGAGCGCTCACCAGCAAGCTCGATTCAGGAATACAAGACTGAGAGCAAATTAAGGTGCTCAGCCATCAATCTCGTGTCTCGCGTGTTAATCAGCACCAGCACAGTGCCTGAAGATCCCAACAAACAAAGCGAAAAACAGATTAAAAAGAACCAGACCTCCGAAACGCATGCAGAACAAGTAAAGGGGGAAAGATTCCTGCTGCTTTCATTATGATATTTTTTTAAATATAACAAAAGACCAATTTTCAGGAAAGATTTGCAGGTTATTCCTGAATTTATTACTACACTTAAGACTGGTGATGATTAAATACTGCTAGCATAGCAGTGGTGTTTTACCATAAACAACGGGAATGTTATTTTCAATATCTTTGAAAAATGTAGCCTACTTTGCACATGGGAATTCCCAGTAAAAGTACGATGATATAACCCCCCCCAGTATCTGAACACAATTCATTGCCCAGTAATCGTATTGATGCTGCATTATAGCCTTTTAATGATTTTCAAACCCGTTATTATCTGAACAATGACTGTCGACACCACTGATGAGATAAGTGCTTCAAATGCGATTTTTATTTTCTCGCAGTTTACCACCACAGTTGGACTGATCTCTTGGTGAGAGAGATTTTATGGCACCTCCAGCCGCTGTGTATTGTACCTCAACTGGCACCTGCACAACCCGGAGTGCGATCCACAAGCGACATTTATTATTAGCAAAGACTCTGATGGATCAAGGCTGTGGGGGGATACAGCTCAATGGTGCACCTCAGAGGCGCATCAACAAGAACAACTTGCATTTATATTGCGCTCCTCACGCAGGCTAGCGTCCCAGAGCGCTTGTTCCAGTGTCTCGACTTTAATAATCTTTAATTGTTGAATTTGATACAGGCCTTCAGCCTCTTCATCCTCACAGGTATCTGCTACAGGGTGTAGTGACTGTGTATTTTAGGCAAATCCAGAAGCTATATTGCATCCCACAAAGGGTTATGAAGTGAATGATCAATTTATCTGGGGGATTGATGGCCAGGAGGTATTAAGCACTTGATGTGTTTCCGCAGGCGTCAAGACTAGTGACTGACCCCCCCCCAAAAAAAAGAGTCAGAGGGGTGGAAAGTCATACACAGCATCGCAGCCATTTCACTGGGGCCACATCACCCACCTGTCCATTTGCCAGGATTTTCTTCAGCTCAGCAGAGGATTTCTTCAAGCTAATAGCGATTAAAAGAGACAAGAGTATTAAAGTCATGCGCGCGCAAACACAAACATCAAGACAAATTTGATACAGACAGTAAATGAGGAGGGCAGAAAACATACCCACTGGAAAATAAAATAGTAAAAAAAATTGAATTACTTTGTCATTATGCTAATTAACTGTACAATTAATTCAGCTACACCAAAGAAAAGTCTTTACAACCTCTGTTAGTAATGATACGCAAATTACAGTGAGCTTCAGTACAGCAGGAAAAACCACAATCGCTTCAGTTGTATCATACCCCGAAAGTGGAGGAAACTAGATTCAGTCTGTTATACAAATGTAATGTGTTGTTGTTGCTTTGGATGCTCTTAAGCTCCGTGATGGGTCTACACGTGTATCAGACACTTGGCTAATCCCCCCAAAAAGTGGAGGAGAAATCAAACGCCTTTGGGGACAGGGCCCAAAGTTTTTACTTGGTTTTAGCCTTTTGGTTTTCAAGACCATGGGCTTGAAGCTAAAGATCATGCAATTTTTTTGGGGGTGGCAAATTCAGGTTGAATTTTGGAATGTGCCACAATTCTGCAGGTGTGAGAGGTGATGACTATGGTTTTAGCCCTGGGTGCCTGGCCGTGGGGGAGGTGGGGACGGGGAGAGAGGGAAGAGAATAAATAAATAAATAAATAAATGTAAAATTGGGCATTAAATATGAACCATGATCGTACCGGTTGTACAGCAAAACTGTCAAGCTACTCCATTCGCGCAGCAGTTAAAACCACAGACAACCCTAGCCTCACAAACAATAAGAGTTCAGAAACATGGCGACTTTAAAACATTTGACGGACACCCGGCCGCGAGCCGATCGAACCGACGGTAAATATTAATTTCAACATCATTTGCTTTTTATAATTATCTTCTGATTCTTTTTTGTCAAGAATTCCCAGAAGAAAGCCTTGTAAAATTATAGAGTATAGCAGTTCTGAATCCAGTACCATCAGTTTATCATGCAGCAACATATCTCATAAGCCATGTCTCTGTCTGCTCTTGACTCTTACCTATTGTTCGGCAGTCCTTCTGTGACTGCTGGGCAGCTATTATTAGAGGACCCTGCCCGTGTATCTACCTGCAGGCGGATAAGGAGTTTTTATCAGTCATTCACGGGCTGAGGACAGCAGTCTAATTAACCTGTAATTTACCACAGATTTCTCATTTCCCTCTGAAGGTTAATTGGCTTGTTGCTGGGCTTACGGATGCTTGCGTGCTCTCTACTTGCACATGACGTTAGCATACTAACTCGCACAGAGAGAGAGAGAGAGAGAGAGAGAGAGAGAAAGAGACGGATCTTCTGACGAAAAGGCAATATTTAAGATGAATACTGGTTAACATTACTTTGCAGGACTCTTCGGCGTGCAAATGACCCACTTAAACCAACATTCTGCTCAAAACACCCCGCATTCTTCTCTCATTACATTTTTTCCCCCTTTGATACGCCATCCCTTCCTACTGTGCCCGAAATTCCACACAGCCTTAGCCGGTCTAATACGTAAGATGGAGATGTCTGGTTTGCGACTGGACTGGAAGCACTTCACAGACTATATTGTAAAGTGTAGTGACTGTGTATTTTGTGGGCGAAACGTGGCAGCCAATTAGACACAGCAGTGTCCCACAAACAGCTGTGGATTGAGTGACCACATTTCCCCCCACCCCCTGCCTTCTCAGCTCCACCGGAAAAAAAAAGCCATAAAAAAAAGTATTATTTTAATTTTAACCCACTTTCAATTATTTTTCTTTAGGAATTTAATCAGTAAAATGGAATGCATTAATACTGTTCTCTCTCCCTCCCTCCCTTTCCCCTCACATCCCATCACTTCCAGAGAATCACACAGGCAACAAGTAACAATAATGTTTACTTGGGAAAGATTTCGCCTGAAAGCTCAAAATGCTTTCATTTATTTTGCGAGCACGGACGATATGTAATGAGCGTTAAATTTCTTAATCATATCGCTTTCGATCCCTCATTAAAAGCTACATTACCAACACTTAACCACCTTTTAATGCAAAAAAATTAAAAGCGCTAACCTACTTGGTGCTCTAATGGATTGAATGGAAAGGAAATGCCACCAGAAACTCGCAGCTGTGTGATTAAATCAAGGCAAATATTCCCCACTTTGTATAACAAGAGACCCCCTGCTTGTCAGAGTTTGAAGAGCCAAGGTTTCAGATGACATTTCAATAACTGGAACACAGAATTACGAATCCGTTCCTAACTTTACTGAAACAATTATTGAAATTATTACCTTCAGGCCATGTATGTTCCTTCTCCCAGGTGACTTGCAGGCTGAAACAGTAATTGACTAAATTGCTGAACACATCGGGGCCATTTACAAATTTGTTAAAAATGAATCATTTGAAAGAAATGAGATTGACACCAAAATTAGCAGCTGAAAATGATGGAAAAGGGGGCAGCTAATGCCAGCACTGGGGATTTTTAAAATGTGATTCCTTTTCAACGTTTCGGAAAGGAACAAATGGTTTTAATGCTGGGGGTCGGCTAAAAGGATACACAAAAAAAACATAATAATTTAAAGCCGGGGTTTAACTACAAATGCCACCGGAATGACTGTGTGCTTTCACTTCAACTCTGCATTTTGTTAACCCTTGCTGTTTCTGTACAGGAAACAAGCTGGTGAACAGCACCCCTTTTTAGCACCATTCCATAGGGTAGTGCATTGTGCAGTAATAATAATAATCATTGCATTTGTTACAGCGCCTTATCACATCTTCGTGACGTCTCAAAGCGCTTCACAGAATATACTGTAGAGTGAATTGACTGTGTAATTTGTGGGCGAAACGTGGCTGTAAAGTCATTGTTGGGTGGGGGGGGAATAAAGTAATAAAACTCACAATTAATTTTAAAATGAAGCAAGCAGCACAGACACGAAGGCCTCCTCCTACTACACGGAAATGTTCTATGTTTCTCCGACTACTTAAAACAACAGCATTCAAAGCAAAGCAAACGGGGATGTAGAATATACAGTAACTCGGGTGAAAATCCGTCTCTCAAAGTTTCACCTTATGATTTAACTGAGAAGGCTTTAGTGGAAGCTGTTTTATTTTTCTACCGAAAATTTTTTGGGGGGGCAACCAAAATGCGGATAAATTGGATCTATTCAATGCTTTGATGGCTTGATCTCATTTCAGAAATACAATGCCACAAATGGCATGTTAAAGGGCCTGTCAATCCTGATTGATAATCTCAGTCAGACAGATTCGATTCTTACTGCCCCCCCTCAATCCCAAATGAACAGGTGCTCGGCTCCTGGGACAATATGGGCAGAGCCCAGAATGCCACAAAGCTCTTTCTGAATGTAAATTAACAAATTTTCCCAACCGTCGATATTTAATTTCTTTACTTTTTTTTATTGAAAAGTGCAATCCCAAATCCCCTCTACAATTCCAATTCCAACCCAGTTTTGTGTAGTAATAATAATAATAATTCTTCCATTTGATACAGAGCCTTCTCACGTCGTTGAGACAATACAGTAAGATGATCCAAAAGTCAGCCATTTTTACATACAACCTGACTTTCTGAGTAAATGTTCACTGAATGGGTTGAGAGTTAACAGCCCCCCCACCCCACCTACCATGTTAAAATGTACATAATATATATATTTCAATTCACTTTGCATTGAAATCTGTGGAGCGCTTTGAGACATCTCAACGACGTGATCAGGCGCTACATCAATGTAAGGTTCATTATTATTATTATTGTGATTAGATATCGCAGCTCACTATGTGTGTGCATACAAATTCACACACACACAAGCGCAGTTAAGCCTTCCTCCCACCGTTGGAACATGTAGAAGCACTACGGATACAAAGTCAAATCGCTTACCTCGTGGGTATATCTGCAGAGGTTCAATCACCTCCCCATTAACTTGCTGTTCTGTCACTGTAGTATAATACTGGAAAAGAACACACGCAGTATATTCAGTCCCACATGTCAACGTCAGATTATCATCTCCTCTCAAAGAAACTAGGAACCGTGCCAGTTTAAAAAGCTGAGGCACCCACAACAAACAACATTAAATCTCTTCCTCTAAACTGGCCATTCTGCACGCTTTAGTTTATCAGCAAAATAAACAGTTAAGATCTGTTGATGTCAGTCAGCTTTGGTCACTGCAACTATAAACTTGGGCCATTCTTCCCTGCTAAATAATCATAATTTGGTCACTCGATGCACGAATGTTGGTGGGACGCTGCTGTGCGCAATTGGTTGCTGTGTTTCGCCTGCAAAAATATACAGTCACTTCACTTTACAGCATGTTCTGTGAGGCTCTTTGAGACATCTCGGAGACATGATAAGGCACTGCATCAAATGCAAGGATTATTACTAACATAAAATGATGAAGCGGAGAACGAGCCCTTGCAGGTTCCCAGCCCACAACCCTCGGTACCTTGCCCAAAGGTCAAATGGGGAACCCAAGATGTCAGCCCAAAAGTGAGTGATTTCAGGAGGGAGGGAGGGAGGAGGTAGTGGGCTGAGGGGGAGAGAAGAGATAAAGAGGTATGGGAATGAGGCGTGGGTGAAGAGAGAGAGAGAGAAAGAGATAGAAGCGATGTGGGAGAGAGGGGTGGAAGGTGGGAGAAGACAGAAGGGGAGAAAGAGAGAGAGAGAGAGAGAGAGAGAGGTAATGGGAGGAAATGGAAGAATGGAATATTGGGAGATGATGAAGATGAAACAATAAAATTTGTGTTCAACAGCTCCTGTTTGAACAGCATGAAAATAATTTCAGTCCTGAACATTTCAAGCTGTGAAAGTCAGAATTGAATTCAGTGAATAATGGAATAAATATTGGATACCTGGGAGTGATTAAACAGTACTAATCTAACTGGAGAGACCCAGAGAGTTGGCAAAAACAGAGTAATGGAAACCTCGGCGTAAAAGGCAAGATGTAAACTAATCTCGGAGCGCAAATCACAGCAAAAACCACAGGAACTGTTTTAAACTGTAACATTAAAACCAAGGCTCGAGTGATATTGATAATAGATGGTATGTGTTCTGAAAGTCCTATGGCCGTGACTCAATTCAGTAGCTGATAGCCGGACCTCAGTTAGGCCCCCCCGTTCCTGCAAGCGCTCTGGGAAGCTACCCTGCGTGAGGGGCACTGTTTAAATGCAAGTTGTTGTCGTTGTTGAAACTGAGCCATACAGCAAGATCACAGGGTTGATGTCCGAGCGGGCCTGAGTTAGCTGGTCATGGTCGGGACAGCAATGGATGTAACATTAGCCACGAGAGGTGAGAAGATGGCTAGCACTCCCGACTGCTATCCTGATGGAAAGTGCGTACAGTGATGTCGGGCAAGGATTTGATGCCCAAACCCTTTGTTGAAGCGCCTGCTCACTCTCGCTGTACACACTGTCATATTGAGAATGGCCATTCGGCAAGATATCAGAGGTAATGTGGTGACAACCGATCCAAGCCTCAGCTTGGAGCCAGGCGAGGAGAGTGCAGAGGGGGAAAATGGGAGAGAAGGACCAATAAACAATCTAACGTTGGTTTCCAGAGAATCTCCATCGCCAGTGTATGGCTGTCAGTGAATCACGAAACGTTCATCAACATCTGTAAGAGCACAAGTTACAGTTGGGGAAAGTACATTCAGCACAGTCACCAGCTGTACGTGGCAACACAAACACAGCTTTGCTATTCCCTTTTAGACATTGCAAAGCTTTAGACAATCGCTGGGTAACTTTATTATAAATGGAAGACATTTTGAAATTGCCATCGCATTTCTTATAACAACATGTGTTTACATAGCGCTCCTCAGGCAGGGTACCATCCCAGAGCACTTGACAGTGGGGGCGGGGGGAGCCAATTATTTATGGATACCTGAGAAAATAGTAAATCGACAAACTGTTACTCCTGAGGAGTAGTGGTTAACAGGACTATTCAATTGTAACTAAACATAAGCACAGAATGCAGTTAACATTGTGTAAATAGCTGCTCTCTTTCCCAGTTGGCTCTCTTGACATATTTGGTGGTTTATTTTGGAGTCAGCAGAGGCTGAGTGTGGATTCTGTTCCAGGCCAACAACTTGGTGACAAACACCCAACTCTGGCAGAGCGCAGTGCAGAGAGCTTACTTCCAAAAACTTTTATTACCCTTACAAAAANTAATTGGCCCTGTCTGTTACTCAACCCAACAGGACACGGGCAGTTTAATGGTAACAGTCCATATGGATCGACCTTTTAGAAGTCTTAATAAATGTTAACAAGTAGTCTAGAAAAACAGTTCAAAACTGAGCCTTGCCTAGAATACAATGACATTTCTAAACACAGTAATTTCCAGAGAAAATATGACGCCACTGGCTATTTTGAGCTCGATCCGTGTATTTTTAATAGGAAATTTGCCAGTTATTGATCCGCAGCTTGTACTGTCTGCCTAAGGCAGCTATTCGGCTTGCAAGCAACTTTCCAATCAGTGGCTGTCAAAAATTCACAAGATTTACAGGCGCCATTTGCTCTCTTTTTTTTTATTCGCTTAACGTCACCAAATAACAATATTTATGTAAGTCACTAAACAGGAAGAGCATCGTTTAACTGGCCTCTCCGCGTGGGTGGTACAGGGCACCTTGTCTGAAAGAGAAGGGCACTTTGCCAGCGCCGATCACAAACTCGGCTCCAGTCAATTCACACTCCCTCCAATGCCTTCTTATTGCAATCCACGACTGTTTGTGGGGACGCTGCTGTGCGCAATTGGCTGCCGCGTTTCGCCCACAAAATACACAGTCAATTCACTTTACAGTCTGTTCTGTGAAGCGCTTTGAGACGTATTCCCAGTGTGAAAGGCTCTCTATCAAATGCAAGGATTATTGTTATAATTGTCCTAAAAAGTTAAATATTCACCGTTTGCAACGATGCCCAGTAGCAAATTACACCGAACTCCCCCACCCCCCCTCACCCTGCATATCCGCACATGTCACATGTCCCAGATTGGACTTTATTCAGAAAAGTCTTTATTCCTACGAATAAAAAACGTTTGACTTTCAAAGCGGCAACTGCTCTCAAAAACGATCTCCGCAGGTTACTTAACTCTTTCAATGCTAATAATAATAATAATAATCTATTCTGCCTTCCAAGGCAGAAGGACATCTCAAACGCTTCATAGGATTTACTGTAAAGTGTAAAGATTGTGTATTTTGTAGGTGAACGTGGCAGCCAATTTGTACACAGTAACAATCCACAAACAGCCATGAACCAAATGACCAATATTATCTGGGGGATTGTTGACCAGACACCTGGAGAGATAAACTCCCTTCTCTTTTCAAATAGTGCTTACATAGCACAGATGGGACTTCCCGGTTTAATTTATTTGTTTTCTTTCTAGGTCAGGAACAAGACAAGTTAGACACAACACTGATGCTGGGTGTGTCTCTTTCTCTCTCCTGTGGTGGAAAGAAATTTCTGCGGACCGCTAAATGTGGGGACTCTTCAGCAAGTGGTCGGACACCCTGTGGGACCACCATAAAGTGCTGTGGACCTCCAGGCTAACTCTCAATGCACTTGCAGATCACAAGAGAGGTTTGGGTGAAAAAGGGCCTTCGGTCCATTTGATCTCATCTCACCCCACCATCTCTCCCTTGTAACGTCAAACTGAATTGTCTCCAGCGTCCTGGCCTCAGCCACCTTTCCTGGTCACCCATTGCATTGCAGACACTGATTATGTTCTGGATAAAGAAGTACAGTACTTCAAGTGTTCTGCCCCCCCCCCCACACACACACACACTGTGAGGCAGGGGTGGATGGATCACTGGTAGTGATCAGGGAGGTGCAAACACATGGAATTAAGAGTCAATCCCGAGTACAAAAGTGCCCAATTAAGACAAAGGCTCTGACCGGCGTTGTGACAGCAAAGTTCTATTACATTTTTAAATCGTTTTATGATCTTGAGAACTTCAAATTGTTTCAATTTCCACTCAGCGCACGAGTCCCGTACGTTTTAATAATGTTGCTCTTTTTTACCCATCTACTAGATTGCCTGGGATAACATTAACATCACATTACAATAGAAGATCATTTACTCATGCAAATTGCTGGCGCCCTGCTGTTAAAACCAACTTTGCCAAATCTTCCTTCACTTTTACTGCTTTTCAATTATGGAAACTTAACTCCAATCAACATAAAATTATCTTCAAAATGTTTGAGAAAAAAAACTTTCAAAAGCTTTTTTTTGAAAAAAAAACACGCGCACAAAAACACAACAGTAACACTGCTCTCGGTTTCTGTGTGAATTTGGTCCTATTGGCGGTAACTCTATCGACGATTTATATTGGGCTATGTTTCTGCCAAAACCGGGACAGACCCTCGAGGGCAATCAGTGACTGTGGCTCTCAGTGTCAATAAAGTCAAAATAAAGTTCTTCTGTAGGAATGTCAACTTCTGGTGTTTGTGTGTGTGTGTGGGTCTGTCTGTCTGTGTGTGTGTGCGGGTCTGTGTGGGTGTGTGGGTGTGTGGGTCTATCTGTCTGTGTGGGTCTGTCTGTCTGTGTGTGTGGGTCTGTCTGTCTGTGTGTGTGTGTGGGGGTCTGTCTGTCTGTGTGTCTGTCTGTGTGCATGGAGGGAACAAACGCTATTTATTTATTTATTTATTTATTTCCCAGTCAGTGAAGATGCAGAATAATTAAACAGCGTTGACCTACCCCAGGCACAACACGGTAGATGGTGCATGGGGTGGGGTTGAATCTTCCAGAGGCTTCAACCCAAAGAGCACCAGAGAAACCTCTGCACCAGCCAGACCCAGCCAGGCGACAGAAACACAGAGACGCAATGTTCAAAAGAAAAAGTCACAGGTCAGGAAGAAGGGAACAAATGAAAATTTATTGAAAGCCGTGAGATATTTTCATTATTGTACAAAATCCATTCCGAACAGTTATCCACAGTCTAATTATATTGACGCCATCAGTCATCAGTGTTGTTTCTGGCCTTGCCGGTCCCATTACAGCTTACTTTCTCAATGCTCTAAGGCTTTGTACAGATCACTCTCCGAGGGGAACAGCAATTGCACTTGAATCTGATCATGGTCGGCCCTGCACTGTACAGATTGATTCATTTTATAGTCGGCTGGGCTATTGATTATTGCTGCAATTACCTGACTAACCAAATATAAAAGCTGGAGAGGATCCCTATGCATCAGCACAGGGTTAACACACCCCCTTTCATAAGTGGTCCCTTGTGTAATACTGCTCTGACACTTCCTCGACAGAAATCCTCATTTGGTCCACAACAGTATTAGGGCTATTTTTAATAAAAAAGAGTTTTTTTTTGATGTATGTAATATATAAACACTTTAAAGGGAATCTGTTGGAAAGAAAATGGCAAAGTCACCTTTTGCTACAGAGAAGTTAAAGGGAAGCAAAGAGCTCAGAGGATTAGTAATAATAATAATCCCTGCAGTTGATATAGCGCCTCATTGAGACTTTCAAAGCGCTTCACACAATATGCTGTAAAGTGAAGTGACTGTGAATTTTGTGGGCGAAATTGGATTGGGAGGAGGTGCAGCATGAGTTCAAAGTGAAGATTGGGCACAGGTGTGTGAGGTGCGGGGAGGGAGATAAACACTGTCTGGCTCTCACATGCTCCCAGGCTGTTCTCTTCCTATCCCCACTCAATGCCGTGCAGTGACTCTGTTCTGTGCCCGTGGTAGCATAGAACTGTGTGACAATCGAGCCGGCTGAGCCTCACTGTCCCATTGTCAGCACACGCGACGTGGTGAGAACATGACACGATCTCCCCCAGAAGGGACATAGAGACTGAATGAATCCAATGGGACACGTACATATTAATGTACATATGTTCTTATTAACATCTTGGGCTACAGTGTATAGTTTGGGACATGGCATGTGCATGCAACTGACTGCCAGGATGGTGGAAGACAAACTGGATGGACCTTGGTCTTCTTTCATCCAATGTTCCTATGTACACTCCCAAGAGTACAACAGGGAATGGAGGAAAGGCATGGACCTCCGACAACAACAACAACACTTACCACGTACAAGTACAGGGTCAGTCCTAGTTATAGAGGAAACCAGAGCGTTGAGGGGTAACCAGACCAGGGAAAGTGAGACAGTCACACCAAGCGTGCACAAAGGTATTATTCCTAAAACATTCACAGCACAGAACCACTGTTCTATCTGCCCTAAGGCAGACTCTAGACTCATACTCCTGCTCTCTCCTGTACCCTCAAGTATTTATCCAATTCTCTTTTAAATACAATTCACAGATTCTGCTTCAAAAGCCATTTGTAGTCAGGTCACCTTATGATGAACGCAAACTTTGACAAGGGGAGAGTGTGCGGGGGGAGGGGGCGAAAGAACACAATACTGGGGTGGCTGACTCACAGATACATTTAGATTTCTGCAGCAGGTGCTCTCTTAAATGCAAACACTTTAAGGCAAGCGAAACATTCCCTTTATCCAGCCATTTATCCCAGAAAAAGAAACGCAGTGAATATCCAGGGAGTGAATACATAGTGCCTGGGGAAATGTTCCCCTTTAAATGAGTGTTCCCATTAAGAGGGTGCGCCATTAACTGGCTTGTACTAGATATTAATCAAAAGACAATGCAGCAGAAAAATGTGACGGATGGACTGTAAAGTCATTAAGGGTGCCATGTACAAGAGCTGAAAAATACTATAAGATTTTGATGCTCATTATCTATCCCTCCTGCCTCCCTCCTGCCTCCAGTTTCAGTCCCTGCCCAGCACGCTCTCAGGTGACACTTACTTACTGGCTCAACGGCCACTTAGAAATGGGATTGTTCCATGTTTAAGGTTTGGCTTCCATTGCTGTAATTATGTTTAGTCAGAGAGAAAGTCTCCCAACAGCATCGAGAAAAGTCTGGCAACACGGCACGGAAGGAAATCACAGCTTTAACTTTCTCTCACTTGAAACAAATGGGAATAAGTATTACCCCCACTCACACTCACACACAGTTCCAATACCAGGTTTTTCTCTTTGAGTTACACCTTTCTTTACGCCTAGGTTTGTCCTCACCTGTTCGGAAGGCTCCACTGGCAACCTCTGGTCTCTTACTGAGTAACTAGTAGCGTGTGTTAATCCAGGCAGTGAGTGTCGATGCGCTATTCAACTTCAACGGACATCACAACCGAGTTCATCTTCATCCACAACTGAGCACTTTACAGCGACTGCTGCCCTGGCTGAGATCAGCCCGGCACAGACTGGGATCCCAACTAACAACCTTCCCGTCTGCGTGGCTTTACACTGGCTTTCCCCACTCGGCCACGGACTGCTTTCCTCATTGATGATGACACGCTCAGCTTTGCGTTACCGTAAGACTGTGCGTTACCGGGGACGAGGGCACAGTGTGAGACCTGATCACCAGGACTGGTTGTTAGAGTAGCTCATTGTGAAAGAGGTATTAGAATCCCAATATTTCACTAAAATACAGTAATCCTTGCCTTTGATACAGCTTTTTTTTACGTCAGGAGGACTTCTCAATTGGCTGCCACTTTCACCCACAAAATACACCATCAATTCACTTTACAGTGAACTCTGTGAAGCGTTTTGAAACGTCTCAATGACGTATTGAATGCAAGGATTATTATTATCCAGGATAAGTTTCCCACAGACTTACAATGAACGCTTCGTTGCTGAAGATGTAAGACAGGCAAAATAACCCAACACACATCCGGGGTAATTGGACTGAGCACAGTTGGAGAGTAACTGTTTGAGCAGCCACTATTTGCTGAGCTAACCTGTGTAACAGTACAGCTTAATCCCTCCCTCCCCAGGAGCAAAGCCACTTGTACAAATAAAAACAAAGCATATCTCAGCCAGTGCAAATATTTCTTCTTTAGCACCTGCGTGGAGCGTCCACTATCAGCATGCTCCCATCAGAGAAATAATGAGTTCCAGTATCCTATGAGGAATACAAGCTATTAAAATAATTCATAATGCGTTTATCACAGGGCTGGAACGCTGACTGTCCGTCAGGTGCCCTGGGAATATCCGGGGATGGAAATGAGGAACAAAGACCTACAAATAAGCAGGATGAGAATCAGCTGATCCAAGATCACGGCACCCATCACGGGCTCCATTCGCACAACTGCTGGATGCCATTTATTAAACAGCCGTTACAACAACGATTTGCATTCACACAGCGCCCCCTCACGCAGGGCAGCGTCCCAGAGCGCTTGACAGAGGTGGAGCACGATGCCGAGCTGGGGGGAAGGGGAGGTGACCATAGGCAAGGTCAAAGAGGAAGGTCTTCAGGCGCGACCTGAAGATGGGGAAGGAAGGGGGAAAACGGAAGGATTGAGGGAAGGTGTTCCAGAGTTGCTGGGCGTAGAGGCTGAAAGTGCACCTGCCAATGGTGGAACGGAGAATACAAGGGACAAGCAGGGTGATAGGGTTTTCTTCATTCAAACCCATGTCCTAAGGTGCTAAGTGGGTTTGGGGGACTCAGATACAGTGGGGAAAGAGCAGGGCAATGGAACTGCACAGCTTCAGACACAATGGTTCAGATTATCCTGTGCTGCAAACTCTCTGTGTTCAAAGTTCATTTGGAAACTTGTGATTTTAGTAGTGAGCCTGTACAATACAAAACACCTTTATACTGCCCAGCGCCTTTCGCTTTGGAAGGAGACGTCTCAAAGCGTTTAACACTGCTAGCCGGGCATCCGAGAGCCGAAAAGGGGAAAGATGGAGAGGCGAAAGGCGAAATGTATTCAAAGAGATGTGCCTTGAGACAATCCTTCACAGAGCACGTGAAACAATCTCACAAACCGAACAAATTCATGACCAGCTGCCAGTGGTGTAAAGGACATATGAAGGGAAATGACCAACCATCTCTCAGAGGAGCCTGACGTCTGTTAACAAACACGATCCTACACTGGGCTTTCGGGGGTTAAAAGTGCCACTTGCAGAAAGCGTTATTTAAAAAAGCCCCGGGGCTCATTTTTAATGAGCTGTAACTATTAAGTAATGCATAAAGGATACTAAAATTTATGGTGCATACAGCTATTATATAATGGAAAAAATCATTAAAATCTATTTTTCTTAATGTTCATGATGATCTGATCAGTAACTATGGAACTACTTTAAGAAGTCTCAAATCAACTTTGTCTCATTTCAGTCTTCAAAGTGGTCTTAAAACTCTGTTGTGTTAGAATAATCATCATAATCGTTGCATTTGATATGGCGCCTAATCACGTCTTCAAGACGTCTCAAAGCGCTTCATAGAATAGACTGTAAAGTGAATTGACTGTACATTTTGTGGGAGAAATGCGGCAGCCAATTGCGCACAGCAGTGTCCCACAAACAGTCATGGATTGAGTGACCATAATATTATTATTATTTATAATAAAAATACCATTTGCACCAGGCTAGCTTCCTGGGCCCATCATTTGTAAACTGATAATCAGCACCATTCTCGGTCTATTCCCTATTAACAGAACAGATATCTTTTCGTTTCCCGAGTAACAGGATTTTATAAAAAATAATCCGTACCGATACACTCACAACTCGAGTGTTTGCAGACCGAGCAAAAATAAAACATAAATAGGGAAAATTGTCTCAAAGTTGCCCAAGTCAGTCACATCAAACATTACATCAATCTGGAGAGAGAAAAAAACACCACTTGCTTTTTGATCCAAATGTAAAACATGTGACATAAAGAACGATCTCTTCTATTCAGGTGCATTGACATAAAATTGTGGGCTGTACTCTGGTATTTTGCACAAGTGGCTTTTTTCACTCACTCACGCACTCACTCACGCTGTGCATTCTGCACAATTCTGTAAAAGGTTCAGTGAAATACACCTACGTATGACAGCATCGCCTTCATTTCCTCATCGCTCCGCACCGTGATACGATCCCCATCCTCGTCTTCATCTAGAAAATCCCACAAAAAGGGAGAGGGCACTTTAATACGGCCACTGCCAAAGCCATGAGAGGGCACAGAGAAGCTAACGTGTTGCACACGACTTCAGCAATCCTAGAGGTCATGACAATGATGATGATAATAATAATAATCCTTTGCATTTGGTACAGTGCCTTATCACATCGAAAGGACGTCTCAAAGCGCTTGTGAAATAGAGTCGCTGTGTATTTGTAGGCAAACACGGCAGCACAATTGCGCACATCAATGTCCCACAAACTGTCATGAACGTTGCTGTATGAGTGCATTGGAACGCACCTCCATCTCTAAATACTGAGTGTGTGTGTGTGCGTGTAAGTTGGAGGGGAAGAAGGGAACCGTTCATTCAGCTATTATGGTTTATTTTCTTAAAAGACTCTTATCAACAGCCTTCCCAGCATGTATAATAGAGAATAGAACAGCACTGTGTTATTCCTAGAGGTTGGTAAGAATTCTGGGCTCAGACACCGTTCACGCTTTCTGTCTGTGGTTTATGAAGTCTCCCGACTTCCTTGGTCTGTCACTGCCTGAAAACACACGCAGAAATAAGTTACGTTGAAGCTCTATCACGTTTTCTAAGTTATATGCTTTACGGCACAAAAACAAATTTAATCCTTCAATGAAGATCATCATACAACAAAACTGACTGGTAACTGCCCAGGTTGGAGGAGCAGAAGGTGCAGCACAAGATTTGTAACCATAATAATAATAATAATGTTTGCGTTTGATATAGCACCTTGACGTCCTGGAGACGTCTCAAAGCGCTTCAGAGGATATACTGTAAAGTGAATTTTGTGGGCGAAATCGTGACTTAGACATGCCAATTACCCTCCCTCCCCACACACACACAAACACACACACACATTTACACTGATCAATTTTTTCAGTGAAAATATCACGAAATCTCTCCTCTTAATTCCCCGTTGCCCCCCCTCCCCCCCACCCTCGGCCCCCCACGAAACACACAATACACAATCGCAAGTGTTGCAAGAACGCTTTCGATAAATTGCAGAAACCGATGCTAAGCCCGAGGTAAAGAGGCCGTTTACTTACACTCGAAAGCTGTCGTTGTCGTGTCAGGCAGCACCTGGCCAATGACATCCTATAAGCAAGAAACACAATAATAATAATAATAATAATAATCCTTGCATTTGATATAGCGCTTTTCACGTCGGGAGGACGTCCCAAAGCGCTTCACAGAACACACTGTAAAGTGAATTGACTGTATATTTGTGGGCGAACGCGGCAGCCAATTGCGCACAGCAATGTCCCACAAAGTGTCGTAGATTGAAAATGACCAATTTATTATTGGTTTTGGTTTTGGAGGATTATTATTAGGCTCTGTGTGGAGTAAGGAAACTTGCCCAAGGTTTGGCCCTCTGCCTGGAATTGAACTCAGGTCTCTCACTTGCAAAGCGAGTGCTCTAACCACTGAGCTACAGGACTCTAAGCCTTCATTCCAAACCCTCGGTCAACAACAACGCAACAACAACTTGCATTTATAGAGCGTCCGTCTCTCACCCAAGCTAGCGTCCCAGAGCGCTCAGTGACGTTAGGTTGGAGGTGGTGAGGAACAACAACAACAACAACATTACATTTCTATAACGCCCTTCACGTCGAGGGAGGAACGAGCCCAAGTTGGAGAAGCAGAGCGCGTAGAAGGTTTGCAACCATAATTCTTGCATCTGAGCTAACTATAGCTGTACTATTTATCCTGACTATTTATACTTCTTTTCAAAAAAAATTTTCACTGAAAATAAAGTTAGGGCCTTTCTCGCTGGGGACGAGCCGATCCGAGGGCAGACCCGATGGGAGTCGGTTAATTTTTTCTTTCGAAAAGAGTTATTAAAAGGATGTGTTTGTGGGGCTGCGCTCGCGTGTCGGTGCCTCCAAAGCGAGAAGGGCGGAAAGCAATACAAGCAACAAGACGGAAAAGAGAGGGGTACGGGAGAGAGGAATGGAGGCCCGCGTCACCGTGTCACCCTGTTACCCCCACCCTCTCTGTCCTCCACCCCCTCCCGATCCCAACCACGAGCTCCACTCCAAATCCCTGACGGTCCAGCGCTCTGGCACGTCCTCCCGACGTGAAAGCCGCCGTGTAAACGTCATTTGTCGTTGTCGTTGTTGTATAAACACCGGCCCGACAGTGATTGGGTTGCGGGGAGGGGTGGGGGTGGTGGGGGGTGGTGGGGGGGGGATGGAGTTTGGTCATTGATGCTCACAACCAAAACACACAGTCACTACACTTGACTGCCAACCCCGTGAAGCGGCTTTGACGTGAAAGGCGCTGTGTGTCAGATACCAGGATTCACAACAACAACAACAACAGCAGCAACAACAGTCCTGGGGTCTGACCCCGAGCCTCGTCACGTCGTCTCGGAGCCCTTCACGGGACACGCCGTCAAAGTGTAGTGACTGTGCGTCCGTCCTGTGGACGAAACCCGGCGGCCAATGGCGCTCAGCGACGCCCCCACAAACAGCCGCTTAAACTATGATGGGGTCAGCGGGGGAGGGGGTGAAGGGGGGGAGGGGACAGGTTAAGGGTTCAGCCCCTTTCCCCAAGCCCAGCCCCCCCCCCCCCCCCGGGGCCTGACTCACCAGCACGTCCCTGAAGAGCAGCTGGGAGGCGGGGGGAATGCTCCAGTCCACGTCGCCGCCCTCGGGGCCTCTGATGCGGATGACGAGCTGCTGCCGACTCTCCATGTCAGGCAGTGGGCGCATGGCCGACCCGCGGCCGCATCCTCACCCCCCGGGGCCCTGTCCCTCACCCCCCAGGTCCCTGTCCCTCACCCCCCGGGGCCCTCTCCGGGGCCCTCCCCCTCACCCCCCGGGGCCCTCCCCCTCACCCCCCGGGTCCCTGTCCCTCACCCCCCGGGTCTCTGTCCCTCACCCCCCGGGTCTCTCTGTCCCTCACCCCCCGGGTCTCTCTGTCCCTCACCCCCCGGGTCTCTCTGTCCCTCACCCCCCGGGTCTCTCTGTCCCTCACCCCCCGGGTCTCTCTGTCCCTCACCCCCCGGGTCTCTCTGCCCCTCACCCCCCGGGTCTCTCTGTCCCTCCCTCCCAGGCCCCGCTCTCCGGCCGCCACAGGAAGCCGTGTGTCCGCCGCCCCGCTCCGGGCTGCCGCCCGGAACATAAAAACCCGGCCCCGGAGGCCCAGGCCGCCCGGACACGTGATGGTGTTACTCCAACCGCCATCTTTGTTTGGTTGGTGGGGGGAGGAGAGAGGAGAGGGGGGGAAGGGAGGAGAGAGGGGAGGAGGGGAGAAAGAGAGAGAGGGACAACGTGGAGAGAGGGGGGTGACCAGGGTGGGGGGGAGGAGAGGAGGGGGTGAGGGAGAGAGGGGGGAGAGGAGAGGGGGGGAGGGGGAAGGCAGGAGGGGGTGGAGGGAGGGAGGCAGGAGGGAGGGAGGGAGAGAGGGGAGTGAGGAGAGGGGGGGAGGGGGGGAAGGCAGGAGGGGGGGGGAGGGAGGGAGGGGGGGGGGAGGAGGGGGAGGGGAACGGTGGGAGAGGGGGGGGTGGGGGGCACAGACGGACCTCGGTTTGGGGCGGCGGTGCCCGACCCTTTCTTGGTCGGTGGGCGAATCAGATTTAAATATTCTTTGACTCGGATCGAGAATCCCAAATCAGGAATTATTCAGTGAATAATAATAGTAACAATTTTTAAAAAAAAGACCGAAACAGTTTTAACTCTGAATTACACAGACTCTCCGAGACCGGCGCGACACTTCCGGCCAACGTTTCAGCCAAACGACGGCACCTCCGACAATGCAGCGTCCCCCCCCCCACCACCACCACCACCGCCACACTCCCCCCAAACTGTGCTGGAGCCGCAGCCCAGACTGTGAGCTCAAAGCCCCCAATGTGGAACTTGAACCCACGACCTCCTTACTCAATGGCCAGAGAGCGCTACTGACCGATCCGGGCTGACCCCCAGTGACTAAAGACACCCATATTGGCCCCACACTGCCCATTGCAGCGCCGGGTAGTAAACCGCACAAAAAGGAGTAAAGCCAATATGATGTTAAACACACTTCAAACTCCAGTCTAAGGGTCGAGAGAACGGGGGAAGCTTCCTCACCATTGTGAGTCGGGAATGTCACCGACTTTACACACCCGGCAGCTAACAAGCTGGGAATGTGGGTGTGTGGAGCTTTCCTGTTACCACTGATCTGTCCGGAAGCTTCCCAGATGCTTCAGGAGCCTTGTGTTTTCAGCGCGAGAAACGGCCCTGCGCGTCTGGGCAGCTGGAGAACTCCCCATCAAAAAAAACAACTCGATCCCCCCCCAAAAAAAACCTTTTGACAACGTGCGTAAGAAAGCGAAGACACAAAACACAGCAAAATAAAGATTGAAAGGAAAAATATTCTCGATCACCGTTATTCACAGTGCCCGTGCAGAGTCACATTTTATTGAGGCTGATTGTGTGTTATGCAGGAGAGCGTCTCAAAAGCTGCTCACTGGGCACCTGAACAGGGCCGGGAGGGGCCGGGAAAGATGACCGAAAGTGCGGTCAAAGAGGAAGGTCTCAAATTTAAAACGGTTAGCAAAAGCTCGAGCAAATTGCTCTCTGCCATCTGAAGCATTTTGCCCTAACTCGCTACTGAGACACGTCGGGCACACAGTGCCCACCGCACACTGCTGCTGTCTGCGAGATGGGTCGGCATTAAAAATGTGAACTGACAAAACACAAGAGGTTAGTCCGATGCACTAAACAAAATTGGTTTGGCCTTTGCTAATGATTGTACTTGAACGTCGATGCTTCAGGGGTTATATAATTGTTTCTGCCACCCTATAAATTTCTGAGTAACAATAAAATTAATGTGATTTTTCTTACTAAATAATTCACGGTTTACAATGAATAAGTGGCCTCATGAATCACTAATCACCGAATGAGTACTTATCCCGGGATGTATTTTATTTCTGTCACTTTTAAATAGAACATTTGTAATTTTAATTATGTAGTTTTTCAGTAAATGATTAAAACAAAAAAAATTTACTCAGTGCAAAATATATATAATTTAACTAATCATTTTAACTCTTTGATGTTTCACAGAGAGGCTTTTTTTTGTTTTTCCTTCCTTGATTTTTTTTAATATAAAACTGTTTATAACAAAGTACCGTAGTGCACGTAAAACTACAGTCCTTCCCAATGTTCCATTAATACTTTGCCTGTGGCTCTTCTAAACCTGGCCGTCCATAGGGGTCTACAGTATATCTTAACGGGATTCTTTCATAATTGTTCGGGTAATTGGAAGCCTGTGGAGTGTAGGACGAGGGGGAGAGTGAGGGACATGAGGACTTGGGTCCTGGGGAAGGAAGGAGTTAGGAGGAGGAGACGGGCAATGAGTTTTGATTTCATGGTTGCAGGGAGGAAGAGGAGTGTTAAGCTGTTCGTTTAATTATCCTTATTATTGTAACTGGGACTTGGGGATGCCTCTTGTGCAAGAGATCTAAAATATAAAGCAGAAATATAGTGATTAAGGTCTCAGTTTCTATCGATTGTCCAGCTTAAGTAATTTTTCATGACTTATATAAGATCTAATCAGTAATAGTATTTAAAGATCCCCGCTTGGCACAAGTCATTAGCATGTAATTGAACTCAGAAGAAAGAGTGTAAAACCTATGTTGATTACCACCTTATCTTTGAAAGGCAATTTAGACTTTTAATCAGAGCGATGTCTGATTGTGTAGCTGGTATTGGACATTGATCTTTTGGCAAAGTGCAGTTACATTTTCCGCTAATTTACAGATACGTGATTTGAGCGCCAATACCCAATACCATTGACCCGGACAATGTGTAATACTAAGCAGCTCTTTAGTTTAGGGCCCTTCTGGTGCCGGAGAGTGTGCAGGATAAGGACTGTACCTGAACACCCAGTTTCACCACATCCATAATTCACGACTGCTTATTTGATCACAATCAAATAATAATCCTTGCATTTAATGCAGCGCCTCATCACGTCATTGAGACATCTCAAAGCACTTCACAGAATCTATTCTATAGTGAAATGACTGTATATTTTGTGGGCGAAACGCAGCACCAATCGTGGACAGCAGCGTCCCACAAACAATCGTGGATTGAGTGAACGAATTATCTGAGTGAACGAACAAGTATTTCGGAGCGATTATTATCCCTGGAAAGCGATCCGCCAATAGTCCAACAACCGGGTTCCTACATCCTGCTAGGTAAACAGACGTGTGGAGTAAGGAAGTTTGGTCAAGAATTCACCACGGTCAGGAATCGGGTCTTCTCGCTTGCCAGGCGAGTGCACTAACCACTATGCTACAGGACTCCTCTGAAGAACCCCCTGAATTTTCATCCACAGGCAAGGAATGAGAGGTGGTAAACGAGCAGAGACAGTTCGACTCCATCTGCAGACTTCCTCTTCCATCAGGGCTGCCCGTCCTCAATTATAACCTACTGTACAACCTTGCGTCCATTATTCTTTTAATTAATCTCCTTTCTCTCAGAATTAGGTTGCTTCTTAATATTAATCCATCTGGTAACTGTGCATAAATCTGCTGCAATGCGGCCATCGTTGGGAATGAATTAGTATTACAAAAAATATTACAAAAAACTTGTGATTATAGGGACAATTTATTATTAATTCTAATTGTTTAGGTAGGATTACGATGGTGCTTTTTTTTTTATAAAAGCATCGTTTAATGCCTTTTTGAACGATTGTGAACTGAAGGACAATATAAAAGTGTCAGAATTTTTTACATTATAGAAAAAATATGATATTGAGCTGGAGAATACGCTCTTTCCTTAATGGAAATTCATTAAAGATTAACAGCTCAGTGATTTCTGGGCTGCCATTGTGGGTGTTGAGCCAGTGTTCTCGTCTGATGCAAACCTACACACAGGGCCAAGCGAGCTCTCAACCTCTAGAAATGGCCGTAGCAACATTGGAACATGAGTAGGCCACTGACATGTCAGCAAGCAACTGGATGGAGCTTGGTCTTCTTTCGCCTCAATAAGTACAACCTTTTGTGAGGTCAACTGTATCGCCAAACTGTCCCAGCTCTGCACGAACTGCCACATCTCTCTCTCCACCCTTCTCCAATCTTACATTGGAAGCTAGCAATCTCGTCTGCAATTAACTTCCAGGGCCACCTGAGATCACACCGTTCACATTAAAGCGATCCTCTTCATCATTGCCACTCTCTTCTTACTGTTCAGCAGTAGATGGGAAGTGAGCTTTAATGACGGGGGCTCTCAATACTAATCCCCTGAATGATATGATTATATTGCAACCCTTTGACCTCCATCAGCCACCAGTCCATCCTTCACGGTGATCAAGAGCAGTGGAGCGCGGGGTCTATTGACTTCCGTGTAATACAAGAAATTATTCCAGTTGCTTAATTGTTAGACAGTGAAAGTGTTAAGACAAGAAATCACGCCTGGTTTTAGTGCTGTAAGCAGCAGAGAATCGCTTCAATCAATACGGTCGTTTGTCAGGGTCTCTCAGAGGAGGCAGCCCAGCCATGTGTGGGCAGGAGCCCCATTGTCTTGTCTTTATCGAACAACAGGTAAGCAAAGTCAGCAGTACACATTAACAGAAATCAAAGGAGCGAGCTGACTGGAGGCTGGGCCCCACTCAAAGGGTATGTTTACTGGCTGGTAATTAAAAAACATTTTATCAGCTTGTGCTGAGACCGGGAGCCCTCAGTGAGAGAGTGGACCTGACAGGCTGGTGCCAATGGGTGAGCAGTATTTTATCTTAAACTTCTGATCGTTTACATCTAATTGTAATGGCTCGAACTGTCCACAAAGTGCCATTAATTAAACCAGAGCTATATCTGCATGGCAAACCTTTCGTCCCACAAACAATGTCAGGTCTGGGCTCTTCACAGGAAACATCTGGGAACATTTGGCTGATTACAAATACGTCGGGATGATATTCGGAAAAATAGGATATTGTGTGACTTTGGGCTGGTGCTGCATCTCAATCAAAGTGTTCATGGTGAATTTACTCTCTGAACGAAACTCTTTCCTGTCTCATCCCTCATTTAGATTTGCTCCCAAAATGTTTCAGAATCCCTTCAGAAATAAATAACAATTTGGTGACTCAATCAACGACGGTTTGTGGGATACTGCTGTGTGCAATTGGCTGACACATTTCGCCCACCAAATACAGTCAATTCACTTTACGATATATTCTGTGAAGTGCTTTGAGACATCTCAATGACAGTGGTAAAGCGCTTTATCAAATGCAAGTATTATTGTTTTCTGAAACGAAGAGCCACAGCAACCAGAATGTCCACAAGTGCCTTTTTATCCGGTACACACACATACACACACTTCGCTTAGATCAGAACCATAAAATATTTTAATATTTATCACCTGTTTTTCACAGACCCGGCACAATCAACGAGCACCACTAACCTGCCATGAAAAGCCCACAACATGAAACGTGACACAGAATATTTCAGCTGCACGGCTTACAGCTAAATCCATACCGTTTGTTCTTTACAAAATGTTTAACCGGGTCAATTTTGCAGTATTTGCTAACAGATTTCTTAACTGAGTAACCAGCAGTCTGTGTCGCGGGCTTCCAGGAGCATTGGCGCCAACTCCCATCTGTTTTCTTAACTAGGAAATCTGTTAAGAAATGTTGCACAATTGATCCCTTTCTATCTCAACGAGGCTCTGTGAGCTTGTGCAAGGTGGACACAAACCCATGTCTGATTGGTACTTCAGTGGACCGCTCCTTCGTCCTCCTGGTAGAGGAAGTAGATGTTTATGGGGCCGGACGACGTGTGGACAACCTCAGTCACTTGGATCAGACACCAGGCGCCGATCCCATAGGCCAAGCAGGGGATACCTAAACCATCCGAGGAAGAGAAATAGAGAAAATATATCAAATGCGAGGCTCGTCCTCGTGTCTTGGAAATACTGAGTTTACGTTCTCAATGTCTTTTGAATCTTAACACGAATCTCAAGAGCTTCCAGCCCTCCCTGAACTGAACTGACCGAGGTTAACGACCTTCAGGGCTGTGAAGAAACGGTTCTCCAGGCGCAGGTCCTGGCGGGGGGCTCGCGAGCAGTGGTACTTGATGAAGGGGAAGCAGCCCGTCCTGAGGATGTGGTAATTCGTGCCTCCCACGTCCCAGTTGAAATGCGAGAGTCCAAACTGGTCGTTCTCCACGGCGCTGTACTTCACAAAGTAGGAGGTCCAGCAGGGCCGGCTCCGCTGCTGCAGGTGGCGGCTCAGCACCTCGGAGGCTTTGGGTTTGGCCACGCGCCGGCCGAACGGGCGGAGGATTAGGTTCAGCAGTGAGCGGTGAATCCTCTCCATCAGCACCGCCATCGCTGGAGACACAACCAGGTCACTCCGAGCCCACCTGAGCATGGACCAAGAGCAACGTGTCAAAAGAGAAAAGTGTGTGTCTCTGTGGGTGGGGGAGGGGGGAGACGGTGTGTCTCTGAGTGGGGGTGGGGTGAGACAGTGTGTCTCTGTGGGTGGGTGGGGGGGGGAGAGATGGTGTGTCTCTGTGGGTGGGGGAGGGGGGTGAGACGATGTGTCTCTGTGGGTGGGGGAGGGCGGAGACGGTGTGTCTCTGTGGGTGGGGGAGACGCTGTGTCTCTGTGGGTGTGGGGGGGGGAGACGGTGTGTCTCTGTGGTGGGGGGCGGGGGGGGGGGAGACGGTGTGTCTCTGTGGGTGGGGGAGGGGGGAGACGCTGTGTCTCTGTGGGTGTGGGGGGGGGAGACGGTGTGTCTCTGTGGGTGTGGGGGGGGAGACGGTGTGTCTCTGTGGGGGGGGGGGGGGAGACGGTGTGTCTCTGTGGTGTGTGGGGGGGGGGGAGACGGTGTGTCTCTGTGGGTGGGTGAGGGGGGACGGTGTGTCTCTATGTGGGGGGGGGGGGTGGGGGAGACGGGACATCCAACGGACAATTCTCTGGAGAGTCAGTTCACACAGGACTGGGCTGAGTGGCCGCTTTCTGTGCTGCAGAGGCTGATCCCCCCCTCCCCAGCCCAGTGACACTGAGGGTCAACCCCCCTCCTCAGCCCCAGTGACACTGGGGGTCAATCCCCCTCCTCACACTCTGGGGGTCAATCCCCCTCCTCACACTGAGGGTCAATCCCCCTCCTCACACTCTGGGGGTCAATCCCCCTCCTCACACTGGGGGTCAATCCCCCTCCTCACACTGGGGGTCAATCCCCCTCCTCACACTCTGGGGGTCAATCCCCCTCCTCACACTGGGGGTCAATCCCCCTCCTCACACTGGGGGTCAATCCCCCTCCTCAGCCCCAGTGACACTGGGGGTCAACTCGCCGCCGCTGACACCATGACACCCACTTCCTGTCCGCCGCCCCCTCGGTCCCACCGGCCTCACGGGCTCCCGACGGCGGTTCCGCCTGGACTTTTGGTTCCCCCCCAAACTGACCCTGACCCCAACTACACCATCTCCCCCCCCACCCCCCCCTCCCCCTCCCCCCCCAGCGCCCCTCCCCCTCAGAATTCACTGCTTTACAAACCTTTAAATGTGCTGTTTATATATATATATATATATACACACACAAAAAAGGGGTTTATTGACATTTTAAATGCCAAAGTATTAACGTCCACCTGACGTGTCGGACAGATGGTCAAGTGTCTCTGGAGCGTCGACAACAACAACAACTTGCGTTTATATCGCTCCCTCCGCCCCGGACGGCCTCGCGGAGCGCCTGAGTCTCTGAGCACGAGAATCAATGCTGCTGCCGATGTCGCTTTGCGGCGCGTTTTATTTTACGAGCGTCAGCGGCAACCGTGTGCTCAGTAAATGGCCCGATCAATCATCATCATCATCATCAACATCATCATCATCGTCAACACAATAATAATAATAATAATAATCATTGCATTTGATATGGCGCCTTATCACATCATCAAGCCGCTTCAGAGCGCTTCATGGGAAATTGTCTTTATGTATATATATGTGTATATATATGAAGTGGTTTTGACTGTGTATAATGCTACGGGAAAATGGTGCCTTTATCAAGTGAACCACCCAGTAATTTGCTGGCGAAAGGGTATGGCTCACTGTACATTCATTCATATTGTCAATTAATCCACTACACGGTGATCGCTCTACGCATCTGTCTCTCCCAACCACGTCTTTTGAGCACCCACCAGAGGCAGGTATTTTATACCGGGTTTGCCCTCCTTCAGTAACATCACAGGTCAGGAAGGCAATCCTCTGGGCTGGGGTTTGATGATGTGACATCTGCACAATAAACTGGGGGTAATTGATCCCGAGGATGCTGATGACCAGTAGTATTGATAGGAATAATAACAAGGGACAAGGGAAAATCCATCCCAGCAGTAAATCTACAGATTTACATATGTATATTCGCCCACAAATATAGGGTCAATTGACTTTACAGTATATTCTGTGAAGTTCTTTGAGATGTCTAGAAGAGGTGAAAAGCACTATATCAAATGCAAGGATTATTATTACGTTTATATAGCCTGTACAGCACAGAAACAGGCCATTCATCTCAACCAGTCCATGATGGTGTCTATACTCCCCACAAGTCTCCAACCGCTCCTTTCTCCCTCCCACATCCTTCTATTCCCCTCTCCCTCACGTGTATATCTAGCCTGCTCTTCAACGCATCTATAGTATTGAATTCAACCACCATTACTTTAGAATATTAAATGGAGTGGGTGAGAAGATGATTAAGAATGTTTTTTTATGTGAAAAGTAAACTGAGCCGACTCCTTTTAATTCGAGCCTGTACAGTCAACAGGCAGGGGAGAGAGAGCTTTGTCCAATTAGTCTGGGATGGATTCAAACCCAGATCCCAGAGACGGAAGGATGGCATGCCAACACACGGCGTCACTAAGTCCCCTCTTGCTGTCCCAGTGAAACTGCTTCCCAGGCTCTTGTTGACTGGCTTTACCTTGTCTAAAGGGCAGTGGTTCAACTTTGGCCCTGATTTTCAGTGTCAGTGACACTGGCTCTTACACGCCTTGCACACAGATACACAGGAAAGAATTACGAGCTAGGAATACAGAGAAAGATACATAGTTATTGATCTCATCAGTAACGTTGAGGTCAGGTTAACACAGTACGGGACAGACGTTGAGTGGTGGAAAGGAAGGTGGATGGTTAGAGATACCACAGTCTGGGTAGCATCAGCTGTTGTTTCTGTCTAAGTTATAATTACATGAATAATAGCAAGGTACAGAAGAAGGGAGGTATTGTACAATATGGTAATAAGCTGGCTAGTTCTAAGGATTGCAAAAGGGTCATAGTCAGAATATTTTAATCAGATAAATAATTAATGTTTTGTGGAAGTGATCTATTGTGAGCTATGTTAATAAGGCAGATGGCACATATTTAGATCAATCTGGCCCTGAATGAACCTTCTTGATATTGCTACTGTTGTTTATACATCTGAGATGGTGAGTTGGTGGGTAAGGTTCCTCCAGGTTAATGGAAGGGGGAACACTTTCAAAGCACGTTCTTCCCCTCCAGGCCTTTCTCAGATTTTCCATGCAGATGGATTTTCTGGTCCAGGCAGAAACCATACTATAATAATATAATAATCCTTGCATTTGATATAGCGCTTTTTCACGTCTTCTCGACGTCTCAAAGCGCTTCATAGAATATACTGTAAAGTGAATTTACTGTATATTTGTGGGCGAATACTAGCTTTTTACAGCGCTATCAGGTAAAGGAAAGAGCCAGCACAAACACATTAGGCTGAATGACCGTCTGCTGTGGTGAGGGTCTATGAATCACCATGGCAAGCATTATTTGGATGAACTAGCCTGTTTCTGTGCAGTATTGTTCACACTATGTAACATGGCCCATGTTTGACCAAGAGGGTGGAATCTTCCCTCCACACCTCTGTCCCTCCTGCTCTGGAATTGGCCACTAGTCGGTGTGTGAGAGCAGCTTTGGAAGACACCTGTGAAAGGAGATTCCTATTGCTTTGTAGCTACGATATAATGGCCCAATGCATGGTGCTACCAAAGTCACACTTGATAAAAAAAATGCTTGGTTCAATCTGTGATGCCTCCTCCCACAGGACCCATCAAAGAGGTTATGTAGAGAAGTGCTGAGTGGCCAGGCAGTCAGCCAACCGCTCCCTCCCTTGGCTGACTTGGGGCTGCCATCAATTCTTTAATGGTTCCCATCTCAAAGCTGCCAATCATTTCTGTATTGTGTCCAGGAGTTGTGTATTTATGCAACCTGTTTTACTTTGATATTTCACAGCCTCGTTCATCATTGCGTTCATTTACTATCCCAGGATGATTGTACTTGGACTGTGCTGAGACAAACACTTGGCGAAACGGACAGCAGTAAATAATGGTCAAAAATATCACAACCTTGGTCAGCAAGCAGCCTAGTTTATTCTGTGCGCTCTTTGGACTCATTGAGACGATCTATCGAACACTGATTGTCAAAGACAACCATCCTTTTGTGACTGAGCTCCCAGGGTCCACTCCATTTTCAATGGAATGTTAAACTAAGGGCAATTGTGTATAGGCCTTAGTATAGAGTAATATAAGGAACTGGGTTGAAAATGGGCCAACTTGATAGCGCCCAAAACCCCTGTCAGCCAAGACTCTCACTCCATCAGCCTCGGCTCCATCCAAGCCCAGATCGCAGTGATGACAGTACTAGCTGTTTATTTAGGTAAAAGATGAAAGTGGGGGCCGCCCGCCCAAGACAAGCCTGTATTGTAGTAATCTAGCGAGAGGAAAACAGCGCATGCTCTAAGAACGGGGACCGAATATCCGAATCCTCAATGATCTGTCTGGGATCTATTGCAATTCTGACATGAGTAAGAGGCAGATCAGACAGACCTCTCCGTGTAAACACTGCAACAAGTTTAAGTATTTTGGGCTGGAGTAAACACTGAGTTAAACAGGAGGCACGGCTGGAGGCTGGCACCCTGCACCATAAAACTGAAGTTGGGAATGAAGTACTTTGTTGGAATGCCTTGCGAGATTTTACACTGTGTCCACGTGAGGGTCTTTGGGAGCCTGTCCGGATCTCTCCTCTTGTGCTCTGGTCTTGTTCTCCACTGTAATTCCAAGGATTTCTTCAATGTCTTTGATTGCTGTCTGGAAATTGAATGGGAGCATTATGTTCTGTGTAACGTTGTGAGTCCGCTTGGCTAACTCAGGCCCCTCCCTGCCCTCTCTCTCTCTCAGTGGCCAAGTCTGGGCTGATTTACCCCCCGACACCCCCACTCCCCCACCTTCCCCGCCCATGGCTGCACAATAGTCTAGGGTTAATAACAGCCGCAAAAACATCAACTCAAAACAGGAGGCTTTGATGCTTCAAAACCAAGATGGCTACCAAGGAAGGGCAAAGGTCTTCATTTCAATACTGATTTACACCAGTCCATTCATTCCTGCTGTAAGGACAACTCCAGGCTATTAGCAATCTTTAATCTACATTATATTAATATGTGAATTCATTCAGTGTCCCAGAGCTTTCTGCAAGGCTCTCAGCTGTCTAAAATATGGCTCCATATCCCTTAGTTCCTGGGGTACCTGGGAGCCCTGAAGACTCTGATCTGTAGACTACAGTAATATTTCCGATGCTTAATATCTGGAGGATAGTTGCAATGACTGACAAACAATGGGGCTCCCACCCTCAGCTCCGGTGCCCAGCTATAGAATTGTCAGACGATTAGGGGTGTCCTCCCGGTGTGAAAGCTGCTGTGGTGCAAGTGTACACTGTACTGTAATTGTATTGACAACACGGGCGGTGATGTGCGGAAGCTATGGCAACCGCGATTGAACTTTCAGAGCAAAGTCAAGGTGGGTGGAGGAGGTGCCGTGCGTTGCTTTATAATAATAATAATAAACCTTACATTTGATATAGCACCTTATCACGTTTTCAAGACGCCTCAAAGTACTTCACAGGATATATAACAACTTGCATTTACGCCCTTCACGTGGGATAGAGTCCCTGAGCACTTTATGCTGCAAAGTGAATTGCCTGTATATTTTTGAAGGAAAAACGCGGCAGCTTATTGCACCACAGCAGTGTCCCACAAACAGTTGTGGATTGAGTGACCAAATTATTATATTTGAAGGAATTATTACCCTTGGAAAAGCGATCCGTCAATTGATTAACAACCAGGTTCCTGCTTACTGCTAGGTAAACAGAGGCGTGTGGAATAACGTTTCGCCCTGTCCGGGAATCGAACCTCTCCTCTCGCTTATGAGGCAAGTGCTCTAACCACTAAGCTACAGGACAATAGAGTCGGCAAGACGTGTTCAGTCTGAACGCCGAGCTGGTGAGGAGCGCTGGTCACTTTTATAATCGTCCACGAAATCGCCACAAAAACAAACAAACGATGCTGCCGATGTTAATACAGTACCCGGCAGGAAATTAACAACCAACGTTGGTTAATTAACGTCTCACCTTAAAATTGTTTTTGCCTTGCATACTAGGTGCTGATATTTCCTGATGAATGACAGAGAGATTACGAGCAAAGGTCACCAGAGCCCCGTGGAGCTCCTCGCCAATTGTTCTGTTAATGATATACAAACAAATGAGTTTACTAATGATTCGCTTTACATGCTTAAAAACAATCACAGTCTCATTTCGGAGAAGTGCTGATGGAATTTAATGAGCGTTCTTCTGCTCCTCTCGGGAGGATAAATCTCCTGGGAAATATGAACGATGAGCCACTATATCTTTACACATCAACCGGAGGATTTCGTGCAATAAATATGTTTTATTAATCAATATCCCGCCGAAAACAGTAGCAGCTTAACACTGAATTGCGTCACGCCATCGGATCTGTACAGTTGACAAAACTGTTCACAGTGAGCTTATAGGAGTGTGGTTACCTCTCTGTATGAGCTACAGTACAGCATAGCCCAAGTCTGTTACCACACCCTGGTACAGCCTGGCTTTGCTTCCAGCGCTGGTGTCTCACGGACCAGGGCTAATGCAGGTCACTCGTGTCTAGCGCCAAGTAACAACAACAACAACAACTTGCATTGATATAGCGCCCCTCACGCAGTGTAGTGGCTCAGAGTAGTCGGCTGCCTGAGCTAAACAATGACCGACTTCCAGATCGTCAGCTGATGTCACTTCCTGTGACCTTCCTTCACGAGTGTGATGTCGCAGGCGTTTCCTGCGCTGAGTCAGGGAGGGAGATCCACAGTGACCCGAGCACGGCCACTGAGGTGGCAACATGGACGACCACGTGATAACAAGGTTCTCTCCCGTACACCTGTGTGACACTGAACCTTCTGCAGCCCAAGTCCTCGTCAACTCGGGGTCAACCCCTTTAAACTCTCCCTCCTTCGCCCTTGCCTGGTCATCCACATCATCGCTGTGAAGCACTCCCACCCCTCTGCAGCTCAGTGCGAGTCTCAGCGCTCCGAGGCACCACCCACTGCCCCACGGGATGGGCGATTATATAAATACAAGATGTTGTTGTTGTTGTTGAACAGCATAAACGTTCTACTGGACAATAGAGGCTGCGTCCCGAGCGAGCTCCCAGCGGTGACAGACTCACATCATCCCCAGGTGTTCTCTCTTGTGACTTTCATGGAATGTGAAGAACGTTCCCTGTCTGGCCTGTCGGAATACAAGGCAAGATGTTTGATACCCTGAGTGATATGTTGCGAGCATTTCCTGGCAGGTGCAGCACAATGAGTCTTCCCCGACCACTCCTCCTCCTCCAGATGTGAACGTTTGTAGCTGTGATGTGGGTGGGGGGGCTTCTGCAATGAGGCTCTGCTATTGTTGGGATGAAAACCAATGGAAGGCACAGATGGTGGGAGGAAGAGGGGACTCTTGTCAAACACCAGCCTGGGGGATGGTTGTGGAGCCAGGCCAGGCAGAGGGCTGGATGTTCCTCCGTTCATTCTCTTGGCTCAGAGACAACATGTGGTCGAAGGAAGGGAGTGGGGGAAGTTTGAACATTCAATGATAAGTGCCTTGTTCCCTGTGAACATCACTCGGTCAACTCTGTTCTTTTGTGTATTCTGTTGTGTCAGAGTCACAGGATATCAGTGACACAACAACAACAACAGATTATATTTATACAGAGCCTTTCACGTTAGAAGGACGACCTAAAGCACTGGACAAGTTAAGGGTTTGCACCCAAGCTGGGGGTTGGAATCAAGAGGGGTGGAGGATAGCGGCGGTGTGGCCGAGACAACGGTGAAAGAGGAAGGTCTTGAGACGGGCCTCGAAGGAGTAAAATAAAAGATAAAAAAGAATTGACAGAAACTATATAAAAAAANCACAAACATTTCAAATCTATGAATACTATTTCGAGATTCAAGTGATGTTTAACTTTCACCAACTGGGTTTCTGATGTGACCTGAACGCAGCGTCTCTGACAGCCTGTAACTTGTTCACGTACAGTCTACTGGATATTCTTTCCGCTTGTAATACTATGACGGTTTGTCAGTGTGTACAGGTTTATGTCACTGAGTTACTTTTAGCCGCTCCATGACCTTGCCAACAGGGCCGTGCAGCAACTGAGGCCTCCTCAGTTAAACTGAAACATCCTGTGCAAATCTTTATAAATAAGTAAGTAAGCCAGTTAATTGATCGCAGCTTGAATAAAGAGGGTTACATTATAAGAGGGAGTCTGAGGGGCTGCACTGCCCAATTTTACTAACTGGATTATGGCCGGCTCACATTACATACCCCGGTAATACAGTTCACTTTATCCGCTCACGGGTTTGGCTTTGAGATGACCATTTTAATTCAAGCGCACACCCACACGCACACGCCTCTGACAGACAGACAGCAGGTCCGAAATTTTACCTGGTCTCAGCCTGTCACATAGCTTTATCTTCAAGTTTAAGATTATAGTAATAATAATAATAATGATAATAATTCACCCATAAAATACAATCAATCCAATTTACTGTTCATCCTGTGAAGCGCTTTGAGACGTCTCAATGACGTGATAAGGTACTATATTTCCTTTCCTTTCTTTTTCTCTCTCTCTTTGGTCCGCCTTTGGTCACCTTCCTCCCCCTCTCCCTGGCTCAGCCCCGGGATCCGTTACTGTGAAGCGCTCTTAGACGCGGTCCGGCGTGGAGGGCGCTATATAAATCCAAGTTGTTGTTGCTATATCAAATGCAATAATATCAGTATTATTAATAATGATCCTTGATTTAGTGCCTTTCACATTGGGAGGATGTCTGAAAGCGCTTCACATGATTTACTGGAAAGTGTAGTGACTGTGTGTCTTGTAAGGGAACGTGGCAGCCAATTTGTGCACAGCAATGTCCCCACAAACAGCTGTGCAGTAAGTGACCAATGTTATCTCAGGCACTGCTGTGGAGCAATAATTTTTAAGATATTTTAATTCAGTATTAATTTGGAAGCTTTCTTTGAAGAAGTGCAGAAAAAACAACCCCCCCCACAAAAAATAATCATCCGCTTGTGGGTTTAACAAAATATTTGATAGAGTAGAGGAGACGTGGGCTGTTATGTGCATGGAGAGGTTTAATAAGATTTCCACGTGTGTCTAATATAACATGTATCTCATTAATCCCCATCCACTACCTTCTCCACAGTCTGCTCGGGACAGTCTGGGATTCATGAGTGATTTGTTTAATAGAATAAAACCACAGTTATAATGAGTTAAGCAAGGAACTCCGAGAGGTTCACTATTGAGCAACATTCTGACACGGTGGTGGGAGCGGGGGGAGAGAGAGAGAGAGAGAAAAAGAGGGGAGAGAAAGAGATTAAGAGGAGGTGGAGAGAGAGAAAGAGAAAAAGAGAGATAAGCAGAGAGAGAGGAGTGAGAGAGAGAGCAGAGAGAGAGAGAGAGACTTGCCTACCTTCACATCATAGCCAATTCCATGAGCCTTGCACATCTGGAGGAACACATTGTAGTGGACCACGGACAGACTGCTGTGTTCCAACTGTGTGCTTAGCACTGCGAAACGCCTGGTGACGGGAAGTTGCTGAAAGGCAAATCACAATCCAGTCTAGGATAGTTATACACCCGGCCATGGCCTTATTAAACTTAAACCAGGAATTCAGGTAACCGCATCTGCCCAGCCCAGTGACTGGCTTCCTACAATCCAACTGGTTGAGACCCAAGTCAATCCCCTTGTACCAGCTTCAGGGAAAAGCAGAGAAAACTTCACCAGTCAGACCCACAAACAGGTGTGCGAAATATACAAAACACAGTCACTAGACTTTACAGTATATTCTGTGAAGTGTTTGAGACGCCTCAATGACATGATTAGTTGCTGTAACAAATGCAAGGATTATCGTTATTAGAACCTGGGTGGAATCTGAAATCATTGCCTGTGTATACATCCTCTCGACGTGCAGGGCGCTGCACAAATGTTGTTGTTGTATAATAATAATAATCCTTGCATTTATACAGTGCCTTATCACGTCCTCGAGACATCTCAAAGCGCTTCACAGAATATACAGTAAAGTGAATTGACTCTATATTTTGTGGGCGAAACACAGCAGACAATTGTGCACAGCAGCGTCCCACAAACAGTCATAGATTGAGTGACCAATTTACTATCATTATTTTTCTGGAAAAGCGATCCACCAATCGACTAACAACCGGGTTCCTACTTACTGCTGGTAAACAGAGGCATGTGGTGTAAGGAAACTTGCACAAAGTTTCGCCCTGCCTGGGAATCAAACCCAGGTCTCTCGCTTGCGGGCCGAGTGCTCTAACCACCGAGCTACAGAACTCCATTGTATATAATGGAAGGGAGAGAAGGAATGAAAGGGAGACTTGAGGAGAGCTGAAACCACTGGAGAGAGGGAGAAACTTTTAAATAAATAAATAAGTAAATAAATAAATGCTGGCTGAGCATTTTGAGCAGACGGAAAGGAGCATATTTCACACCAGTATAAAATGGTAAATCGCAGGTGTTAGCGAGCATGATGATAGATACAGTGCTTGAGAGACGGACGGGGAATGATGCACTCATTTATACAGTAATTTATGAGATCCCCTGAAGGAGGGTAAGGCGGCTGAGAACAGACTCTATCCATTCTTTCCATTAAACAGTATCAGTGGTTACAGTGCGGTTCCAGAAGGGTTAATCCTGTGTTTGACTCTCGTTCACTTGTGAAATATTTAAACTACTTTCTGCAATCTGCCATCTGAAAGCCCTGAGTTTTTTTTAAAAGACAGTGAAAGCTACTCGCGATTCATATACTCACACGGCGCTTTTTAATAACAATAAAAATTAATAATATAAAAATCCAGGGGATGTCAGGATCCTCCTCCACAGAGATCCCCCCGCCCCCCATCTCCCTCGCTCTCCTCCCTTCCAGCACCAAAACAGATTTAAATATTTTTTTTACAAAGTTAATTCTGTTCAGCATTAATAATAATAATAGTAATAATCCTTGCATTTGATATAACGCCTTAACACATTTTAGAGACGTCTCAAAGCGCATTCATAGAACACACTGTAAAGTGAATTGACTATATTTTGTGGGCAAAACCCGGCAGCCAATTGTGCACAGCAGCGTCCCACAAACAGTCGTGGATTGAGTAACCCAATTTTTTTTGGGGGTGTGGGGGAAGGATTATTACCTCCAAAGCTATCCGCTAATCAACTAACAACTGGGTTCCTACTTACTGCTAGATAAACAGGTGTACGGAGTAAGGAAACAACAATGATTAAATTTGTATAGTGCTTTTCACGTCGGGAAACACTTCATAATTAAAAGTTTCTGAAAATGTGGCGGCCGTCAATCGGACAGGGACTCAGTCGCCTGGAAGCCGGGAGGGACAGGAGCTTCCTACTCGGCGTGAATTGTCTCATTGAAAATTAATCATGTTTATAATATTCATAGAGTTACTAACACTCATTGATCATATCATTAACTGTAAAGGAGAGACTTACGGAATCTGCTGTACGCACGATGGCAACTGCAACTAAATTAATGTTTGACAGAATAATACAAGCAGCAGTTTAACAACCGTAAACTTGAATATCATTGCAATAATAGAGTACTATTGTTTAACATTTGGCAGAAGTTGATGAGGTGCTCATTATAACAATGATGTATGCATATGCATGCATAATAAATTGCGTTATGAATTATTTATGTGTTGATTATTTGGTTCCATTTATGTAGAACTGTAATGTATTGCAAATAATAATAATAAGGCCTGGGTTTTATGGATATAGTCATCTCTTTCTTGGGGGATGGCTTTTGGGTGTGAATGTCTGTTTTAATAATAATAATAATTTTTTGCTTTCAGGCAATTTCATTCCAATAAGGTTTTGCAATGGAATAATTTCTCACGCAAGTGTTAATTAATTGCTATATTCTGTTTTTAACCCCGCTGACATCCAAAAGTATGTAAGGGCTCAGTAATGACTTCTAATTAATTTCTGATTCTAATGAGAAGCACGGTTATGAAATTATTTTATGGTTGAGGTGGCTCAAGATTCTAATTTGATTGCTACCACACAGTCTACACTTACTATTTGTTCCACCTTCTCCTCCTCTCCCATGTGTCTCTGCGTCTTCGTCTCGTGGAACGCTGGGGGCACGTGAAGCATGTTGGCTTTGAGGTCCAGACTCCCATCCGTGATGTACAGCATCAGCTGGGTCATGGCCAGGTGGTCACTGTAACACAGGTCCAAGTCGGTGGCCCAGACCTGGGGAGACAAGTCACTCAATGAGACTCAGGCCAACAGCTACCAATACCCTACTCTACTTTGGTTAATAACATTCTTAGCATTTCATATCACGCTTCATCACTTTCTGGGAAAGATTCCCAAAGAAATCCAGTGAGCTACTTTGAAATAAGGTGACTCCATGTAGACAAACATGGAGATTCATCTGGCCAGAAATCTCGTTCAATGAGGGAATCCCTTATCTGTGTTTTTTTGGGTGTTGGGGTTATAATAATAATAATCATAATAACACTTAGGGAAGAGGGTCCGTATGATGGAGTTATTGAGTATAAAGGAGCAGAGTAGGTAAGGAGCTGTTTAATCAGGATTAATAATAATTTATATGTTGGTGAATGCAGTGTTCACAAGCCTTATGCTGGACTAGAGGCTGACAGAATGTGTCCCATAAGTGGTAGATTATATAGAACAGGATCCTGATGAAGTAGTTAATTTTGGGATAATTGAGACTCTTAAAAGAGCTGGATCAATATGTGCTGAGCAAGGGGATCAAGGGTTAGAGGCTAGTGACAGCTCCGTGTGATTACCGTGGAGTTGCAATGAGAATGGAAGAATTTAGGGGATCGATGTGAAGGAAGTGGAGGGGGTCGGGGGAAGAGAGAAAGAGTCATTAATAGAGCAGCACTGTTTGAGTTGTGGGACTGGGCGGCCAGGCCTGGTGAGCTGAGTGGCCTTGTCTTGGTTTAGGTTCTCAGTGTTGGGGTTCTCTACGCACTTTCAGCCATTTACAGTCTCCTGTATTCTTATCTCAACAAAGGTTAGTGCACAGCTCTCCGTACTCTCTGGTCTGTGGTAAAGTTTTTAGTTTCTCAGCAGATTCCCCCCGAAAATATCAGAATGCGCAATCAGGCCATGCGGAGGCCATTTTTATCATTTGGGGCATTTGCTTCCTCAATAAGTACCTCTGTTCTCAGGAAGGCATCTGAGACGTGCAAATGGGAGCCAGGTTTATGCCACACTGGCTCACCAGGCCCCAGACACGATGTACTGCTGGAGCGATGCAGGGAGGGGGGAGTAGGAGGAGGGAAAGGGGAACCTGAGGGGAATCATGCTGTTAATGTTCACCCACAAAATACACACTTTACAATATATTGAAGCGCTTTGTGACGTCTCAACGACGTGATAAGGCGTGATATCAAATGCAAGGATTATTAATATTATTAAGTAACCCCTAATAACCCCCCCACCCCCAAAAAAAGTCACAATGATATCGCTGTGGCGTCCACATGTTCTGCTTCAACCTTTGAGCCTCAAACAGAAGCTGAACGAACCCACAGCAGAGCGACTCCTACTGAGCACAGGATAGATGCTGTTGGTTTGAGCAGCCAGAGAGCCAGTCGTGGCTGATGTCAGTGAGCGAGGAATGGTTAATGACATAATTATAAGGATATTAAGAGGTCAGAGAAACAAGACCATCTGTTATAACAGGACTAATTTCCAAGCAATATTTTAGCAACCCTGCCCTCCCCCACCCCCACCTCTCTGCCTCCTTCCCCCATCCCCTCTAAAGTGAGAAATAAATTATAATTGATATTGTCCTGAAAAAATAGTCCTGTTAGACTCAGCGCTGCCATTTTTCAACTTAAGTGTTCGATGCCAGAAACAAGATGCAAATTCATTACTAAAGCCCTTTCTTTCAGTTAGCAACTGCAAGGGCTCACCTCCCAGCTCAGCCTGAAACAGAGAGCGTTGTGTGTGTGGGATGGCGGAGTGTCGGGCTAGCACACATAAAATACACTTGCTGGGATCAAAGTGTCACCAATGTCTCAACACATTCATTTCCACTTATTCAGTCAAAACAGTTCAAAGCAAGCCCCAATATTGTCTCATTTCCGTCAATAATCTTGATTTCCACCCCCCCACCCAAGATAAGGGTCAAAAGAATGTGTCACGTACAGTGGGTTATTTTATGCCACACAAACACTTTAATCCTCATTACACTAATGTTATTTTCAGGGTATTTATACAAGTTTAATTTACTGCTTTTCTGTAAGAAGAGAAGCCAATGAACCATATTTAGTTATTTGAAAGCAATTTCAATGGGGAAGAAGTTTACTTTACTTCTTAAGGCCTCCCCTCCGAGGCCTTTCATCTCCTTTTTCTAAGACTTGGGGGCAAAGCTTCTTAAAACGTCAAAGAAACAGTCATTGATCTGAGCAGCAGGACAGTAGGGCACAGGCTCGCTGGTGTGAAGGGCAATGTCACACACATACATCACTGAGTACTTCTTTACACAGAGAGGACTCAGTGACAGAAACACGGTTACCCGGTAGGGTAGTTGAGGCCGGATATTGGACTCATTTCAGAAACAGCCTGCCGTTATGATGGGAAGTGAGTGGGCAGGTATTCTAGAAGATGGACTGAAGGGACTTCTTCAACCAAATCACGTGAGTGCTGGCCATAGCAAATACCAAAACCATTTACTTGCACACAGTATAATTATAACAAGACGGTTCAAGCATGCGATCTGAACCACCGCAATACACAGAATCTGCTCTGCACACAATTGTAGTGGGTGGTGTTAACAGTATCAATGCTTTCTGTCCAGCTACCCCCCCACCCACACTGCCCTCACTCGCCCCCATGTGCTCCTCCCCTCGCCCCCCCCACCCACACTGCCCTCACTCGCCCCCATGTGCTCCTCCCCTCGCCCCCCCCCCACCCACACTGCCCTCACTCCCCCACATGCTCCCCCCTCGCCCCCCCACCCACACTGCCCTCACTCACCCCCACATGCTCTCCCCCTCGCCCCCCCCACAACACTGCCCTCAACCCCCCACATGCTCCCCCCCTCGCCTCCCCCACTCACATTGCCCTCAACCCCCACATGCTCCCCCCCTCGCCTCCCCAAACCCACACTGCCCTCAACCCCCCACATGCTCCTCCCCTCGCCCCCCTCATCCCTGCCTGTTGCGCTGGGCAGCATCTATCCAACAAGCAATTTACTAAACTCTGCAGACTGACTGTCCAGGATGGAGCTGAGCTGAACAGTCCAGGATCATTGTTCGGTGCAACAAAAAGAGATTGAAATGTGATCCTGAATCATACCTGTTTGTATTGTCTATGTTTTCATTAAAGCTGCAATCTAGCAGCTGAGGCTCCATTGCTCCAGCGTGCGCCACAGAGCTCTGAGGGCAAACATATGTGACCTGCCTCCTCCTTAAAGAGAGCTCGCATTTAGCAACAGGTAGAGATTTAAATGGATATGGGTCTACAAATGCATCTGTTCAAAGCAAAGAGGGCTTCTGTTCACGTTCAATGTTATGCGGCGGATTATGGCGAGTGTTCGCGGTTGGATTCAATGATTGGTTTGTTTCTCTCATCTCCTTTTCGTGGCTATTTGAGAAAGACCATTAAAACAAAAAGGCACCCAGCTGAATGTTAAAGTCCTGGCTGTTTTTGACTCCTCTGATCTGCTGAGATTGGCCAGACTTTAGGAACATGGAGACATATGTCGATTCACCGCTGGTCAGGGAATCAGTAACAAGCGGCGTAAGCTGAGGATTGTCACGGGAAGAGTTAGAGCGGATGTTTAGGAAATGTTTACACGCAGAGGGTTATTAAAACACCACCGCAAGTGGCGATTGATGCCACGACCAGAACAACATTGCAAAAGGAATTGGAAAAGTATTGAAGGGAAACGGTATGAAACGCAGTGAGGAACGATCAGGCAATTGGGATGAGAATAGATGGCTCCAGTGGAGGATCTGGGCTGGATAAGCCTAATGGCCTTCTGTTATGTATTTTCTAGGATTTGGAGTCTAATAATAAAATAATAATGGTCTTAATCACATCCCAACATCTCAAAGAGCTTCAAGGGGCTTCTGTACAGAGTAGTGAGTGACTGGGTATTTTGTTGGCGGATGAAGCAGACAATTTGCACACAGCAACGTCTAGACAATAGGTATGAAGTGAATGACAATTTTGTGTTGTGTAATATTTCTTTTGAGCGTTGGTAAGCAAATAAACCTAATCCCTGAATTCTTATTCCAAAAATCTCCACAATGCACCAGGTTCAAATTGATATACAGGAGCCTGCAGAGAGCAGGAGAGAGAGCAGGAGAGGTCAAGTGACATGGCGGCACTTCACAAGGAAATCTTACTGAGGATTCCAACAGAGCCTGCCAGACAGTCCTCAATGAGAAAGACAACCACGACAACTTGCACTTATACATCGCCTTTCACGCAGGGAGGTGTCACGGAGCGTTGATTAGACATTTACAGGATGTGCAGAAGGCCATTCAGCCCTTTGACTTGAGAAATTACAGGATTTTCTCCAGGAGATTGACTCTGAGAGCATCGATGATAAAATGTAAAGACACAATGCAGACGAGTACTCCAAGTACACAAACTACTCTCCTTGTCTAAAGGTCACAAGAGGTTCTGCTCAGCTCTCTCTTGGTAATCGAAAGGCTACCTATGGACTCTCAGTGTCCAAATCAGAGACAACAACAACATGCAATTATATAGGGCCCTTCATGTAGGGAATGTCTCGGAGCGCTTCACAATGACGGGATTGGACTCTGAGCAGGGAGAGCAGGGTGGGGGCCATAGGCATGTTTGAAGAGGGAAGATTAAGGGAACTTCCCAATGGTCCAGTCTGACCCTGGACTGGTTCCCCTGCAGGGACTCCTGCTGGGGAAGGTGGGTGTTGGTGAGAGCAGGACCAGGGCTCTGTGATTCCACACCCCCCAACTCCCACTCAACGACGATAATAATAATAATGATAATAATAATAATAATAATGCTTGCATTTTATATAGCTCCTTATCAAGTCAGGAGATCAGTGGCCGGGGGGAGAAATTAAACTGATATTTATTAGTAACATGCAAGCCATTGGCTATCCTGGTCCCTGTCTTTACGCCAGGCTGTGCTGTGAGCAGCTTTCACACCGTTAGTTAGTTCTACTGAGCCTAAAGGCAGGAATGAGCGCGAGCTTTACCATATAAAAAAACACACACACCGGGTAAAAAGAACCATAAAGAGATTTTTTCCCGCACTTCGGATCTGTGCGGGAACTGAGCAAACACCTCACTCTGCAAACCCAACACAAAGGCTGTGGCGTGAAAGGGCTCATGAAGGCTGCCACCTACTGGTGACTGTGCAGAACATCGGAGCCCCAGCCCCACCGTGGCCTCGCGCTGCAGTACGGCTAAAGCAGAACTGTGCCGCATCGTACCTGAAGCACACAGAACCACTGAGGGCCAACAGGAGGAAACTGCCAATTATTTATAAACAGGAGAAAACAACAGATGCTCTGCAGGGGGTGGGGGTGGGGGCGCTGGGGAACCATGCGCGTTTTAGCGGTGTGGGTTTTGACCACGTTGTCTGACGTCCGTCCGACGTGAGAGACGCTATATAAATGTAATTCGTGGAGGTTGTTAAATGGATAAGCAAGGGACTCCCATTCTTCTCTGCAGTTTGGGGAGGGAGAGAGAGAGAGAGAGAGAGTGTGACGGAGCAGGGGACCGAGGAAGGGAGGGAGGTGGAAGAAAAATAATTTTATTCAGTTTAACTGGGTCTGAATCAAAAAAGCCACGAGAGTAATCACAGACTTATTAAACTGAATCAAAGTTATGGCAGTAAAATATACTTAGAGAGAAGGGGAGGGAGGGGAAGGCGGTGGGGGGGGGCGGACTAATAAAACATAAGTTAAATTAATTAAAATAACTGGCCTGATGTGGTATTAAGGTATATCCCTGGGTGTCAAAGCTAACCCTTTAGCCTACAATTAGTCTGTTGACCTGAAAAGACGCATTAGCTCATTCACTACTTTTTATAGCCGATGTGTCACGAAGAAGCACATTATATTTTTTGTAATCTCTTTTTCATCATTACCCAGGGAGCTGCGATCTTTATTAGTCAGCCTGATATACGGACCGCAATTTATGTCCATCTCACCTGCTGCTGCATTGTAAATGGGTGGATGAAGGTCACTAGGTCAACTGAGAAGTAGCCCATTACTCCTCGGGATTTACAGGCCCGTGCGATCTCCACACACATGGAGTGTAAATTGCCTGGATTCACGGAGCACTGAGGCACGGAGGCCCCCCAGCACTGCAGGGGGCTGGTGGCGTGGATCTGGTCCCCGCATGACACCATCGAGATCTCGCCCGTGGGTTCGATCAGCATGTCCACCGTCAGGTTGGTCACACTCTGTGAAGGGGCGAAGGCTTCGATCACCCCGCCTGAAGAGAGGAAGCGGAAAGGAAATCAGTACCGACGGACGGACAGAGCAGGGCGGCCGCTGAGCCAACAACAACTTGTATTTATATCGCACCGCGTCCCAGAGCCCTTCACAGTCTATGGTGTAAAGTGGATTGACTGTGTATTTTATGGGTGAAACCCAGAGCCAATGGCACACAGCATTTGGAATGGAACGAATAGGATACAGGATGAACAAAGAGTAACAAAGGGGTGAGAGAGAAGCTGTCCCAGTCCCCTCTAGCTCCCGTCACCCATTACTTTCTACTCTGAGTCACCCTCTCACTCTTCACTGAAACCACACGGTTTTATTATGTCAGATCTGACTTTTTGTGGACTCAGTAGTACAAGTTATTTTCCAGAGCAGGTGGATTTCACTGGGTTGCGAACAGCATCCAAACCACGTTGTGTACTTAACTCTACATAATCCTGAGCAAAGCATTTGAATATCGCTATTAGGAGATGTACTTTCTTTAGGTTTTTAAGCTGCAATATTGCCATTTTAATAGTTGTTAAAACCGACTCTCGGGAGCATGATTGTGAATAGAAATTGCACAGTATTACAATTGAGTTGCTGACTGAGATCAAATTCTGATGAAATTCCATAGCCATCACGGGAAGATGCAGTAAATCTGCGCTGGAGAATAGATTACCAGTTTTTAATGTAGTTTTCATCTCTGCGTGCTATCATTTACAAAGAAAATGAAAAGCAACCAAGCAGAGAGACATCCACAATTCACGTTACACCATACTTGCTCCGAGCTGAATTAAAGAGTTCCAAACACGGAAAAAAAAATATTGGCCAATGTAACAATACGGAAACATTTCCTATAATAATGAGCAAACAATTCAGATTTGACTTTTATGTGTTTTTTTTCTCCAGACCTTTGTCCTCTTAATTTTTCAAAAGCCTGCACACAGCGGCTAGAATGACATTACCACATGTTTATAATAACAATAATCCTTGTTTTTGATATAGCACCTTATCATGTCTTCGAAACGTCTCAAAGCGCTTCACAGGATACACTTGTGAAGGTGATTTGTTGAATAGAGCAAATAAATACTTCCAGTACTTTTCACGTCCTGTGTCGTTCGTGCAGGTGAATGATAAATGGTATCATAATAATTCGTACACTTGGTATAGCGCCTCTCACATCAGGAGGATGTCTCAAAGCGCCTCACAAAATACAACAACTTGCTTTTACTCAGCGCTCTTCACACAGGATAGTGTCTCGGAGCGCAGCACAAATGGTAAGGGGGGGAAGGGAGAGGTGACCTTAGGCGTGCTCGAAGAGGTAAGATGCACTGCAAAGTGTAGTGATTGTATTTTGTGGGTGAAACGCAGAGGCAGACAATTTGCTCACAGCAATTTCCCACAAACAGCCATGGAGTGAGTGGCCAATTTTATTCAGAGGGAATTGTTGGCCAGGACACCAGAAAAAAAGAAACTCGCTTCTCTGTGTAAAATAGAACATAGAGCAGCAACCTCACAACAAGTCCATAAAAACTTTCCATCACTATGCGTTGCCAAACTCTCAGAGCTGTGCGAGCGAGTGCAAGCTCAAAGCATATTATTCTAGTGATGAATTCTCCGGCGTGTGTGTTTTTCTGTCTCTCTCTCTCTCTCTCTCTCCCTCTCCTCAGTGCGATGCGTTTCAGGCATAAAATATGATGGCAACTCCCCCTCGAGGTAATCACTGCAGTTTGAAAAGGAGGAGAAACTAGGGTACAATACTGATCTCTCGTGTCTAGAGAATTCCAATACTTGTTTGAATCGCTGAGATCTGACAATCCTTTGTGAAATTACGGCTCTGGAACGCTCATCATTTGTGAAATTAAAAAGCCACATCCAATCTTCAATAGGTAAGTGTAATTGAACACGGAACAAAAAATTCATCTTTAGTCGAAACCCCAGTGGCTGAAATCTTACAAGGAAACTTAAAAATGGATCATGAATTAAAACCTCAAGGTCCCTTACATTGAAATAATAATGCCTAAATGACAGTATTTTAGTTTTGTTCCGAATGTGAGTTCTGGACATCACTTAAGGTTCCATTTTCTCCAGTCCCACCTGCACTTCCTAGTGTGCAGATGTCAGTTGATTAACTTAGAGCTAAACTAAACAAGCGAGGTCACCAGCGGCCAGAAGCTCCCACCCAGTCTCAGGCCCCAACAACATTTGGTCTTAAAGACCGAGAAAATGCGGGTAAAATAGCGCAAAGAATTATTTGAAAATTCCTAAATCCAGTCTGAATTTGGAAGCTGGTTTTACGCAGGAAAGGAACTGGCTTCAGAATCAAAACTGGGTTCAATTACTTTTAGAAACGTGGATTAATGTTAAATTTTTTAGACTTCTGAATATCCTTTTTAAAAAAAACACATGGAGCTTCCTATGTGGAGCTCAAAATATATCAATCCTTTGCAAAACACACAGTCTTTACACTTCACCATAAATCCTGTGAAGCCCTAAGCAACGTCCTCCCGAAGTGAAAGGCAACGTATCAAATGCAAGGATTATTATTAATATTATTGCTATTATATCATAATAAAAACATTTCCATGATAAGAAAGGCATCTTACCCTGACCAAGGAAAACATCCAGAAATTTTTCCCAGGTTGGGAATAATTCCTTATTAACCATCCGTGAGTGCAGCGTCAATATTTCTGGCAATTCCTCGATGACTTTCAGATAAATAGGCTCCTGTGGAACAAAACAGACTAACGATAGCAGTGCTAAACTGGTCAATCAGGCAAAGTTGGTTTGTGGGACCTTTTGCTTTGCACAAAACGCCTGCTACGTTTGCCTAGAATAAACGGTCACTATACTTGACAGCAATTACCTGTGAGCTGCTTTGAGATGTTTCAACATTGTCATTGAATCCAAGGATAATAAGAAGAAATAATAATCCCTCCAAAACCAAGAACAATAATAAATTGGTCATTTTCAATCCACGACTGTTTGTGGGACATTGCTGTGCGCAATTGGCTGCCGCGTTCGCCCACAAATATACAGTCAATTCACTTTACAGTGTGTTCTGTGAAGCGCTTTGGGACGTCCTCCCGACATGAAAAGCGCTATATCAAATGCAAGGATTAAAATATTATTAAAATTAAGAATCAAAAATTTGGAGTATTTGGAGTTGAGTTACACGTCAGCCATGATCTAACACAATGATGGAACAGCTCGTGGGAATGAATGGTCTACTCCTGTTCCTGCGTCTTGTTTCATGGCACATCGTGTGCTGTGCATTCCATTTACACAGATCATTCCTGATCTGAGGCCATTTTGAAAGTGCTTCACTTTGAAGAGGAGGAAACGGCCCGAGAACACAAATGCCCCGTTCACTCGGGACCTTTACCATGCATCAAGCAACAGAGAGGGGAGGCTGTTCGTACCGGAGCTGAGGTTCAGCCCCACAAGTGACCGTCAAAACCCCTCAAAATATAGTCTCAGCACGAGCAATTGACATCACTTTAAAACAAACTAAGACTTTGTGATTAGCTTTAAAGTCCTTCATTCCTGTCTCTTTCTTGTGGATTGATTTGAGTGTTTTAAACAGTGAGAGCTGGTGATTTCGAGGCAATGGCTCGCAGGCTTTACTGAGCGAGACATTGCGAGAGAGATGAATGAACTCAGATGCTTGAAGCTGGATTAATCGTGTACTGTACTGATATGGCTTCAGCTCCCTCACACCCCCCCTCTCCTACAAGGTCATCTATGCACATGAGGAACAAGATCCCAAAGCAGAAACCAACGGCTGGTAACTTCTCTGGTAAGGGCAGAGAATTCACAACACCAACATCAAAATGACATTTATACAGCGTCTTTCAAGTCGGAAGGACGTCCCAAGGAGCTGTTTGCACCCGAGCTGGGGGTTGGGATCAAGAGGGGTGGAGGGGGGGGGGTGGGGTGTAGGGGGGGGAGCGGGGTGGGAGGGTGGCTGAAGGCACAGTCAAAGAGGAAAGTCTTGAGACAACCATTTAGTCCGTTAAGCACCTCCACAGAACATCACCATCAAAGGCCCTATCCCACACGCCGGTCTCCAGAGGTAACATGCAAACCCTTCCCCGCTCACTCCCCCCACTCTCAGAGAGCAGGTGATGGACATAACTTCCCCCCCTCCACGCCACCCACCTCCTTCTCTGTTTCACCTTCACTGATTACCCCTGGATCGGTTTTACTGGCTCACTATCCACGGGGATGCTAATTCCTACGCTCAGTGGAACCACACCATATCTCACGCCATCGAGAAGTGTCCGATCATTAATGTTGGCAGCACTGAGCGGAGACGCCGAACAAACAATCCGGTATAAAAACCCATCTGCATGTTGCCCTGTGTTTCCCTCTGCAAATGCTTCATATATTTATTTTTTTTTCGATTTTTTTTTGGCTTCACCGTTAATGAAAATGTTTTGTAAAATATTTGTTGCATGCACTGAACCCATCGGAGACAATTTCCTCTCGTATCTAATGACCCATCACGCTTATGTGAAATGCAATTCGATGTGGCTTCAGCATGCATTAAGTGGAATTGAGAGCAGCGCACAGCTCTCTGTGTCCACACGGTATTATCTGTTCACTCTTCCTTGAGAGCCTGCGTCTCTCTCTCATTATCCAGACCTCAGCCTCAGTTCCGCAGAAAGGCTTAGGTCTGTTTAAACTGAAGTGCCTTTTTACATAATAGGGCCACATATGTTAGGCTAGAACACATCAGCAGAAAATAGCTCTTTAAATGTCTGGCATAAGACCCAGACGCTTTTCCATCTTCCAGTCTCTTCTGTTCAGCTACATTTCTTTCTTAAATACCACATGGGGTCCATTTTCAAGCTTTTCTTTGGATTAATTACCCTTCCTCAAGCAGAGACCAATTACAGTCAATAATTAAAGTTATACGCATAGAGTTTACCAACCCAGAATGCAAAGTCTGTGCCAGGGCACACTTTATATATGATATATTGTAAAATAATCATAAATAATAATCCTTGCATTTGATATAGCGCCTTATCATGTCTTCGAAATGTCTCAAAGTGTATTATAGCACTTTGAGTGAATTGATTGCATATTTTGTGGGCAAATTTATTATTAAGTTAAAATTATTGTATGCGCATAACGCGCAATCTTTTACTTTACAAGAGAGCACAACAGTACAAGCGCCACCCAACGGCTATAAAACTAGCAGGTTTAAAAGGTGCAGTTAACTGGCAACTCTTATGGTCAAACACCATATAGTCTACAGTTTAAAATCCTCATCCTAACTTTTAAGGTCCTCATGGCCTTGCTGCCTTCAGCCACACCCCACCCCGCTTGCCCTCCACCCCTCTTGATTCCAACCCCCAGCTCGGGTGCAAACCCTTAACTGACCAGCGCCTTGGGACGTCCTACTGATGTGAAAGGCGCTGTGTGAATGTAACTTGTTGTTGTCTGACACTGCGCAAGCTCCAGTAACCCTGTCCCCATTACAACAACCCAGAATTAAACAACAAAGGGCTACACCAAGTCTAGTGCACACACTGTTGATACACTCTGTCAGTGTCCCGGTCACACATTCCCAGTATAGTGCAGAGTGAGCTTTTATCAAGTGGAGATTGGCTCAGTTTCACCTTACAGCCTGCCTTAGTCCACAAGAGGATCTGATTGCTTCTCATTACCAGTCCTTTGCTGCTGCGGTTGCTGGACTTCATGTTTAAGGGTAGAATGAGCTTCTCTTGTTCCACACGGATTGCAGACCTTCAAGGTTTGCGTTTCCACTGTACAGTATTGTCTTCCAATTGCTATACAATGCCCACTGCTTCCGTACTCCCCAGATGGTGGGAGCGCAGTTTGGATCCTCCTCACTCTTGCCTTTCCAATAGACTTGGCACCACTTCAGACTGCTCTCTCTCTCTCTCTCTCTTCAATCCAACCAGTAATTAACACTGTTTATGACAACAATTGCAACCCTAATCTCACCAGAGTAATTGCACCGAGGCCGGTAGATGAAGAGGAGTGCGCAGTTCCAGATTGTGAATCACTCACATTTTGGAATGTTAAAGATTCCCAAAACAGCACAGCTTGGTCGACCTGGTTTACAAAAGTTCTTGTGACAAACTGCAGGCAAAGGGACAAAACCGTGTGCTCACCTAAGCTTCGGGAATTTGACGGGATACAAATTATTAATAATGAATCCATATATTTAATATAGTGGCTTTTTAAGTCAGGAGGACATCTCAATTCACTTCACAGGACATACTGTAAAGTGTAGTGACTGTGTATTTTGTAAGTGAATATTGTACATGAACTTGTGCGCAGCAACGTCCCACAAACAGCCATGAAGTGAATGACCAATGTTATCTGGGGGATTATCAGCCACACTGGGAGAGCAAAACTCCTTTCTCTTTCTGAATAGCACCACGGGATCTTTAACGTCCACCTGAACAGGCAGATGGGACCTCAGCTTAACGTCTCATTTGCAGAACGGCACTTCCGACAATGCAGGAGTGGAGATCCAAGTCCCGAGCTTCTTCACCCACAACCTCTGTCTTGGAGGTGAGAGCGCCACCGACCGAGCCAGGCTGACACCTGCTGTGACAATCGCATTGCAAGACGGTATATTTCAAACTCTTTCTCCGACTATCATTTGAGTCAGTAAAAAAGCCGGCACTCAAAGAGCATTAGTCTGAAGGGCACCCGCCTGCGACCATGTCTTGTCTGCATCCGAACCATTGTTCTTCCTCCGAGTCGCAGCTAGGTGAAGTGTTATTTTTATTTACAATTTTACGCTGGGGTTTTTAGTCAGCATGACTCACGTAAGGCCGCACTTTCCTGGCAAACATTGCTGTCTGTAGGAGCAATGTGTGGCAGGGCTGGGCTTTGTGTGTGAGTGGGGGTGTTTGTATATAAAATAAAATAAAATGTCTACACAGACGCTGGAGGAGAGCGCGAGGCTTTTTACTGCTTTCTCTCTAAATAAAGCATATTTCAGAATGTGCCTCCTGCTGGGAAGGACCCCCATTGCTCCACCATATTGAAGAGCGAGCTGATGAGATTTCACAGGCCGTCTTACAAGACGTGGCCCGACTGCACACCCAGAGAGCTTTTCTTTGGGAAAAGGATTTATTAAAAAAAATTAAGAACAAAGCCAAATAAAAAAAATCAATTTGTCCCTCTCCAAAAAAAATGAATGATGTGAACTCTCATCAGATTAAAATGAAACAGCGATTTGCAACTAAGGTATTGTGATATCTCTCTCTCTCTCTCTCTCTCCCAAAAAACAGTCACTATACTTTACAGTAAAACCTGCAAAGCATATTGGGACGTCCTCCCGACGTGTAAGATGCTTTACCAATTCAAGGATTATTATTATTTTAAAAAATTTATAGAGAAAATTACAGCGTTTGCTCGCATTCTGCTATGAGCACTGTGACCTCTAAGGCTTGGAGTGTCTGAGTTTGACCTGAATGTCTCAACAGTGGTTGGAGGGACAAGAGGAATTTGGGTTTAGGAATGTACAGGAGAGGAAACAACCATCGACTTACCCTCAGGCTGATCCTAAATCCAATACAATAATGTAATATAATAAAGGAACAAATAAACCGGCACTGTGTTTAGCTCACTCGCACCCCACAATTAAATCTCATCGTCAAACGACAATTGAACACTCTCTAGACATTGGTGGCACAGTTTGCCTCCGTTGCCTGCTTGTGTTGTCTATTGCACATATTAAATCGCTCTGCATGTGTGTGTGTGTGTGTCTGTAAAGTTGTTCGATCTGAACTATCTGCACACTTTTCACCCCCTCGGACACTGATAAGCCACAGAGCCCCGGTGTGCCGCAGTCCCGGGTTTGCTGACCGGATTCCCCACAGTGTTGGGATGATGTGGTCGTGTAGTAGTTAAGGCGCTCGTCTCACACAGTTGCAGGTTTGAGCCTCCGGGGCTCTCTGATAATTGAATTCACCAGGGAAACAGATGATCAGTTTTATCAGTTCTCAGCTTGGCTGCTTAGTGGGGGGCACCCTGTGGAGCCAGAAAGTCCTGGGGGAAAAGGGGATGGGGGAGGGGAGGAGGGGGAAACAGATTGTTTTTCTCACTGTAAAGCAGATATGCCTCCTGCTTGTGTGTCACGGCACACCACCGCCATCTTGGGGGCCTTTGTCTCTTTGTTGGCCCCGACCTTGGGGCTTGAACCCCCACAACCTTCTGACTCAGAGGCGAGAGTGCGAGTGACTGGCACACTGTGGGGGACGGAGATCGTCCGAGGGAATGGAGAGATGGCTGGGAGCTCACGGTTAGTGGCGTTGTGCTCACAGACACGGGAAACGGTGAGTATTTCTCACAATGTGTCACAATCGATCCTAAGTAAATATCTTTAGCCTCTCCAATAAAAGCAGCGTTGCTGAGGTGTCTTAATTTGTGCCTGACAGATATTCTGTGTCTCATTTGTTTCTATAATAATAATCCTGGCATTTGTTATAGAGCCTTATCACATCGTTGAGACAGACGTCTCAAAGCGCTTCGCAGAAAGTGGATTGACTATGTATTTGCATTTGACATAGGGCCTTCCACATCTGGAAGACCTCTCAAAGCGCTTCACAGCGATTTACTGTACGGTGTGGTGACCGCATTTCCGTAGGGAAAAGGCAGCAGGCAATTTGTGCAGACTCATACACACCTGAACCCATCTAGTTTTCCACTGTATGGGACCCAACAGTTGATATTGCTTCAGCACCAAGCTGTAACAATTCAGGTGGGGCAGGACGTCACAGTAGGCAGTGCCTCGCCCCCCAAACTCCAAGTCCATCTTGAAGAGCCACCGCTTGATCTCCAGGTTGTCAATAACCAGCTGGGTCAGCACCTCGTACATCTGAAACAAGAACAGAGACAAAATAATAATAATAATAATAATCCTGGCATTTGATATATAGTTTCGCCAACACATGTACACTCAATTCACTTTACAGTATATTCTGTGAAGCGCTTTGAGATGTCTAGAAGACATGATAAGCGCTGTATCAAATGCGAGGATTATTATATTATTATCTCGTCTTCAAGACGTCTCAAAGCGCTTCACAGAATATACTGTAAAGTGGAATGAATGTAAATGGGCTTCCCTCACTGAGTTTCAATGTAAAGATTAACAGAAATCACAGTTGCCAAGCGGAGGAATATTTTTACCTTTTCTAGGTTTAAACATCTGCATTGATACTTGTGAAAGATCTGCCTCATCCGAGTCCCAGGAGCTGCACAGAGCAGCACCTTTCTGAAGCAGACATCCTTCCGTGGTTCGTTGAAGAAACAAATTGCATTCACTAATGGATCTCGGCATGTACCCAACATGTGTGAATATTTGAGATTTCTGTAAACCTTTTGCTTTTGTAGCTCGAGAGAAGCTATTTGTCACATTTGCCCACAGAATATTTGCCCACAGAATGAGACATCTCGAAAATGGGATAAGGCGCAATATCAAATGCAAGGATTATTATTATTATTATTTGAACAAAAATGCAGAGGGTCAATTCACTGTCTGTATTGTTGCGACATCTCAAATCGCTTCATGGGATTATACCATAAAGTGAATTGACAGTGTTTACAAGTGCTGCGGATCTCTCCTGGATCACAGAGGTCTTGGGTATCAGGGCTCCATTGCTGAACGAGTTTCTGTACTGAGCCAGTGATTGGGCACGGAGAGTGAGACCGATCGACTATCCTGCCCCGGTCAGTTTCCGTGGGAAGACACTGCGGCAACGAAGCAACCTGAGCACGGGCTGACATCCTGCCGCCTAAATACATCGCGACAGATTTATAATAGCTCATTACAAACAACAATAATACAGTCTGCACAGGACAGCTCAAGGCAGGAAATGGCATTTTATAAATGCCATTCTACTTAAACTCCAAGCAATTCATGCATTAAAAATAAAATCAATTGGAACCAGCACAGTTATCATAAGTGCATAAACGTGAAAAAGACCAGGGAGAAGTATAGGCTTTGAGACATAACGTGCTGTCACACAGATTAATGCGGTATTACTTTTATCAATCGTTTGCAACTGAGATAGACTCGATCACTCAATACAGCACCACAATGCTTGGCAGCACAGCACAGGCTCAATCTCCATCAATGCCAATGTCACGTGTCATGCAATGTACAAAATAATAATAATAAGCCTTGCATTTGGTACAGCGTCTTTCATATCAGGAGGACGTCTTGAAGTGCGGCACATGTGAAGTTTAATGACTGAGTGTTTTTGTAGGCGCAACGCGGCAGCCAATTGCGCACAGCAGTGTCCCACAAACCGTTGTGGATTGAGTGACCACATTATATATTTATTTATAGGGATTATTTGCTACCAGAAAGCGATTCGCCAATCAACAAACAACCAGGTTGCTACTTACTGCACGGTAAACAGAGGCGTGTGGAGTAAGGAAACTTGCCTAAGAATAGAGGATATAATAAGAGAGATGGGAGAGTTGTATCACTAGTCTCTGTACCTATTATTCTTGGCTTAATCAATCTGATGTACCTGCTGGAGGTTGTAGATATCATACTCCCCGGGTGGTGTGGGCACAGAGGCACTGGCAAAGATCCTTTTGCTGCCTGATTTGGAGCTGTAGAGATGGACCACGTCCGGGTCGGGGCCCAGGATAGGAACGTTTAACATATCAGCCACAGCTAAATCATCCTTGTGGAGGAATCCACCCACGATGTAGGCTTCCTTTCCTCGGATTAGATTTTTTATCCGTTTTATTGTCTGGGGACTGTACTTCAGATGAGTGGCCAGACACATGTGGTGGGTCTGTGAATAACAAACATTATTCTTGTTAGATGTGTCCTTTTCCTGCTCCCAAGGCCTAATTTATTATGTCGTACACAACAAATACATTATTAATAGTAGACTAGGTTATGACCCGAGCTATAGTTTAGCAGTTTAAATTGATAAAAGCCACCAGCGTGAGACTCACAACAGCTTCGTAATGTTTCACATTTTTAGTGGATCTTAAATGGGTTCCCTGGGAATTCAACTAATTACTACACATCTGTATTTATTTGATCCACGTGGAATTATCCTTCTGTCACACAGAAAGGCGCTGGCAGCTTTCGATAACAGTGATTTATCTCAGAAGACAGTGGTGGCATAGTTTAACACAAAAAAGTGTGTGGAAAATCAATAGAAATAACTAACAAAAAAAATGCATCACCTGCTACACCACGATAAAAAAACAATACAGACATGTAGACACACACGCACGTGGGTATATAATCCTTGCGTTTAATAAAGCGCTTTCCATGTCTTCTAGACGTCTCAAAGCGCCTCACAGAGTATACTGTAAAGTGAATTGACTGTATATTTGTGGGCGAAATCCGGCAGCCAATTACGCACAGCAGTGTCCCACAAACCAAATTATTAATATTGACCAACAATTGGATTCTTACTTACTGCTAGGTAAACAGAGACATGTGGAGTAAGGAAACCTACCCAACATTTCGCCCTGCGGAATTGAGCCCAGGTCTCTCGCTTGAGAGGCGAGTGCTCTAACCACTGAGCTACAGGACTCTAATATACAATATACACACGCATATACAGACACAAACACGCACACACAAACCCTTCTTTCCTACCCATCCATCTATTAGGTGCAGTGTGTGGGGGGGCGCGGAGGGAGGAAAGAGTTTCTCCCGGTGTTCTGACCAACAATCCTCCTGATAAATTGTTCATTCACTTCACAGCTAGTTGTGGACCCTGCAAATTGTACACAAATTGATTGCCATGTTTGTCTAAAAAAAANTCACTACACTTGACATTCATCACCTGTGAAGCACTTTTACATATTGGAACCTAATAAAACGATATAAAACCACTGTTTCTTTAAAATTCCTGAGGAATACCAGCTTTCAAATTAAGACGGGAAATTTAAGAAATTCCATAGCTCTGCGCAATCTTACGTATTTTAGTACAAAACGGTCTTTACAAGAGACTTGGTGGAATTTGACACCTCAGGTGCACATGTTAAGAGTAACAATCCTTGCATTTGATATAGCGCCTAATCAGGTCATTGAGACGTCTCAAAACGCTTCACAGAAACATGTTATGCTTACTGTACAGTGTTGTGATTGTGTTTTTTAGCCGAACATGTGCCCTATACGAACAGTAAGACATCAATACAAGGACACGGCGTCCCTCTGTCAGAGACGGATGCAGGAGAGGTGGAAACTGTGCAGGTGCAACACACACACACACACACAAGTTTGGAAAGGAAATAAATCAGCCTCCAAGATTCTAACCCCAAAAGAGGAGCAGCCACAACTGATTGTTTTAATGAACATTAACAGATTGTAAGCAACTGGCGTTGGAATTCAAGCCAAGAAGAGCTCCCTCCCCTTTCGAGAATGACTCAATCACCTGGCTACAGTGAGATGAGAGAAAGACAGCAGGTAATTTGATCTTTGACAGCGAGAGCCACACACAAAAAAACATTGATATAAGTTTCCACAATTGAGGTTAACCACGGTGTTTGCAGACAGTGTGACTGGAGATTTCCTCCTGTGCGTGCGGAGAACCCGTTATCTTCTCTGGGATTTGATGGTCTTGGGGTCGCTCATGCATCCCACAAATTGGATTTTTTGCTTTATTCCAGTCATTGTGCTGGACTGGGAGAGATTCCACACAACACAGATATGAGGAATAAAGCAGGGAGCCAATGCACCATGCATAATCCTAAACACTACCAGGAAATCTCAAAATAAATCAACCTTTTCACACACACACACCAACAACAACTTGTTTTTATATAGAGTAGCGTCCCTCACACAGGGTAGCTTCCCAGAGCACTACACACACACACAAACTATGTATTTGTAATGCACTGCCCCAGAACGATGCAGATACGCAATCAAATGAGAAGGTAAGATAATTGGCTCAGTGAGAAACACACTAAAACATTTAGTAACTATTTCATCATTAAGAAGATATTTCTCGTTCGGGTGATATTACAATGGAGCGGGATGGGATGGTCAGAGCACACAGGCTGGATGTCCCCTCCTGTTCCCTCCGCCCCACCATCGGTGACCCAGCCTTCACTTACTACGTTTGTAACCTCTGAAACTCCCTCCCTCTACCCCGCTGTCTCATTCCCTCTCCACCAGTCTTTTAATCCCACTTTAAAACCTACCTCTTCAACCATGCCATCCCCCACCTCCCCCCTCAGGTCAGTGTCCGATCCTCTTATTGTGAAGCACTCCGAGACAGTACCCTACATAAAGGGCACTATATAAAAGCAGCTTGAAGTTGCAGTGCCTGACAAAACAATCGTGCTTTCATCTGATATAACTCCTGTAACCTTGAAACATCTCAAAGGTTTTCACAGTTAATTGCTGTCAACTGTAATGACTGTGCAGTCACAGGCAAACAAATTTACCCACAGCAAGGCCCCACAAATAGGCAGGAGGTGAATGCCCAATTAATCTGGAAGAATGTAACCGAGGACATTGGGGAAAAACCTTCCCTTCTCACATAGGGTCATGAGATCTTTAACGTCCACTAGAACAGGCAGACGGGGAGAGACCTTAGTTTAATACTTCATGTGAAGGACAGCATTGCCAGCTCATCACCAGAGTAGCGGCAGCTTGGATTGTAAGCTTGAGTTCCCGAAGTGGGACCCAATTTCACCATCTTCTGACTCAACAACAACAACTTGCATTCACATAGCCCCCCTCACGCAGGGTAACGTCCCAGAGCGCTTGACAGTGGCGGAACAGGACACCGAGTGGGGGGGAGGTGACCGTAGGCACGATGAAAGATGGGGAAGGAGGGAGCAAGGTGGAGGGTTAGAGGGAGAGCAATCCAGAGTTTCGAGGGGTAGAGGCTGAAAGCGCAGCCACCGATGGTGGCATTGAGAGGCATGAGGGACAAGCAGGAGTCCCAGGTGGGAAGGCTACCAACTAAGTCAGTAATGCACTCGGGGTAAGTGAAAGAGTGGGCAAATGACACATTGTGTTAGAGTGCGAGAACGTTCTGATTTCTTCTCTCATTTGACAAAGCTCACTGTTCAGCAAAGAGAGACGTACAGGAAAAGTATGGATGCCCTCAGGGGTGACCACGTTAAACCGGTGCTCCATGTTGCTGACTCTCTCTGGTTTGGCAAACTTGAGAGCTTCATGGAGGTCAAACAGTTTGCTGTAATACTGGTAAATGTCGTCGTCCAGAGTGACCGGGCTGACATAGATAACGTCCACTTTGTCATCTGGGGAGGGAGGGAAGAGGGAAAAGAGAAGTCAAATAAGCCACAAATTGCTGTTTGGGAACAACCCAACAAAGCATTCCAATTCCATTTCAAGATTCATTAAAACATTTCACCTTGAGTACCACCATTCACTGAAATAGCCACATTACCAACTGGAGCAGAGTTATTAGTGGATAGAGAGAAAGGAAGGGATTCAAACTGCTTTCAGCTAACTCTACGATTCAAATTAATCCTTCACGCAAAACCCCTTCCTCAGTCAGGGGTGAAGAATTCCATGGGTTTGGAAAGCGATCGAACTTGGGGGAAAAAAAGATTCAAAGGATCGTCCTTTTAGAAAAACTTTTTCCTCATGGAAAAGGTCATCGCAAGAGAGGACAAATATCCTTTGGCCATTTGCTCTCACTCTTCTGAAATCCCAACCCTATGTCTTACTGCACCAAGCGTCTTAATAGAGTCTCAGATGCCTGGCATCATCCACCCTAACTCCTTATGTAATGAAAGTACTTTCTAGTGTTTGTCCTACAGTCTAATACAATGTTACGTAAACAAAACATGTCAAGGGTCAAAGAGAGAGAGAAAGAGAGACCGTTCCATGATCCTACAACACTGAGTGTAGTCATTCACACAACCTTTGATAGACCACCAACATACGTGATTTAACAGGACACTTTTAAGGAGATCGATGCAAAGTCACAACATGAACACAAAGTCTAATTAACACTTTATGAAACAAAAAACATTGCGATTGACCCACTAAGATCATTCTGTCATTTCCAATACGTACAGATTTAAAACCTTACTCCTTGGGCTGCTGAATAATTCGAATTATGAGCGCAGCAGGTTATTAAACACTGGATCAATATTCAATTAGCACAGCAGACCACTAAAATACCTATAATAGGACACACCACTTACACATAGCTGCCTATAATTACAGCACAGATAATACACCTAACAAGTCATATTTAAATACATTGCTTGCATTTCCCCCAATAAAAGCCCACTTGATTTACTCAGAGCAATTCTGTGTAGGAATAATACTGGATCAATCCTCGTACAATATCCTAATAATACCTGGTAAATGAGATTCGAATAATTGCTCTTTATTCAATTTTCAAGGCACTAGATCCCTAACACAGTTACAAATAAGAACACAAGAACTTGCTAAGTGAAAGAAAACTAAGGTCCATCCCGTTTGCCTTCCACCACCCTGGCAGTCACATACACATGTCATCTCCCAAACTATATATTTTATCCCAAGATATTATTTCCTAACAGAAATCTATCTAATTTCTTCTTGAAAGGATTGACACTTTCTGCTTCCACCATCTCCCTAGCAAGCCTGTTCCGTATATTTACTACTCGGTCATTGAAATAGTGTTTCCGCAGATTTGTTCTGAATTTACCCCCGTAAATCGCAGACGGTGTCCTCTGGTTCTACTGTTCAGCACAAGATAAAACAGCTTATTACTGTCTTCATTATCTAGTCTGTTTAGAATCCTAAAGACTAAAGACCGTAATCATATCGCACCCCCCCCTCCCCCAACCTTCAGAGAATATACTGTAAAGTGGAGTAACTGTGTATTTTGTGGGCGAAACATGGCAGCCAGTTTGTGCACAGCAGTGTCTCACAAACAGTCATGGAGTGAGGGACCAATTTGTGGGACGTTGCTGTGCGTAAATTGGCTGCCACGTTCAAAGAGAGTATTAGAATGTTGGAATAATCCACCGAGCTGAGGAAAGTGAGGCAGAAACACTAGGATTTATTGGAAATACAATCAGACTATAGGGAGAGTTAATATACTGAGCGGGTGACCATCTGTAGGTGTGTGGCCCATTCTCAGCCACCGAATCTCTCTTATGATTATATAGCCTCATCTCATCTATGGTATTAGCATGCTGCTGCGCAGGGTAGCATAAACGTGAACAGGGGTAAAGAGCTTTGGCTTAGAAGTGAACTCATCTATTCAAACGCACACATTACAGGCTGATTGAGATGGTTTCTCTGTGGTCTGACTGTCTGCCCATTCTCACACAGAGCTGTATTACTGTCACAGTAAGTACCGCTTCCCAGAGAGATTTTCTCTTTCGGAAGGTCTATACACAAAGCGAATAGGACATGGGATTCAATAAAATATAGATTTTCATGCAATTGATGCTTTTCTGCATCTCTCTGTGAGACACAGGAGGGGTTCCTCCCAGACACTATTTGTGTTCAGTATTGTCACAACAGCAGGTCTCGAGAAAAAAGCAAACTTGGCAAACGGATACTTACCTGCTGACATAAAACAAACAGCGCTCAAAGCAAAAGGAAAAAAGGAGCAAGAGTGATTAGCTGGTCACAGGGGCTGGGAGGATAGTATTTGTAAAGTTACCATATTAATAATAATTATTAATAATAATAATCCTTCCATTTGATATAATGCCTTATCAAATTATTGAGGCGCTTCACAGAATATACTGTAAAGTGGATTGACTGTGTATTTTGTGGACGAAATGTGGCAGCCAATTGTGCACAGCAGTGTCCCACAAACAATCATGGATTGAATAATCAAATTATTATCATTATTTTAATATTTTTTCTTCAAAGGGATTATTACCCCTGGAAAGCGATCTGTCAATCGACTAACAACCGGGTTCTTATTCACTCCTAGGTAAACAGAGACGTGTGGAATAAAGAAACTTGCCTGTTAAATAAGATTAAATAAGATTAAAAAGGGTCCATGGAGAGAGGAGGGAATTGGCACAGAAAGTTTGTTACAAGCACAGAACGGCCTCCTTCTGTGCTGTAAACTTTCTGCGTGCACAGGCAATTAATCAAACAATTTTTGCATGTATTGGACATCTCTAGCACTCACCCCTAATCTCACACAGCCGGCCCATCTGTAAATTCTGCTGGATCCCCAAATCAGGTACTTGCGATCTCAACTGCTGCGAATATCCTGTGGTAAGACAGAATGACCGAAAACAGGTGCTGAAGATTATAATAATAATAATAATAATGATAATAATAATAATAATCCTTGCATCTGATATAACGCCTCATCACTTCGTTGAGAAGTCTCAAAGCGCTTCACAGGATATATGTTGTTTGAATCCAACACCTCATTCTGAACCCACTTTGGGCCATTTACAGCCCTCTATCATTTGCAATTAATAGAAGTAATTAAATTGTTGCTTTTGCGCTAATTTACTCGAAGCTGCAGATTATTTAAACACAAACCCCACCATTCAGCCTCTTAATTATTTAGCGTTGCACAGCGCTCCTTTTGTCAGCAGCAGAACCCCTCGCCTTAAGTGCAGATAAAGCTTCCCATCTGACAGTAATTAGGACTAAATAATTCCACACAATGTAGCTTATCATTTTGACTGCACATTTGATTAAACCCAACATATAGTGCGGTTCCCGCTTTATTGATTTAACACTGCAGTGAGGCGAGCGCCTGAGAATCTCATATCATTAAAGAAGGTGGAGGGGAAGATTATCTGCTATTCCGGGCTCAGCCTTCAGTTCATTTCATATAAATGAAAGTGAATTACAGCAAATCACCTCTCATCCGAATAGGGGCCGTGTAATGACTTTATTTGCTTAATCCTGGAATTAAATGCTGTTTTGAGCAGGCCTTGTGTTATTGCTCTCATCATCTGAAGAACATCTTCCTACTGAGACCAATTTGAGCAAAACAAGGGGCTTCCTGAACTCAATCAAGGACCTGTAATGTGGTGGATAATAGAGGTTGTAGATGAATCTGCAGGCAAAAGTGCAATACCTAATGATGGGATGTGGATAATAGTTCTCCTGGAGGCCTTGATGTGATTCCAGTGAGTTACCAGATGCTAAGAATTCAAGGAGAGCATTGATCAGTGACAGAAGCTGTAATAGATTCATCAACTTAAAACTTCAGCTGCTCTGCTTTAGTCAGTTAGACCAAGCCAGGCATAAATTATATTAATTAATTTAATTACATACTTAAAACATCTTCCCCCAATTAATTTAATTAGCGCTACATGATGCGCTCGTGTTCCAGGCACAGAGAGAGGGAGAGAGAGAGAGAGAGGAGAGAGAGAGAGAGAGAGACGGGAGGCTGCTCTCTTAATTAATGCAATATGAATTAAAAAGAAACTAAACACGAGCGAAGTAAGCACTAATTAACACTGTGTCTGCAAAAGTAAATACACTACAATAAAGTACTGAGCGTGTGTGTGGCGCTGGCAGGGGCTGCTTCGCAAACTAACCCAAAGTGTGGCCACAACAAAAACTTTTGAAACTGAGTTCTCTCTCTCTTCACTCACACTCTCCCTCTCCCTGCCAAGCTAAGCTCGTTGGTAGGGACAGCGGAATAAGGTGAAGACTGAGTGTGTGCCAGACTCTCTACAGTCCTGTTGATGGCTGCAATTCTCCCTTGATGATGGATGAAATATGATTCTCAAGACGAGAAGAGAGAGAAAGAGGGGTGGGGGGGAAAGATGATGTGTGAAAAAAAACTATATCAAGGCAGTGTGTGGGGAACAGGTTTGCAGGAGCGCTCAGCCAGAGATACTTGGAGAGTGAGGAGTGGAAGGAACAGCTGGTAACTACACACACCTTAGCCCTAGTGCGGAAATTCACCAGGTGTCTCTGACGTGACTGCTTTAGGATATTCTTCACCCGCTTCAGTTGGCAGTGCAGGATCCAGGAGATGGCGATGATGCTTGCTGCCCACTTTAGGCGCCTGTACTTAAAGTACACGATCCTGTCCCGGTATCTCCTCCAGAGACTCTGGATCTTAATGGCTGCCATTTGTTGCCCATCTGGCCCCTTGTATTTCTGGCCAGGGCGCCTGATGATGTCCTCCACCAGGGCCTTGTTCTTCAGCACGGCAAGGAAATACTCCCACGTTGGGTTCCGGACGAACTCGAAGTCTGACGCCAACTCTGCCACCTTCTTGCCCTCCACGATAGCCACCGGCACATTGTACTCTCGCAGTTTCTTGTTCAGTTGTTCCAGGAAGTAGAGGATGCGGCCCCACGACAGGTGGTAATGTTCTCTGAAGGCCTGGTAACTGGGAGCTGTGCAAGCGATGTTCCCGTTGAAGATGGTGAAATAATAAGTGGAGGATATTTCCTGAACGTCTCCCGGCTCTGGGGAAGGCTGTGAACAGCAGATATTACAGTAAATTACATCTCTCGGCCTGCACCTTGTCACAATACAGATTACCATTATTATCATATACTGTAAACCTGCTGTGTTTAATTGATCAGTGTTTTATAGAATGGTTCTGTATTGATTAATCCAATTCATTTATCACAATGAAGCCTACTCACTGGCGCTAATACCAGGTAATGGCTACACTTTTGTAGTAGACGTCACTAACGCTTGATTTTGTTACTCTTGCACCACTTTTAGTTTTCCTAGTTAGCACCTGAGGATTCTATAACTATTGGATGAATCACATGGCTCAGGCATGACTTCAAGCCCAGTAACCTTAGCTACTGTCTTAGAAGACTGTGAGTTAATTCCACAACAGGACTTGAGCTCAAGGCTAAAGCTCCAGTGAAATATTGGGTCCTGCAGAGTTGTTGGAGACATTACACTGAGATCTTTCCCCCTTTCCCCGATCTCTCCATTTCTTCCAATTCTATTCATCTGCCCGTATGAGCTTCTGATTCTAGTCTATCGCTTGCTTCTCAATCCCACTTGGAAAAAGAGGCAACGTGACAAATGGAATAAGGTGCCTGAATTGGCTGTGCTAATTAAAAGCACCAAACAATATAATATAACATCTAATAATGCTCTTTTGCACCACATAACAAAGCAGACAGTTCTAGTCATGAGATGTGTCTTGCAGCAAAAATCTTGGGTGTAAGATGTGCAAGAGAGTGGCTTTCCCAGTAACCACACACTGCCTTTTTATCCAACATGATATTAACAATAATCCTTGCATTTGATATAGCGTCTTATCACAATGTTAAGTCATCTCCAAGTTCTTCACAGAATGTACTGTAAAGTGGATTGACTGTGTATTGAGCAGGCAAAATGTAATGCAGTAGAACACCAAATATATCCGTTGGCCGAGCCGCACGGCAGAAAACACACACACTTTCAGCTCTGTGCAATGATCCAAGCCAGCAAAATTCACCACACAATGGAGGCAATGTTGACTTTGATTCTGTAGCTTGCCATTGCAGCTGGCACCTCTACCACAGTCACAATCTGTGCAAGGACGAGGAAGATGTGAGCTCAAGTTTTTTCCATTTGGAAAGAAGCTTCACACATCATTCCAGCACTTGGATAGCCTGGGGCTGCCAAGCTGTGCATTGCATGCCCTGACAGTAAATGATTGGAAATTCAGGTGTTTGCTTACAAGAAAATCCAGTTTGCAATGTGTACCTGTGACTTGGAACTCTGATGTTGCACCATATCTTTAATGAAGTCTTGCAATGGACCCTTGGACGAGCTGGTCGGCGGAGGAGCGATCATTCCTGTTTGCAAAGCTGCTTTGGCTGCTGTGATCATGGCCGATCTCTGGGGCATGTGCAGGGAGCTTTTTCTGATGATTAGTTCCACCACTTTAGAGGAATTCTCACCTGAAATTACATGATCAGTTTGGGATGAAGAAGGGTCTTCAGCCCGTCCAATCTCATCCCTCCAGAACACCACCGCCTTCCTGACGTCCACACGCACACAATAACAACAACTTGCACTTATATAAGCACCCTCCACACAGGGTAGCGTTTGAGCAGAGTGTTTGTGGAGGGTGGTAAACGTGGCTGATATTCCGCTCCGTAGCCTGGGAGGGACACTGAAGCCCATTGTAGGGTGACTGTTTTATTCCTGGCTAAGATGGTAACTTGTCACATTCTGACCAGTGTGGCTTTAGTGCTCTTTTACCCACCAAGCTGTCTGGTGGGAAATGAAAGTCAGGATAAGTACGATGTTGTAACTGAGTGGAGTTAGTTCCGAACACAACAAAATTATCCTATCGTTAAAGTCAGCTTTACTTTTTGGCTCGGGAGCTGGCTTCCTGTGCTTCTCTTGGATGTCGTGCAGAGGCATGGCCTGGGGTAGCAGGGGAGGCGGGTGTAGAGTCAGCTCAGCCGCAGGGGGAATCAAACCTCGTTCCTGCAAGCTCAGAATCCCTAAAATCACCAAATAAAAGAACATAATTTGTCAGTACTTAACGCAAGTGTAAGTGTCACTCTCTGAAACCCCACACCCGAGTCCCTCCAACTCACTCACTTGCTTCCTGCTTTCAGGCATGTCTCAAAATGAACCTCTTTGACTGCGCTTTTGGTTACCTTTCACTTCCCAGCTCTCACCCCAAGCGAAGCATTGTGAGGCGCCTTGAGATGTCCTCCCAACATGAAAGGCGCTATATAAATGTTAATTGAGTGAATGACTCACTCCTTATCTGAAATAAAGTTGGGAGTCTTTCTCCTGTTATTTATGTTATGTGGAAAGACTGTGTGTTTTGTGAGTGAAACGCGGCAGGCAATTGCGCACAGGTTAAAGGAGATGTGGCAACCAATGATCTTGTGGAAGTCCAGATCACTTTTGCGGGGGTAATAATCCCTTCAAAAATAAAAATAAATAATAATTTGTGCACTCAATCCACGAATGTTTGTGGGACACTGCTGTGCGCAATCAGCTGCTGCGTTTCACCCACAAAATATTCAGTCAATTCACTTTACAGGTCATTCTATGAAGCACTTTGAGATGTCTTGAAGACGTGATAAGTGGTATATCAAATGCAAGGATTCTTATCAAAACTTGTTGGAATTGTTTAAGAGCCCAAGCATACACAATGGTGTATATGTATATACCAAGGCCATACCGTGGGGAAGAGCAAGACTTGTGTTTAGAGTGAAACCTTGACCGAGATTGCAAACCACGGGAATCATATAGATTTGGCTATTGATTTACTTTATAAAAAATATTACGGTGAGGCACACAGAGAGGTTACATTTGTCACACACAAAAAAAAAACCCTGACAGTCCCCAGAAATAAGTGAGACTTGACAGGCCTGTCAGGTCCAATGTCTTTCTTTGGCATGAAACCCAAGAAACAAACGGTAAGAACAAGTGCAAGAGAGAATTCCAGTGGCAGGATGTCGATACGTAAGATATATGCCTCCTTCACACAGCCTTTCAATTTATTTGAGGGATCTCAGTGAGGGGAAATGGACTTTTAGTGCTTGGTGTCAGCATCAGGACACTTGCAGTTTACGTATAGTAAGGTGAATTCAAAGCAATATCCATCTGGTCTGCCCAACAGTCATAAGGTCACTAGACTAAGGATATAATTGGCTTTCACGCTTTACAATGTCAGGTTCAATGTATTATTATAAATATTAATAACATTCCTTGAATTTGATAAAGTGCCTTGTCATGTCGCTGAGACGTCTCAAAGCGCTTCACAAGAATTACGGTAAAGTGTACTGACCTAATGGAGAATCACCCCTAGCGTCCCTTCATGTTGACCTGTGATACAATGCCTTACTATTTGGTGAACCTATGAGTTTGTGGAGCGATTGTTCTCTTGTGTGTTTATAATGCAGAGATATGTAGGTGCTTTCTCCCAGGAAACCGAGTGGGTGTGAGTGAAGCTTGACCAGTCTCGGCTAATTGGGAAGATGCGACAGCAAAGAAATACTTCCCTCTGCAAGTTCATTGTGCAGAACAGATTGTGGTCTTCCACAAGATTGCTAACCTTTTTTTGCATCTCTCTCAGATATAGGTGGTGGTAGAAGGGATGGATTCCTACGATGGGTAATTGGCAAAGTGGCAAGTGGCTCAACTGTAGAACCTTTGATTGGCTTCAGAAAGTGTGTCTGTTGGGGTGAGAAAAAGAAAAAATAATGTTCCATTAATATTAAAAGAAGAGTTTGCCAACATGTTATAAGATAGACGATGGCTGTGAGCACTCCAATATCAGGCAATAATATTAATAATCCTTACATTTGATACAGAAGCCTATCATTCTATCAAAGTCTATGCTTTGTAGGATATACTATCAAGTGAAATGACTGTGTATTTATGGTTGAACACAGCATCTATTCAATTGCGCACAGCAGTGTCCCACAAACAGCCATGGAGTGAGTGACCAATTTTATTTGAGGGATTATCGGTCAGGACACCAGGAGAGAGAAACTCTCTTCTCTTTTTGAACAGTGCCATGGGATCTTTAACATCCACCTGAACAGGAAGATGGGACTGTGGTTTGAGTCTCACCTCCGACAATGCAGAGCTCCTGGTCACATGCCAGGTATTGCTATTGTCAACAGTACTGACCACTGGTACACTTTAATGGTGCACCTAGTTACTATTGTTATCTCCCGGCACTTCAACACAGAGGAGGCATAATTAAGGCCAGACAGGGCCGAGCAAAGTGTTGCTGTTTACACACAAGTTTTGAAGAATGTGCTTTCTCCCCCCACCCCCCCTCTCTCTCTCTCTCTCTCTCAATCATGCAGCACATGAAACAAAGTGAAAAGAGAGAGAGAGTGCGGGCGGGGGGAGTGGGAAGCATATAAAAAGAGATGTGTGTTGGCTGATACTGACAGAATGTCAGTTTCAGGCAGAAGTCCAGCTTGTAGCAGTCGGAAAGTATGGACGAATCTTATTGTAATTCATAGCCGGACCTCTGCCGTGCCTACAGACAGCTGTAAACCAGTAGTCCATAGCATCCCAATCAGGCACCATGTTACCAAAGAACACTGAGACACACTGGAAGACCATTACTGCATCCATGCAGCACGCTTCTCCTGCACCCTGTGTGGCTGAATGACAGACTGTCTCCTATTCCAGATGACAAACACTGGATAACAACTTAAACAAATGGTGACCTTTAGAAAAGATTAATTTGTTTACCAACAAATGTTCTTCTGTCAGAAGAGATGGGGTGACCTTCACTATGCAAGCGCTGGGTTGAAAGGATACTGATTGTAGTCATCTGTTCTTTAGCTCAAGCCTGGCAATTATCTTCCACTTTACTGACAGTGACACTGTATTAATTTAGTGTGTTTCTTGTAAGACTTTTATGAATGCAACAAGCAATCTTTGAATTACTGCAGTGTAACCGAAATCTAATGGGTTAGACGCATGCCAAATTGCATTCAAAGAGGTACAATGTATTAATACTACCACAGTTTTCGCACTAAAATGTGTGGGGGGCTAAAAGTAATGTGACTTATACACAATGGGTAGTATTAAATACCAAGAGATCCACTTTCCTGCAATCTGGCAATGTGCTAAATCTGTTAATTGCTAATTTTGTTCTAAAGCGCAATTGTCACCTCTGAATGTTAAACGCACTCTCGTCTGTCTGACTGTGAGCATCTAAATGTAAATTGCAGACATATTCAAGGGGAGAAATGGGATAAGTATCAAATCATTGGGTAATGTCTGTTTATAGGCAAGTCAAATGAAGTGCGAGTGCTGAAATGTGACAGTAACAAACAGCACTACAAGCCAGGGTTTTAATGCCAGCCGTAATAACATTGGCGCATTATCATAACATAAAGGACTCTTAAATGAGTATCAGATTGCAATCATCTTTCGTTTTAATTTCCTAAAAGTTTTTATATGTTATTTTCTCCTCCCCTTTTCACTTCACAAACAGGAGGGTGACAATCAGATAGAGCGTGCAGGAGGCAAGAGGCAAATTGCACACAAACCAATAAAAAAAGCCACAATTTCCCTCTATATCAGCTAAGTACGTTCAAAGAACTTTTATATGGTATATTGTTTAACAGCACGTGAATGCGCAGGTTCTAAGCAGATTGGAATAGCCGCTTCACAATAAGCTCACTGCTAATATATTCTGCTCACACACACAAACTGACCTGGTCTAGAATGGAACAACTATGATGGGTACAAAAGATAAGGAGCCCTAACCTTGAGCAAAAAACAAACCCCATCTAGAACACAAAGGATTTTACCAGCTCCTAAGGATAGAATGTCCTTCAGCGTTCGAGCCTGTGCCTAACAAAGTCATGGTTCAGAAGCAAATACTGGAGCAATCACATTCCACCAGAAGTTATAACATCTGCTATTTGTGTATTAAAATTCTTCCAAAAGCAACCTGCTTTCCTTTGCCAAGGTGTGTAACCCTTCGCTAGCTTGCTGAAGGACATTCTGTCCTGATGAGTTGGTGAAATCATTTGTGCTGTGGATTGGGTCTGCATTTGCTCAAGGTTACGTCTCCCTGTCTTCTGCATCCATCCTCGCCTACAAACACAGTCACTACACTTTACAGTCACACCCACAAAGTGCTTTGCGATGTCCTCCCGATGTGAAAGGTACTACATCAAATGTAAGAATTGTTATAATTTATTATTGTAGAACCTTAAGGCGATGGGAGCAATTTATACCGATAGATAATTGGCTTTACAAACTATTTCTCTATGATGAATGATTGTGCCCGGAGGTTAGCTCTGCATCCTTGTTTTGAGAAGTGTGAAACATGAATACTATTGTTAGCTTGGAATTTGCTACAGTAAAAGATCTCGGTTTGTTTGTTCGTTTGACAGGAGCTTGCTACACAAGAGCCAGACCTGACTTAAATTACACAGATAGGGGTCAATTCTGGGGTACTTAATGGGGAAGCTTCTGATACCTATTCGGTGCCGAGCTCCTTCGAGTTGGAGCCATATGACATGATGATAATTCCAGTCATCGGGCAGAGTCCTCAATCAGATTTCTTAATTAAGAAATTTGTTAAGAAGCACTGCAAAATTGACTCCATAGACGGTGTACTCTCCTCTCCGGAGTCAATGTACATCCAGTGTTGCTATGGCTCCTTAGTCCCCCTGTGGCCTCATCTGTCATCATTGCTCCTAAAGAAGGTACTAATCAGTCACTCACCACATTGCTGGTTCTGGGACGAGGCTGGGGCGCATTAGCTATAGTCATCACAGCCTGATGTGATAAAGTAAACTGGATCACGGTAAGTTTACAGCACAATAAGTGTCCATTTGACCCACTGGGTCCCAATTCCCCTTGCTCTCTCTCCCCTTTCCCTTTAATATTCCTTCACATTAAGTATTTATCTAATGCCCAAAATGTAAGTACAGTATTATTATTTATCCCCAGTCAAAGAGTCTGTGTTTCAGCATTGAAATAATTCATATGAAAATAATTATCATGACATGAAACTGCTTTTCGGTACTCCACACAGATTATGACCAAATTAATAAATCATTTTACAACACGGTCTGTGATGAGGCTACTCACAGAGTAGTGCAACAGTGAATGGCTGAGGCTAACCTTCAGGCGTATCTTTTCGACAGCGCCTATGGTCCCCTCCCCTCCACCTTCTCCCTTGCTTGGTGTCCAACCCCGGCACTGTGCAGTGCTTTGAGACACTATCCTGTGTGAAGGGGCGCTGTATCAATGTAAGTTGATGTTGTTCTTAATTGGAAGTAGTACAAATGAGCTCAAGGTGGTATTTTATATAATGGAAGGCAGGGCTCTTGATTCCAAACCAAAAGTCGGCCAGTTGGAACAATGTTCCTGATTGCGTTGAGTAGCTTCAATGTGGATTATAACACGTGAGGAAAAACTACACTTGCTTAGGCCACAGTGAAACAATGCAATTTTATTGACTATCTATGGTGTTAACGAAAGTCTGTTTCTTTCTATTTTTAGCAGTTGATCTATTTAGTCTATTTAAAAGCCACAGCATCACGTTGGATAGGACGCACCACATTCATCAGTGAGACACAGTCCGGTACGTGGTTTCTACCTCTATCTCTTCATCCACACTGCCACTGGCCTCACGTCTCCTCACCGCTGGCTGCCTAAGGTGTGTCGAAGGAATTGTCCACTTGACGTTTCCACCTCAGGTGGAAGACACGCTCTCGACGGCAGCCCTCTCGTTCATGTTCAGAAACAGGGTTCATCTCGACGTTAGGAGTATCCCCGGCATCTCAGAGAATATCCCTTCCCTCACCCCGCGTACACTGATGAGACTCCCTCCCCGGTTACCTGTGCGCCAGGTTAATTGTTGAATCAAACCATTTTAGAACGCTTCCAGGATTACAAGCAAGGTTACCGCAAATGGGCCCTAGACAGACATGCTACACCATGCAGTGACAACTTCCCTGCACATTCCACATTCTCTCTGGTTAGGAATACACTGCGCCTACGATCACCTCCCTCTCCCGCTTCTCTCTTGCTTGGCATCCAACTCAGCCACCGTGAAAGTGCTCCGCGACGCTTTGCTGCATGAAGGGCGCTATATAACTGCAAGTTGTTGTTGTAATAAAGTCCGGAACTTACTGATTCTGGCTTTAACGATTTGATCTGAGGAAGCTGGATCCCGTAGGCCTGATTCAGAAGAGATCTGTGAGCGGCGTTCGAGGGGTCGTTCAAGATCTTCATATTCATGGCCAGTTTGTGCTGGAAAAAGACAAGAAACTTATTAGAATATATTTATGGAGGAATCAAGGCTTCTGTGGACCTCAAAGTAGTACAATGGAATCTTGGAGGATTAAAGCGTTACACTGTCACCTCCACATTTCCCTCTGTCATGTTTGGCTCATTAGCCTGCAGTCACACAGAGCATTTCACGTCAGAAGGACGTCTCAAAGCACCAGGCAACGCTGGCAGGATGCCAGAGCTGGTTGGGAACCATGGGGGTGGGAAGGGGCAATTGTGGTCAATGAGGTTTGATTTGAGACGTGCCTTGAAGGAGGGGAGGGACGAAGTGAGCGAGTCCAGGATGAAGTTTCAGCGATGACCTAGGCTAAGCTTTAGAGCCACACTATGCATGGAAAGTGTGATCTGGCTTTGAGTGGGTGACGCCCTATATCTGTTACCAGTGAGAGAAATGAAAGAGGGGAAATGGAAATCCGCAGCCTAGACTATCCCATCCTCTCAGAAGGAGACTGCAAAGTATACTGCAAAGGGTTGAACTGAACTTGTTAATACAGGAATATAACATCCCTGTATTAACAAGAATGAAATAAATGAACTCCACACATACACAAAGCCCTTAAAGTCAAATCAGTGTGTACTCACAATTTTTATGTCTACAACAAAATCTGGCAATATATCACACCCAGCCTTTATCTTAGAGAATATATAAGGAATCAAACTGTGCTCCACATGACTGCACAGACCTGTATTTACAGTACAATAAGGTAACATGATTATATTTTCATGCCGACCTTGCTTCAGATATGCTGTTATAAAATAAACCTATAGCTCAGAGGCAAAAAAAAATTGTGGCTCATTTTCCATTTCTGCTTAAATGATGTAATTTCTTGCTGGTAAAACAACCTAAAGCCTTTCAGAGGCTGTGAGCACTAACATATGCTAATAAGCTATAAATGACTGATTCACATGGCGAATTCCATGTTTCTTATTGCATTTTCAAACACGTAAGGAGCTAAAGTTGCAAAACAATATGCAGATGTGCAGCTTTAATGTTTACTTCGGGTTAGGCAAAATCAATTGCTTTAATATGAATTCCGTTCATCCAAGTTCATCGAGAAAAAAAATCCCCATAAAAGATTCGGCTTGTGAATCGGAGCAATTGATCTTATCGCCTTTGTTTGTACAGCAGACGTTTTCAGAATAGCTGAATGTATTAATGTAAATATCTGTAGCCCACACTAAAAAAATAGGAGTGGCTTTGACTCCTACAGAATGATCTAAGTGGTGATAGTCGGTTGCTGAGTACCAGTTGCACTGGAGTTCCTAATACACACGTTATCCAAACTATTGCTCGGACTGAAGACTCTAAGCTGTGTTCATTCCCCAAACCACAAATAGGAGATAAAGGATTCTCCATCAGTGATTGTTTGCTATCATTCTCCTTTGTGGCATCACATTTGCCTAGAAACATGGTCAGTCACTCCACTTGACAGCAATCACCAGAGACGGGCTTCGATGGTATAAAGCGCTGTATCAAGAATTATTATCAACCGATCTATGGCTGAAGGAGAATGATTTGGAATATTTTCTTTGAGGATCTGGGCAGTGACCTTATTCCAGCCTGGACCTCAGCTTGTTCCTGTGGGGAAGAAAGTATTGATGACTCAGAAAAAGGAATGACAGAAAGATTAAGCAGAGAGAAAGAAATGATGGCAGACTTAAACAGCAAAGAGAGACAAGCAATGGGTTTATACTAGAATTAAAGTGGAGTTTGAGCATTCTTGTCACGCAGACGGTTATTAGATTAGAACTGGGAACTCTTTGCCGCAGCTGGCCATTTGGAGTCGAGACCATAACAACATTTTAAAGGAAATTGGACAAATATTTGAAGAGGAACAATATAAATGGGTATGGGGAAAGGGCACAGAATTGGCCTGAGAGCAGAAACCTCCATTGGAGGAGCGAGCGCCATCATAGGAACGAATGACCTCCTGTGCTGTAGTTTCTATGTTTCTATTAATTTGCGCACATCCACATCCCACAAACAGCTATGAAGTAAACAACCAATTTTATCTGGAGGATTGTTGGCCAGGACACCGGGATAGAGAAAGAGAAACTCCCTTCTCTTTGTGCTTACACATGCTTTACACGCTATGCATAATAGACCCCATTTGCCAGACGTATACTATTCGTGAGCACTATTAACAGTTACTGCGATTGATTGACTGAATCAATTGGAACTAGAGAAGAAATTGTTACGTTGACACTGAAAAAATAGTGTATTTGAAACATCTATATGAATAAAACACCATTTATTTTCAGTGTAATGGAGTCTGAAGTGAAGAGTAAGCAGCTAACCTGTGCTCCAGGTGATATGTGTTGAGGTATTTGCCCCAGGGTAACAGGCTGAGACTTTCTGTCACTCAGAGTTGGATGAGTCACTGGAGTCCTGGGTAATTTATTGGCATTGCTTTGAGAGTCACTGGATCAAAAAGAAATTTTGTTAGAGAGAGGTTTATTGTTTGAGGCCAAGCAAATTGTGGAGAGGCACATTATATATACAAAGGAGGAAAGGCAGACAGGTAGGAAAGCAGGTGGGCGGACAGGCAGGCACGTAAGCAGGCAAGTGGACCGAGAGAGTAAGTGGATGTTAAAGATGCCGTGATGCTATTGGAAATGAGAAATTATGCTATGAGAAGGGAGTTTGTCCTGTTGATCTAGCTAACAATCCTCTGGCTAAATGACTCATTCACCTCACATCTGTGTGTAGGGCCTTGCTGACATAAGATGTGTATGCCTACAAATACGGTCACTACACTTGACCATAATTACCTGTGAAGCACATCGAGGCGTTTCATTGTGACGGCACTATAAAAAACTCAAGCTCTTTCTTTCTTTACATTCTGCATCGTGCTGCATTACTGCTCACCACCAGCCTGGAGCACGGCAACAAGGGGAGCAAAAAAACATGTTCCTTGCGAAAAATATCAACGAAATACTATAAATAATCATAAAAGTCAGGCCGTAATTCAATCTCTGGGTTCGGCTGATGTTCATAAATTTCGCCCGCAATTTTACGAGACCAACAGAATTGCTTGCTTGAATAGGTACCTTGTAATATAGGGTCACCAACTATTACCCTATATTACTGATAAGTATAATGGCTTACTCTACTGCTAGAGGATATTGTGGTGCTCACTAACCTTTACAATGCTTCACATGAGCATTCTACAAGGCAAATGCTGCTCAAACAAGCTGACAGTTACATCTAAAGTATCGTTTAAGTTACTGAATAATAGCAGCAAGATAGGTTAGGATCAAGAGCATGCAATAAAGTGTTTTACTTACTATCCTGCACTGTGAGCAGCAGGCGCGGTTGACTTTGTCACTGAGGGAAGAGTCAATACTTCCCTGTTGAGTGCTTTCAAATACTGCTCTGCGTGGTTCTGTAATAAAATGTGATTTTGTTCAGGATGCAGTAATTCTTTTTCGGGGGGGAAAGGAATCCGGAGAAAAATTACTGTTTAATAAAAGTAACAGCAAGGAAAAATTCTAGAAATCTTATAACAAACTGTTTGTTAGAAACCATCACACGCTTGACTGTCGCGGGTTGATTGATAACTCTAGCCTGTCAAGTGGAGATGTCATTATAAAGATGTAATGAAAGCTGTTTAGTTTAGCAATCGGATGTTATAGACAGCTCTCTTCCACCACCGCAGCCACATTAATGGACATCCGCAGGTTGTAGTGCAAAAGTCAAAAAGATGAACAGAATTGTGCTTGCAAAAATTGCCAACAGAAATTCACCCCAACCAAAGTGAATCAAAGGCAAATGACAATCGACTGAACTCAGCAAAAGAAGTTTAATTAAAGCAGAGTATATTTTGTGAAAAAGCTTTATCTGCTCAAACATGCCTGAGCTTGACCCATGACCGGCCTCATAACTCGTCAGCAATAACAGAAATTGTCTGCGACCTGAATACTTTAAGGACATTGTATGAGACCTTGAGATTAAAAATGAGCCTTTTACTCACTCTGTACTGTCTCTAATTGTTTCCACTGATAGATATCACACTCTCAATAACATGAAAGCCATGCTAATAGCAGCTAAACTCAGTGCCAAAATGATATTGATTCAAAGACAGTGAGAGGCTATTGTAATGGCCTCATTGTAAAATAATAGCACTACATGATTTGAAAGAAGGGATCAGGAAATTATTTTGTAAAAATGGGAATCAAAATGATAGGGCTATTGAAATCATTATATAGTCTTCAGAAATTCAGGCACGATATTAGTACCTATGGAATTACTGGATAAATCACAGATAATCACCAGGGGCTATTTGGTACATTCACCTCACACCAGGCGCGAAGAAAGTAGTGAGTCTGATTTATCTGGGATCCAAGCTTTCTGGTTTTTGTATAAAAAAACCTTTCAAAGCACATTCTCTTTTGCTAGTTTGTGATGCGGTCCAGTTGCTTGTTCGCCCACAAAACACACAGCCAATGTATATTTATAATAATACTAATAATCCTTGCATTTGATATAGCACTTTTCACTTCTTCTAGTTGTCTTAAAAGTAAATTCTATGAAGCACTTTGAGACGTATCGAAGATGTGATAAGGCACTGGATTATTGTATTATTATTATTATTTTTAAATATCTCAATTTACACTAACCCGCAGGCCAATTTCAGTCCTCTGAATGGCTGTTTCCAGCAACTGAATGTCCACTGTTTCTCCATTTTCCTGTGATTCGGTGAATTTATTCTTTAAGCGATGAAGATCGTGTTGAACCTAAAAGGTGTGCAAAGAGGCAATTACGTGTTAGTGACCGACCACTAGAAGCCATAAACATCTTCACTAAGAGCTTGTTTGTTGTTGTGTGACAGCAACTAAATTGTACTCAAACACCCCCAGGGAGCTTACTAAGTGTCTTCCTAAAAATGGTTCCTACAGTCAAATGATGTTAAATGTTGTTCCACCTGCCTGTGAATGTTCAAGATCACACAGCAGCACTATTTGAAAAGATAGAGGGTTTTCTCCAGGTGTCCTGGCCAACAATCCTCCACATAAATCGGTCATTCACTTGAAGGCTGTTTGTGGGACCCATGCTGTATGCAAATTGCCCAACGGGTCCACCTACTAATACTCAGTCACTACACTTAATAGCAAATATACAAGACACTATAACCAAATGCCAGGGTTATTTAAGTGCACATGTGGGCGAGAGGGTCTGGATTGGAGCCCCGTGAGTGCTGGCCAACTGCGGTCGGGCAGTCTGTGGGCACTGACTGGCCGAGGTTTCGGACGTGACCGATGGCCACTTGGTGGGGGAGGAAGAAGGCGACCCTTCAGCAATGAGTCGTTGGACGGAATGGGGATGGGGATGTTGAGTGGCGATGACACTTCTCTGTCGCTGGTCAGCCGGCTAAAGCAGTTCAATGAAATATATATATATATAGTACATACACACACACACACATATATATATATATATTGCTCTTTACCTTAATCAGTATGTCGGCTATGTTGCTGTCAGGTTTACTGAGGAGCTCTGCCATGTCTCAGTGACCAGCACAGGTCCCTCGCCCCGCATTGTCCTCCAGGAGCCAGAAAGATGCCCTGGCAACGCCACGCGGCCTCCACCACTCGGTTGTTAGGGGGGAGAGAGAGAGAGAGAGAGAGGAGGGGAGATAGGGGGTGGGGTGAAGAAGAAAGAAAAGGGGGAGACATTCCAGCGCCGACATTAAATAAAAGTTTAGTTTTTAATCGGTTGTGTGTACCGGCTCCCCCCCCGGGTCGGGAGTAATAGGGAACAAGGGAAGCATGAACCCCCCCTCCCTGTCAGATGGTACAGGCTGACCTCTCGCCAGTGGCCCCAGTGACCGGAGGCCGGACACCACCCGCTGGGGGTTTATACCCGGGGGTGGGGGGGTATATGGGGGTGTGGGGGGGTATATGGGGGTGGGGGGGGGTGCAGGCTGGCGTTTGAATGGGGTTGAGTGGTGCTGTGGAAGCTGTTTGGTGCTGGTTGCTAGGGGGGGGAGTGGCTTGGGCGGGAGCTAGGCCGCGGTTGCTAGGGACAGGGGTCAGAGGTGACGGGGAGATGGCGGCTCCCAGCGCGCTCGTCGTCAGTTGCTGCCCGGACTTCGAGGAGCGCCGGCTGGTGGCAGGTGGGTGGTAGGAGAGCAGCGGCGGGGAGGGGGGAGGTGGGGGGCGGGGGGCGCGGTCGGTGTCTCCGAGGCCTCCTCCCGGTGTACCGGGCCCTGTCCCCGCCCCCCCCAGCGCTGATCAGGGCCTAACCCGCACCGCGCTCCAGTGGCCGCTCCATCCCCATCGCCGGGAATTCACAGCCGTCCCTCTCACCACTCGTTATAGCCCTCCGCCCCCCACCACCCCCCCCGCCCCCTCCCCGCTGATCCCCACCGCGTTTATCTTTCTCTTAAATCTCGCCTCGGGGTCATTGTAACGGCTGTGTTTAATATATATATTTAATATTATAATAATGTATAATATAATGATGTATTATATATAATATAATAATGTATGATATAATAATGTATTATATATAGTATTATAATAATGTATAATATAATAATGTATTATATAGAATATTATAATGATGTATAATATAATAATGTATTATATATTATAATAATGTATTATATAGAATATAATAATGTATAATGTAATAATGTAATTTATGATATTATAATAATGTATAATATGATAATGTATTTAGTATATAATATTATAATGATAATGTATTTAATATATATATTTAATATAATAATGTATTCAATATATATTTAATATAATTATATATTTAATAATCTTACAATAATGCATTTAATATATAATTTAATAATAATGTATTCAGTATATGTTGTAATAATGTATTATATAGTTAATAATATAATGATGTGTTTAATATATATTTAATAATAATATAATAATGTATTTAATATTTCGTTCTACAAAATATACAGTCAGTTCACTTTACAGTACATTCCTGTAGTCGTCTCAAAGACGTGATAAGGCGCTGTATCAAATGCAAGGATTATTATTATTTTATTAACCTATATATTTAATTTTGATATGCTCTCCTGATCCCAACCCCCAGCTCGGGTCTAAATCCCTGACTGTCCAGCACCTTGGGATGTCCTCCTGACATGAAAGTTGCAATACACGTGTAATTTGTTGTTGTTGTTGTATTTTGTCTAATTTGTTTGTAATTGTATTATTATTGTGTGCCTGTGTTTGCGCAATGTCTATAGAATCAGAAATTACAGCACAAAACGACACCAGGAGCTCACCCCCTTTGAGTTGTCTTCAATGGAAAGCTATATGATTTTAGTTGGTAAGACTCCAGCAGTGACCCCAGCGCACAGTCTGGGGTCCCCAAGCCTTGGCTCTTGCCAATACTTGTGCCAATTCTTGTGCATAATACTCTCTGGAATTAGGTAATTAGGGAGAGAGTGTGCATTACATTCCAGACAAGGGGATATTTCTATGTGTAGGTGACGTTTGAAAGGAACTCTCATCTGGATTGGACACTCTTAAGCATGGTGATGGGTGTCTGTATGTGTCAGACACCTGGCTGACCAAAAAATGTCAAATCAACGGGTAAAAAGACAGGTTGGGTAGTTCTAGCTGGGTCAAGCAGCAGGAAACTACTCTTTAATCCTGTTTCTCTGCTTTTTCCTGGTATTTGTTTTTAAAAACTCATATTTATCCCTATTCAATACAGTTACAGATGCTGCTTCGACAGCCATTCAGCATTATAACTACAGTATTTATTTTTAAAGATACTCTTATCTGCCATTCTGTTCTTGGGATTCTGTGCTCTTATTCAGTGGATTTGGAAAGCTCAGTTCTTCTGGTTACAATCTGAGTCTCTTATACGGTAATGTAGTGCATCCACTGGTATGGAAGTATCTGCACACAAGCAATACCTCTTTATTGTTCTGATAAATTCCAGCAGGTGGCTGTGGAGTCCACTGAATTTTTATTCTTCCTTTTTAATCCAGTCTTTCACTGCACTCGTAGGTGGGTGGTGGGTGGGTAACCTTAGCAGTGACATTCTGTAACGAGATTTGCTTAGATCCAGAAATTCTACAAAAGCATATAAAAGTATACTTTGATTCTTTTGAAAGCAGCAAACAAAAATCCTTTGACATGTGCCTTGATCTATACCCTTTCTATTTTAAAGATGACACCAGTTTTCTGGGTGTAGTTTTAAGTTTTAATTGTGTTGAATTGACTTAAGCCACATGTGGATGGACAAGCAAAGTGAGGATAGAGGTGTGGTTGCACAGATTAATTCACAAGCATTAATTTCCTTGGTTGGTTTGAGTCATGAACCAAAAGCAACCAAGTTCTATAAATACAGTGTGTAGCTGTTTTCCTCCTTGTCATCATTAACTAGAAGAATCATTGATGTACTGTAGCATTTAACCACATCAACAGAACCTATCTAACACTTTTATTAGATAAGTTCTGGTAATAAATACACATGATTGGGTTGCAGGGATGTGTCGACTGTAACATTAAGCAACTCTTAATTCTACAAAATGCACACACTGCACTTTAAGTAAATCCTGTGAAGTGCTTTGAGATGTCCTCTTAATATGAAAGGTATTATAACAAGTGTAAGGATTATTTTATTATATTCTGACACCTATATGGAGTGCTTTGCCCTAGTGCTTTAAGACCTTTTTTACCAAGTCTTTTTAAAAAAGAAATCTTAAGCAAGCTGGACTTGCTTTGAATCTAACTACAGATTGTTGAGAAACGGGAGCTGCTGCCACCATGTAGGGGATTTTTTTTTAAACTTTTGAATGTTGTTCCCTACCACCTGCGCTGCCTCTTTCACCATCTGCCACCATCTGCTGGAGCTGAATTTATTTTTGCTACTGGAAAGGATCTTGCTTCTTAGACTGTACAGGAACCTACATAATACTGCCTCTTGTGTTTGCACATTGCAATTGATCAGATTTAACGCCCTCCCACCCCTCCCACCCCTTCCCCCAACATCTACACCACCTCCCGAACAGAAACAGCAATAATATGCTGTCGTTAAGACTTTAGGAAGATATCCCACATGTAGCCCTTTGAAATCCTTCTGTGCAAAGTGTCCAACCGCAATATTAGTACAATAACCATTTTCAGTTAAGTTTATAGTTCCCCTCTTCCTCTGCCCCCTGTATTTTGCTAGCCACAGTATTTTCTGTTTAGTCTACTTTATCTATTGTCTTTTCTCCCTTTCCTTGTGCATATGCAACATTTCTTCCAAGATTTGGCAAGCACCTGTCTCTTGGGTTCCCACTAGTAATGCTGTGTAAGGTGCTATTTGGAGGAACAAATGTGTTGTTCAAGTTTGTTTAGTTAGTTATGAAAGACATGAAGGAGTGGGGGAGAGAGAGAAAGGCTGCGAACTGAGGCATTTTGGGTGAAGTTGTACCAACAAAAGTGAAGTGAAGGAGGAAAAAAATAACAGTTTTACTGCCCTTATGTTAACTTCTCAAAGCAGTTCACATATAATAACAGAACAAGGCCTGGTGCAAGGCACTAACCCACAGGTTTCTGACCCCATGGGGAGGGAGCAACACAGTATTACAATACAGTAGATTAGAGGTCAAAGCTGTCCCAAAGCCTTGTGCAAATGGTTTGCACCAGCACCTTGGTTGTTATTGTTGTTTGTTTGTTTGTTTCTGTTGTTTGTTTTGTTAATGCTGTCAAATAGTCCAGAATTTAGATAAATACATGAAAAAGATAATGAAGGCAATGGAGTTAGAGTAGAGCAGCTCTGGGGCTACCACTGGCACAGACACACGGGGTAAACGGACTCCACTGCTGCGAACATTTTGCATTTATTGAATGCTGTTGACCACTGCTGTCACTTTTGTATGTGTAACTGTAACATTCACCACTTTTTTTCTGCTTAGAAATTATTGGAGCAGGTGACCTTCCTGAACACACAGGTCCAAGGAACGCTGTGCAAACCTATCCATGGACTATCGATAACAAATACTACACAGCTACTGTTCAGCTGTGTGTGGTGCCCAACAAATCGCTGCTCACAAAGGAGATTGCAGAGTCAGTTGAAGCCTTCCTGGTTTACTTTGACAGCAGCACAGTAAGCAAACCTTTGTGTTTATTACATTAGTTTTGTTGTGTGCCGAGTACTTTACAGGGATCAGCGACAGTGGTCAGTAGACTGAGCAAGCAATTCCCCAGTTTTCATTTCAATTCAATTGCCCATTTTTTTCCACTAGACCATTTTTAAAAAAATAATTATGGAAGGAGAGATGGAAAGACAACACTGAGACCGAATGAAGTAATACTCAATTGTATTCTTGGACAAAGAGGAAATTGACCATGTGAAATAATTCGAGCCTTGCCTCAATTTTTAGATGAAGATTGTAAATGCTATTTAGGGTTTTGAGGCAGTTTTTACAAAGTGGGTTTGATATGGGAACCTGTACTCTAGAAACCATGTATTTGTGCTGTCTAAGAAGAGGGTGTTAAATGAATGCTTCACTACCCTCTTTATATCGACAGTGATAGCAGAGCTCCGAGGCTTAGGATAGCACGTGACAAAATGTACGTGGAATGCATTGGCTGCGTATCTATTGCAACCTCTGAACACTGGCTACTATCTCAGGCTGACCTATCCCTGTTCAATGGCTTCCTGGAATGAGATGATGAACTTTAGTGGCAGTTGTGGCCGAAGTGAAGGCAGCTTGTGCCTTTACACACAAGGACCTGGATCAAGTCTAACCTAACTTTATATTATTTGATGCCAGGTGAGAGGGAGCACCTCCCTTTCTCTAAATTGGGGCAATGCCATGCTTTGCCTCTCATGGAAGCACCATGACTGTGCTCGCCCATCTCCCTTTTTGGATCGCTTTGATTGTACCTGTTGGTGTTAGACAGTCTTGCAATGACTTTAACTTATCAATTGTGCAAATGTATCTGACGAAAGGTCATTGTACCTGAAACGTTAACTCATTTTCCTCTCTCCGTGTGCGCTGCCTGATCTTCCCAGTGACTCTTGCGTTTATACCAGATTTCCAGCGTCTGTGCAAATGTATCTGCTTCTTGGTGTGAAACTTGAATATTTATCATTAAATATTTATCATTCGCCCACAAATATACAGTCAATTCATTTTGCAGCATATTCCGTGAAGTGCTTTGAGACATCTAGAAGATGTGAAAAGCTCTATATCAAATGCAAGGATTATTATTATTATTAAACGTTTGCCTTTTCAGAAATCTGGTCTGGTTGAGGTGTCCACATGGCTTCCTCTCACACAAGAATGGTCCCCAGAAGTTCTGATCTTGGTGTGTGACCGGATCTCCGATGATGGTAAAGTATATAGTCACTAAAACCCACTGTTGAAAATCTGATTTTTCTGGTTAAAGTTAATTTGTGACCAACCCTGTTCTCAGCCCACCAACTGACAAGTGATATTTGACATTGAGGTTTATTTGCAATAGCCAATCTGATTACCATGTTCCAGGAAAAGTTTCAGAAATTGGTGTTTCCAAGGGGATGGGAATCTAAGCTGCACGACTTTTTGGCTGGTACCGGTACAAGTGTATGCTTGCAAGTTGAAAGCATTTTCTTTAGTCTGTAGATTTGCTTCCCTTTTTTTAAATTATAGAACACGGGGCTGGCCCTTGTCGTTGATATGTCGTTTTAAACTGTTCTTTTGTAGAGTTTCTTGAGCCGGCGAGCTGTTATTGGGAGGTGTGAGGAGCAAGCGTGCGGTTCTGTTGCCTACCTATGCAGTTCTGTTGATTGGCCTGCAGAAGGCACGAGTCTGCACCCAATGTGTTAGAAATATCAGATTCAGCAGTCTGTTCAGCACCACACTCTGACAGCATTTCACTTATTTTATCTCCAAAACCATATCCCTCTACTTTTTTACCAAATCATGACCTACAGCACATCAGCAGCTCTGTCTACAGGCGCCAACCATTAAAACAAAAAGTTCAACCAAACTGTAGTGTTCTTCACATCCACTAGTCTCCCTGTGACTCACGCAGCAGACGTTTTGCATCCAATCCACTTCTGTTTCATCTTGCATTCCGTGCTGTTGATTAATGTTCCTCCTCTTGGTTTTTCTCAATCTAAAGCGAATGAGGATCCCTCATGAGGGGCATTTTGCGATTGAGGCACGCTGGAGTGCAATGCCCTTGTATCTCCTCACAGCCAACTGAAATAGCAATACAAGCGATCCCTGCAGGAAAATTCATGCAGGGAGGGAAAGGTGTAAGGAGAGAATGAGAATGGAAATTAGACATTGGGTAGTGGGAAGGGTCCATGGTATTTTGACATGCACAGAGAGGTGGTGTGCAGTGTTTTCATCTCTCTATTTCGTGCTAAATCCATCACTGGCTTGTCTGTTCCTTCTTCAGAACTTTTAATCTTTTGTGCACATGTTTCAACTTGTCGTTGTTCCAGGAATTCAGTGATTTACAAGGCAGAGTTACTGCCAGAGTAAGAGTTTTGAGGAGTTCAGCTCTTTAGAACTGAGTTTTCTTTGTATCTTTCAAATATAGATGTGGCCCAATGTCCACTTTCACTAAATTCCAACCATTGCATCTGCAATGGTCTCTGGACAAGTCTTGTTATATATTTGTATAGAGTAGGAGTGCACATCTTATTTAGACTTCATAAATAAAATCCATTGAAATTGGACCAGTGCAAAAATAAACCCTTCAAGAGCTCTCTGTGCTTTTGACTTCTCCAGCTGGTTATACTATAAAAGCATTACCAACATTACAAATTAAAACTATTTTTATCACATTTGAAATGTAATATCTTGTGATGCTAGTGTGTGAAGCTTACATTTAGATCTTGACGTGTTGCCATGCAGATGGCTGGGCAGAGAACTTCACAGTAGTTGGCAATGTACCCCCTTTGTCTATGGTCACCTCTCCCCCTCCCCTTCCCCCTCCTCTCCCCAGCTCAGTGGCGGACCCCACTATTAAAGCTCTTGGAGACATTATCCTACGAGAAAAGTTCCATGTTTACACAAGTAAAAAGGATAACCCCAACCCTGTGTTTATTCTTACTTAAAAGTCTCCTGTTCGATTATGTTTTGGGGGAAACATCATGAATGTTCCTTCTTTCCCTTTCCAGGGGTGAGCAGATTAGCTGCCCAGGAATGGTGTATTAAACACGGGTTTGAGTTGGTGGAGCTCAACCCAGAGGAGGCGCCAGATGAAGAAGGTCTGTGTGTGTATTTTTGTATTAAACATTGTGTAGATGAACCAAATCATGGAACTAGCAATATCTGGATGACCCATTACTGCACTATAATGTCAGTCTAGACTAAGACCCAAAATCGCATGTAAACAAACCCATGACCTCCTGATTAAAGGTGTGAGTGTTATCACCTGAGCCAAACTGACTCACTAAATCCCCCCCGCTACACAAAACCTCCATCAGGAAGCATTGCAGCCACAAGATCTGTCCAATGTCCTGAACATGTGATCAGTTATACAGCGACATTTGCAAAGGCCGGAAGTGTGTGTAGGACACATAGGAATTGACACATAGGAATTGAATTGTTCAATCATAGAAAGTTACAGCATCAAGTCTGCACATCCCATCTAAACCTAATACACTGACTCCTGCTCGCTCCCCAGACTCCTTTGTATTCTTCAACCCAATAGTTTGTGCCAGAAGTTTCCACTATTGATCAGTTTCAAGGCTACAATCTGAATATCCTTCAATACTGTTCCATTACATTGTACACCCTTATTTTCCCATAATCCTGTACTTGTTCAACAGAGATTGTGACCTTAAATGTGACCTTTGTACCATTTGTGCAGATGACTTTCCAGAGTCTACCGGAGTGAAGAGAATTGTCCAAGCCTTGAATGCCAATGTGTGGTCCAATGTGGAGATGAAAGCAGGTATGATAAAGAGTTAGGTTGAACTATTGGGATAACTGGGCCTGAGTAAGGTACTCGACTTGTTAGACTTGGTATTGAAAGTTGAACTACATACAATATTACAAGAGCTAACCCAATGGTTTAATTCATAGCCACAGCATAGGCTGGACCTGAGCTGGTCAGAATAAATAGGTCCCAGGTTCATTTCTGGTTCTGTGCTGAGTTAGCTGATCTCATCTGGGCAGATGCAGTAGAGAACCCGATTGTTCCCTTTGTGGACGTGAAAACAATGCAGATACCAGGTCATCACACAAAATATAGTTTACAGTGCTAACCACGCACTTCCTGTACCAAGCCTTCTGTTGTCACTATAGTACAATGCCCGCCTGCCAGCCCTTTTCTCATCAATATTTTACTCTAAACATTCAAACCTGTCAGTCCTGCAATAACAGTAATTCTACTTTTTTTCTTATCTGTCACAATGACTCAATGATTAGAGCTATAACTGTTTTGCAGATTGTACAGTATTATTGCTGATCAGAATAACATACAAACTTATCTTCATTTCATAGATTCATAGAATGTTACGACACAGAAGGAGCAAGTCACTTTCACTAACCCCAATCACCAGCTTTCTCCCCATAACCCTGCAAACCCGTCTTCCCCAGATACCTATCCAGTTCTCTCTTAAAAGATGTTATTGAATCGGACTTCACTACCCTTTCAGGCAGATCATTCCAATGCCAATCATTCATGCCATTTACTGTAATCAGTCAAATTAATGAGAGCCAATCCAGTGAGTCCTGGGGCCCAGATACTGTCTAATCTTCGATCAAAATGGTTTCCTATGTTGTGCTCTAATTGCATTCTGGAATTTCAGTTTGCTACAGTTGTGTACGTCTCCATCTGCATTGTGTGGAGAGTGATCACTATTACAGAAGGATACTTGGCTGTGAAATACAATGTCAAATGGAAATTCCTGAAGACCATGGATTTGTGAAGTGTAACCGCTTTAGTTCTCCCGTCCCTTAGTCCCTTCGCCTTGCTCCCTGTAACATTTACCCTCTGGTGTTTTGTGGCTCCTGACCTAATAGAGGAAATCATTACTCTACAATGTCCTTTGCATGTTACTCCTAAAGAGCCATGTGTTGCTGGCTGAAGCTTTGAACATTTGTATGTGAAGCATTTGAGTATCCATGAAAATGGTTCCTGTCTCTTTTTAATCTGTTTCGCTGAGCCCCAAGCACGTATAGTTATGTATATGAAGATGTACCATCTTCACTTCGTTTCACAATAGTTCTCATGACTAGCTCCTCTTTCTCAAACCCCTCCACAAGCAAACGTTGAATAGCCATGCGAGCCACCAGTTCAGGCTTTTTTGACTTATTTAACAAGTCGTTGCTCCTTGTGTTTTGACTTGCTTCATTTTGTATCTACTTGTGAAAGGACAGAGCAGTAAATATTTACAACTGTTGCTATAACCTTAAAAGCCACAGTTGTGTAGCTTTTAATAGTGTGCATCTGCGGTGTATATTTGGGGAAGTTCAATAAACAGACTTAACTTGTAATTGCAGCAGAGTACGCTTTCTATTCTCAGACACGATGCACGGCTTTGGGATCCTCAGCAGTTTAGCGGGGACACGTGAGCGTTGTGCAACAGAAACCGAGACACAGGTGAGTGTGAGTGATTCATCGTTCGCCTGACTTAAAATAAAATAGAAAACCTGGAAGACATTTCTAAACAACAGTGGAAACCGTGTTTAGAATATAGTTCACCTGAGTCCAAACGTGAAGCTGCCTTAGTTAGGGAAGGGTTTGATTGATTGATTCATTTACTTCTTGACAGATCTCAGCCACAATATCATGGTGTCGTTCATAAAGTCATTCATAAAATTGACCTTTTAACTCCAAGGGACGGGGGAGGCAGAATGAACAATAGCCTATTCCTTTGGTATTTGCTGGTCCAGCCATCACCACCCTGCTTTTCCAGGACATGGTGACAGAAAGGCTGAGACTATTTCTGTGCTTTTTTTCCTTCCCCCACACACACCCTCCTCCCCATTTACCCCCTTTGCCCCATATCTCTTGATACCCTTTGTTAGATCAGTGTATCAAGGGACATGGAGCAAAGGTGGGTAAATGGAGTTGAGGTACAGATCAGCCATGATCTAATAGAGGGGCTGAATGGCCTATTCATATTCCTAAGTTCCGCGCGCCCCCCTGAAGCCTTGTTAAGCAGCTGATAGGTCTTGTATTTACAAGACACAGGACTGCTGCTAGCCCATGCCACATAACTGGCAAAACCCCAGGTTAAGCCGAGTGAAGGGAAATTGCGTGTTGTTTGCTGTGCAAAGGCGGCTTCCGAGTTTTTAACAGAAGAATGTCTAAAGTATGCACCTGCCGCCGTGGTGTTGTTGCAGTGCCAGAGTATTACTGAGCCCAACAACGAGGCCCTTTCAGATGACAGTAAGCTGGAGGCAGCCAGAAACAACACTCCTCAGACAGACGGTGCCATAGGTACGGAAATCCAAATTCTTTTTCATCCAGTTTTGCTCCTTTCTCTCTCTCTCTCTCTTCTAATACTCAGCTTCCCATTTCTACCCTTATTTAGCAGATCCAATGTTGCATTGGGATATCCAAGAGCTGGCCAACCTGACCACAGGCGAAGCAGACTGCGAGAATTTTGAACGTTTGTTTGAGAAGTTGCAGGAAATGAAAGGCAAGTCCTCTGGCACTGTCCAAAGGCCATGGAAATTCATCTTGATCGTAGAACTTTGACAACAAAGAAATGGGCCATTTGGCCCATCTCTGTTTGCGCTGGTGTTTGCTTACACTTGAGCCAATCTAAGCCCATTCTCCTGCTCGCTCCACACAACCATTAAATGCTACCCTGTGTGAGGGATGCTATATAACTGCAAGTTGTTGTTGTTCAAGTTTCTCTCTCTTCAAGACTATCTGATTTCCTCTTAAAATAGCTGCACTTTGTTTCCACTATAGATTGTGGCACAGTGCACCACATTCCAGCCACCCTTTGTGATTATTTTATCTTAAATTTGTGCTGCCTTATCTCAGTCGTGCATCACTCAGTCCAGTCAGCCTGGGTACGGTCTGTGTACTGCAGCTTGACTGAACTGTAACCTGCAACAACACTGAGCAGAGATTTCACCACAAAGAAAAAATATTTTTGATTTGAGTTGCTTAAGAATAGCTGATCAATAGACATCTAATTCTCAAGGAATTAATGGTCTAGCGACCTGCCCAGTTCGTTGTGTAACCCGAGTTGTGTTTTGTTTACATTGGCAGATAGAGCAGCGTCATTACCTCACGAGCAAAGGAAACTGCACGCAGAGAAGGTAAGCATGTGCAGACTCTGAGCCAAATGCCAGCAAATTCACCTTTCCTTGTATCCAGGAATTATCATCCTTGGGCATCCATTATCCTCCAGCTCAAAAAACGAAGTTCCACAGCGTATCGTCTGTTGCAGTGTTAATATTTAAATACATCAGGTAGCGTGTGTTCTCAGCTGACTCTCCCCTCTGCCCTACTTCATAGTTCACATGTGGATATGTAGGAGTAGATTGGCTACAAGTGTCCCAAACAATTCTACTCTTTGCTTGAAGGCAGGAATGTAGAATGGGCTAGCGGGGATCTGCTTGGACACGTTTTCTGTGCAAGGGTTTAGTGAATTATATTTGCTTTCAAGCCCAGATGGTCCAAGTCAACCATTCAGCCAAGATGTTTGAGTTGTTTATTGTAGTGATCACTCTTGTTTACTCTGTGTGTGGGTGTGGAAGTGGGGGGTGCTGCATGCTTTTCTTCCCAGCCTTGTCTGATCTTGCATCCTGTTTACACTTGAAGATGAGCAGCAATTGTACACTCATGATAGGAACTGGTTCCCTTCACGTATCTCTTCTTACTTGACTTGACAGGTTGCTAAGGCTTTCTGGATGGCCATTGGCGGAGACCGCGAGGAGATCGAGGACTTGTCTGGTGAAGAGAGTGACTAAGAGCTCAGTCATGAGTCTCTTTTTCCCTTTGCAAGCTTTGTTTTGTTTGCACCGTTCTGCTTCTGTTGTCTGTGTCTCTAGACATTTTACTCCCAGGATTGCCCGAGTCAGAGATCGTATTAGGCAGTGGAGAGGCAGGTCTATGCTGAGTCAACTGAATGAACAGATAAACGTGGGTCCTCATTGACATCCTCCCCGTCTGAGCACTCATGATTTTTAGATGACAAATCTGAGCTAATCTATACTCCCTCGTATATCCTGAGCATTATATATATAAACTGATTGGAAATTTATAGTACAGAAGAAGGCCATTTGGCCCATCGTGTCTAATATCGTAAGCTTTTGGTGTATCCATTATGTCTCTCCCTTCTTTCAATATGATTGATCTCTTCCAGAGAACTTTGCACTACTCTTGTTTATCATATAGTTTCTACATGTATATTCTTTGGAAGGTCTATGATGTATAGGTGTGTAGTAGAGTAAAACAGTACCGCTCAATAACGAATGCAGGGAAAACAGTCTTTTCAAATGAATGCATTTTGAGTTGCGTAGAAAACCTCCTATTAACTCTCTGTGTATGTAATGGTCTGTGCCTGACCATGCCTATAAAGTACAAAAGGGTTTATAACTGCTTGAAAAAATGGACATATAACAACTGAGGAATGTGGCAGGATTGCAGGGTAAACCAATGGGTAATTAATTGCATGCAGGAAAGACGATAAGTGTTAATGTTCACCGGGGTAATGGTCACAAAAAGATTTTGTTAATCTGCTGCGTGTAACTGTGAATATTGCTTTAACATTGGTGCACCTCTGTGTATTCCTGTGAGGGGGAAACTAGCAGTGCTGGAGGATGTAGAAAGCTATTTCACATGGTGCAGTAATCATTTTCAATGAAGTAAGAAACATGAGCCTCTTCCGAACAAAAAACCTTTTTTCGTGAATAAGTAATTCATTTTACAGACGCCTCTTAAAACAACTTGCACGCAAATCAGTTATAATTTTACAAGACTCTGGTTAACTGGAATGTGATCTGATTAAAGCTAATCTTTATCGTACGGTATAAAAACAATTCTAAAAAACATATCTGTCCAGCTTCTATTTACTTTCGCGCTGCTTGAAGGCTGTCAGAGCTAATCCAGTCCACCAATGCTTGCTATGACGGCATCCTGTTAAAATACTGACTGATGAATCATGCATATTTGATCCTGAAGGTTTCTGCTTGTGGTGTCTGTGTGAATGTGGCTTTGTTTTCTTTGGTAGTTTTTTTGTTCAACAAAAGGTTCCCAGTCACACAAAGCAGTGGTGTGGTGGAACATTTGTGGTGCGCATTTGTGGTGTAGAATGGGGTGAGATCAGAACCAAGTGCGGCGGAGCTCAAGGTGATTTAACATTCAATGGCTTCCTTATTCTGCAACCCGAACAATGTCTGGAAAGCTTCGATGAGACCCTTTTTATTAACTGAAACGAGTCAGGTTAAACTGGACTGAATGAAGCGTGATGATGAGTCAAACTGGGTTCGATCATGGTCTGTGACCTGCTCCACACCTTCGCACAGTGGAGGAGGTTCAGAGGGTGGAATAAAGTTGGTTTCTAGACTAAAGACAGGAATAGAATAGGTTTGTATATTATTTCATTCCTCCAGACCATCCGACCCTAGTAGATTCCTCCATTCCCACACTTTCCTCCTGTGTGCAGGTCCTACATAAAATACCCCTGATACCTTGATAATGAAGATCGAAGCACAGTGTATCCTGGTCTGTATGGCTCAGCTACTCACTCAGTGGATAAACTCACTGACACAGGCAGCTGATCACATCTGTTTGCACTCCTGAGGTACAGTTGTTTACAGTCAGATTCCCTAGCTGAGAACCTGCAGGGGTGAAGGGTTCACTCTTCACTTTTTCAGCATCTATCTAAGGGATGATATCACAGACGGATGAATTAGATGCCCAGATGTGTGTCGCTGCAAGACTGCTCGGAGAACAATCTCTTCGTTGAAGCCGGATCGCAATGAAAGGAGGTGTGCAACAGAAGATCCATCTCTGAGCGAACCTGTGATTTACTAATGCTTCTGTGAGTATCACAAGCCAGGCCCCAGTGTGAGCTGTACTAACTACTCCCACTCTTCTAAATAAAAAACAGTTGATCAGTTGGCTGCTAAAATGCTTAAAATTGGAACGAGCTTCAGAACCAAACCATTAGCACACATTGTAAATTACCCTCTGCTCACTAGTACCTTTCCAGCTGAATGGAAATTAGCCGAAGCTGTCCCTGTTCATAAATCCAGCCTTGCTGGCAACGTAAAAGCTACGACCGAGGAGGATTCTTCCCCCAGTACTGCTGAAGGGACCTGTTCTAATGACGTAAAACAAAATTGATAATAATAATAATTCTTGCATTTGATATTAGCACTTTTCAGGTCTTCTAGATGTCTCAATGCCATTCGCTCTGAATTATTTTAACTCTACAGTTTTCTGATCATGGTTTGCAAGTACTATTGGCTGACTGGAGTGAAGAGGGGGTAGAGGGTGAGAAGGAGAAAGGGTAAATATAGGAAACTATCCTAGAATTCACTGTCTGCTTTCCTCTAACGTGTGTTGGCTGGTGTGTGGTTTTATCCATGAGTTTTGAATGGGGCTGATACTGTAATTACACTTTATGCAGTGAGTGTGTCAGCCTTGCCCTCCCTCCTATATGTGAGGTTTTTTTTAATTGGAATGTGTGTGTGCATTGAGACCTTCTGGTCACAGAGCTGGGCAGGTTCTGGCATGGGGCAGATGGCATTAACTGTGCTGGTGAGGGAACAAGGAAGCTGGGAATACTTGCTGCCATGCAGAGAGCTGTAGGTACACCTCAACAGTGATCACCTACCTGCGTGATCGTTAAATACCTGGACCGAAGGCCGGCTCCATCAGAAAGGGTGAGTCAAAGTGTTGGGAGCTTAAATGAGGCTTGACTAGGACTGGAGAGCAGCATGTTGAGGGAGCCATGATTGTGCAGCACAGAGCTAACTCACTGCACAAGCCACATCCAAGCCTGGTTGGAAGGAGAAAGAACTTATTTATTTAAACTCAAATCAAATGCATAGTTCTCCCAGCATGGGTTGAGAAAGATATAACTTGCATTATATAGCGACCCTCACATGCACAGGGTAGAGTCCCAGAGGATGGGAAATGTCTCTCCTCCTCACAATACTTATAAAAAAGGACATGTGTTTAAAAGTACCTTTTACAGGGCTTATTGATAAAGAAGTTACAAGGTGCAATGCGAGACAGTGAATCCACTCACCACAGCTCGTGTGTCCTTGTGTCAGGGGCACTAGCAATGACACCAGTGGAACTCATCATTTAGTAGTGGTCAACAAGGTTATGGTACTTGGCCAGTGAGGGACTGAACTGTAACAGACATTTGCTTCCTCCAATGTCTTGTCTAAGTGGTTGTTATTCAGTGGGTACTGTTTTAACTTGAACTTGATTTCCTCTCATCACCACTAAGTATTTTGTTTTTTTACCTAATCAAGGGCTAATGAGCTTAACACAGACTAGGAATCAAAGATGGGCCCATCCCACTTCTGTACTACTCAGCTACTCACTGGATAAACACCAACAGCTTGCATTTATATAATGCTCTTCATGTAGGGTAGCGTCTCAGAGCACTTAAAACTCACTGAGCCAAGTTTCCACAGAGATGAAAATAAACTTTCCAAAGCTTCCCAAGCCCTTAATTAAACAGAAACCTCAACGGTTTACCTGAAGCCCTGTAATATCTGTGACAAGGTGAAATGGTTGGCGGAAAGAATGATAAAATGCAATTTTAATAACTGAAACATTTACAAGAAGGGAAGAAACATTACAAGGGGGAAGGAATATTTGAGCCTTTTAGGAACATTTACAATGTAGAAAAAAAACACAAAAAGCATAAAGTACAAGCAAGCACCCTTCGTAAAGTAAAAGTTATACAGTTCTTTGTCTGTCAGAACAAAGTAGCTTAATGTAACACGGAGGGGGAGAGGGGGATGTAAGGCATGGCAGTGGTGGGTGGGAGATGGACTAAACTCATTGTCAAGTTAATAGAAACTGTAATCTCAAATTATATTAAAAAATAAACAACTTGCATTTATATAGCACTCCTCACCCAGGCGAGCGTCCCAGAGCGCTCAACAGAATTACACAACGGAATATCAAAACAACTACTTTTGGCTGCGCGGGAATCTTCAGTCAGAATGGTTGCCATTGGCTTCTGAACTTTTGAGAAAAGTGGCCATTTGATGGGTTGATGATTTGAGCTCGCGGCTGTCCATTCACTCTGCTGTCCCTGTGGCAGTGAGGAGCCAAACAAAGGACGCCCAAACACAGAGATGACTTTTAAATATGTTTTCCTTCCTATGTTAAACATCTCACTTACTCTCTCTCGCTCTCAATTCATTGGCATGAATTGAAAGACAAAATACCACAAACAGCTGAGTCTTAGAAAAAAGTGTGTGGTTTCCTTCCATTGATTTCTCTTGCGTTACTGACCAGCTGTCATATTTGACCATATTCTTTGATTAACCCAACTGAATTGCGTTCAGAACAGTCAGTGCTGGGGAGAAATTTTCTCACAGCGTAAATAAAAGGTCTTTGCCTAACCAATGTGCCTGACCAGTGCCGCCTCGGAACATTGGCAAATCTCCAGGAGCTGGCATTGGCACATCGGCCCACCAATGCCACGTTTCTGCTCACTCTGGGATAATGATCATCTGCCTTGCGAGACTCCATTCCCCACTCTACTCCAATTATTCCTTTCCAAGGCCTGGAATTCCACCCAGTCTTAGCCCACCAGGCCATTTTGTCTTCAAGTTTAAGATCGGGCAGTCACACAAAACTCTTCAGTCTTGATGCAGCTTTCATCGGTTCTTTAAAAAGCAGCGGCTTCCAAATCGAGCCTGAATCTACAATTTTCTTTCACAATTCTGCCCACTAATAAATTTTAAGCCAAAGTGGTCTCATGGGCCAAGATGGGGTTCAATTTGCAGGCCTCTCTGTTCCTCGTTAGAGCTCCCCATGGGATTGCATTGCATGTACTGTGCAGTGGTGGTGTGTGTGTTTTGGGAGCGGGTGCGGGAGGAGGGGGGGAATGTGTAGTGCAAACACCTTAGAAGGATGGACATGCAAGGCAATGCAGGAGTGGCACCCAGGTCTCAGCTGACTACAGCCCTGAGGTTTCCTGTGTTGCGTGAATCAGATCATTACTGAGTTCCAGTAGGAAGTTGCTCCTTGATACATTAACCCGAGCCAGAAATCAAGACTCACAGAGTTCGAACAGCAAGTTAATCCAGTATTGTCCCCAGCAGCATTTTAAATGCACCTCAAAACTGATCCACACAAGCCAAGGCGTTTGATGCAGTGCGGCTGAGAGAGATGGAGTGTCCGCCTGTTTGGGGTGGGGTGTAGGTGGGTGGGAAAGGAAGCAAATTACACTAGTTTAACTCCATCTAGGCTTACGCAACACAGCCAGTTTTTTTTAATACAATTTTAAAATAAATAAATTTCCAGCGGCCACTGGTCTGAAGAATGACGTTGGCGAGGCCGTTCGTGTGTGGAGGGAGCCCTGAGTATCGCGCACGGGATTCCTATTTGTTTATTTATTGTTTATTAAAAACACAAAATTACCATTGTGGGCATGCAGTAAAAATCGAGGCCATGTTATCCCAGCCAACATGAGCTAGGATCAGGCCTCGCAACTAGAGCCAAGTTTTCTGTGTATATTTACTGTATTTAATGTGAAAATAAATGTTCATTTTGAATTGGGGCCTTACTACATGCCCAGCCCCCCCCCAATGTAAACAGTGTCAGACTCTGAGCCGCGTGCTGACATCTCCCCAGTATCTATTGGGGGAAGTGTGGGGGGGAAGGCAGGTGGAATGTTTGTGATACAAACTGAGTTTCAGGCACGAACAGGCTGTAAAGAAACCGGTCATTCCTGAGGGCATTTCTTTTATAAGGACTCACTCACTGGCCACTTTGCGATAACTGAAGTGGACCTCAAACCGGCTCACGGCAACTGCTCTCAACGACGATAACAAATTACATTTGTATAGCGCCTTTCACGACAGGAGGACGTCCCAAGACACTGCTGCCACTCCATCTACTTCTGGAACTGGTTCAGTGTGGGGGAAGACAGATAGAGCGTCTGGCTCTTTTCAGTGCCTGTGTGGGGGGCTGTAGGGGAGAGGAAGGAACAGTACCGGGCACCAGCCAACACTCCCTGCGGGGGCAGGGGAGGCGGAGGGGGGCAGGTTCAGGAGCATAGGAACAAGTGTAGGCCATTCAGCCCCTCAAGCCTGTATGGCCCTGCTACTAGATCATGGCTGAGCATCGTAGGGGCTGGATAGAGGGCACGGTTGCTCACTGCACAGTCCGTCCTTAATCAAGAATAAACAATCAACCTCAAGGGTTCCTACAGTACAGCCCGGCCATTTGGTGCTTGAACACTGGTTGCCATCGATGGCATCTGACTCCTAAAAACAATACTCCACCTCAGTCCTGTACTCTCTCTCTCTCTCCCACCCCACCCCCCCACTACCCATCCCCATTTTGTTAAAAAAAAGACAAATGAAAGTGACGGGAATTTCCCAACAACAACATCGCCACCGAAAAGTGCTTAAAAGTTTCCATCGAGAAGTGGCGAAGGTGTGACACCATATTCCGGGGGGGGAAGAGGAGTGGGGGGGGGGGGGGTTGCTGCCTCTTGTGGTGTGCACATGTGGTTCTTTCTCTGCTTTTTTTCCTTTTATCCTCTTGTATAAATTAACGGCTACAGCTGGGTCGATGGAAGCTCGGCAGGAGTTTTCCTCCTCTCCCCCACTTCTCTCTCTCTCTCTCTTTCTCCCGACTGAGATGAAGTGTTCCTTAAGACATGCTGGAGCAGCGTATGGCAGGAGATCCCATCTGGGTCAGGACTTTGTCCAACCACTGCAGGGGCCCATTCAGGTGGAGCTCGATCCAGCAGGGGGTACTAGTCACGGTCTGTCGCCTGCGTGGGACAGAAAGAAGAGGTACGGACGGGGTTAAATGTTACTCACATCACCAACCGAGGTGGGGGGGAAGAAATACGCAACGACTTTTACGCAACGTGTTTTGTACGTGTGGAGACCCGCAGAGTAGTGGTTAGTGTGCTCGCCCGGCGAGCAAGCGGACCCGGGTTCAATTCAATTCACCCGGGGTGGGGTGAAACCCGCCCACAAGCCTCTGTTTATCCAGCAGTAAGTAGGAACCTGGTTGTTGGCGGATCGCTTTCCGGGGGTAATAATGACTCCCAAAAAAAATAATAACTGGTAACTCAATCCACAACTGCTTGTGGGACACTGCTGTGCGCAACTACACATTACAATATATTCTGTGAGGCGCTTTGAGACGTCTCAACGACCTGATAAGGCGCTATGTCAAATGCAAGGATTATTATATTATTATAATAATACAACATGTAAAATAAACTTTGGGGTGGGGGGGGGGGGGGGAGAGAGGCAGAGTGATTGAAGCAGGGAGTTCCAGAGGCTAGGGGCACCGCCATCCCCTTCCTTCTCGGTCACACTAACTTCAACACTGCCCGGCGAGCAGTCTGTGTGCTGTTAGCATCTGGAAACGATTATGTAACTGGCTGTGAGCCAGCTGTGGACTGGTATATGAATGTGGTGCAGAGAGAGGGGTGGGGGGGGGAAGAAAGAGAAACAGCATAGTCTCTAAACATCTGCAGGATGTAGAGGGCGGTTTGGGAGTGGGGGGGGAGGGAAGTCACCAGATCGGACACGCAGTCTCTCCTGGCTCCCGATGGTGAGTGTGAGAATCTCACATTACACACAGCTAATTCGGAGCCATTAACTGGCAACACGTCATCTACCAGAAAAGCTCCCCTCTTCCCAGAAGCTGCTTACTTCTGCCCAATGTCTTGGCCAGGAGCCAAAGCCAGCGCTGGAGAGGCCGTGAAGTGGATGGGGGGGGGGGGGGGGGGGGGAGAGTGCGCCGGGTCCTGCCAAACTACGGCCCCCTTTACAGCCATCTTGTCAATGCATTTTTCCATTAAAGAAAAATCAGAAATTCTCCTGTATAGAGGACAGTTCCCCTCCCCCTCCCCTCTCCCATTCCCACTGTATTGCTATACAGAGGACAGATGCCCTCCCAACACAAAAACACGAGGAGGCTGTTCAGCCCTGTGTGCCTGTTCCCCAGCGCCCCCCACCTATCCCCCTCTCTCTCATGCAGAGCCCCCCCCCCCCCCCACCCCCACTGTTTAGCTGTAGACTGTAAGCTCCTGTATGGTACCTGTACTCCGCTCCCCAGCCCTTGACGAAGCTCATGCGGATGGTACACATCCTGGTCAGTTGATACACAGCCTCGAAGCCCTGGTTCACAGACTGTGACAGGAGGGCGGCAAACTCCTGGTTATTAAAGATCTTCAGATTGCAGCCTGCTCGGGGAACAAGCAAAGCGTTAGCGGAAACCCGCCAACCATCCTCTCCTGATCGCTATCCACTGAACACATCTCTTCCCCCCACCCACCACCACCACCACCACACACCACTGTATAATGCTTTGGCTCGACTGGCTCTGACCTCCTGCACGTCTATCCCTCGTGCCCTCCGTTCCACCATGGGCGGCCGCACCTTTCGCCACAGCGCCTCGAATGTCCGGAACCCTCTTCCTCCATCCCTCCCTCCGCCTTGCCTTGCCCATTCCTTCCCTCATCTTCAGGTCGCGCCTGAGGACCTTCCCCTTCGACCGTGCGTGCTTGCGGTCTCCTCCCCCCCCCCCCACTCCCTCCCCGCCCGGCTGGGCGTGGCGCTCCACCACTGAAGAGCACTCGTCCCAAGACCCTCCTCTTCGGTCTCGCCCCACCCGCTGCGGACACAGCAGTCACCTGGAGGGATCTTGCAGACAGTGGCCGGGTGCCAACCGTAACGCTGGTTGCAGTTCGGACTCTGGACAAAGATGGCACTGTCGCTGAGACACTCGGCAAACACCTCACCTCCAATATAGTAGAGCCTCACTCCTCTACCTGTAACATACAGGGGGGGCCGAGCGGGGGGTCAGTACTCATTAAAAGACCACCCTCCCCACCACCACCCTTTACACAGCACTGCACTAGGGCGACATTTACGGAAGACCTTGATGCCCATTCCATCAGGGACTACATTAAGAGCAGATTCACACAGTGAACCCACCCTCACCAGGAATTGGGTTCAGTCTCCGCCCAAACCAAGAAGCCGTAAAATATGTTCCCAGTTGAAGTGGATCTGTTCTCTGGTGTCAACCCAGAAACGAGCTCACGCAATACACACACACAGTTATTTTTGATCGACATACAGGGTGGTCCTTTTTCAACAACAACAACTTGCACTTATATAGCGCCCTCCACGCAGGACATCACCACAGAGCGTTTCACCTTATATTCCTCACTGTGTCAGGAGCCCAATGTCCCGTCCGCAGCCTGTTGCCGTGGTGATTATACAGTCAATTCACTTTACGGTGTATCCTGTGAAGCGCTTTGGAAGACGTCTGGAAGACGTGATGAGGCGCTGTGTCAAATGCCAGGGATATTATTTTATTATTATTATTATTATTACCGATGTGCCGTCGTGTCAGCTCCACGGCGGAGTTGCGGTTGACGTTGGACAGCAGCCCCAGGCAGAAGCGCTCGGAGTTGGAGGGGTCGGTGAAGCCGTCCACGGTGAGGGAGGGCTGCGAGGCGTGGAAGGTCTCACCCACCCGCTGGTTCAGCTCGTAGTACGCGATCGAGCACCAGAAGGCGGGCTCACAGTAGGTGACGGGCTGGAGGTCTGCGGTGGGGAACCAGGAGAGAGGCGTGAGCCGGCATGTGGAGTAACAACTTGCATTTATTATAGCACCCGTGTAGGGTATTAAGCTTAACGCTTCATACTGGCGTGATGGTTCATCACGGAATCATCACGCCAGTGTGTTTTACAAAAATGTACAACCAATTCTAATAGGGTTTCTGTGCTGGTGCTCACTCCGCTCCCCCCCCCCCCCCCGGAGCACTCTACTCTAACCCCATTCCCTGCTCTCTCCCCATCGTGTCTGTGCTGGTGCTCGCTCCCCCCCACCCCACTGGAGCTCTCTACTCTAACCCCTTTTCCTGCTCTCTCTCTCGCCCATCGTGTCTGTGCTGGTGCTCGCTCCCCCCCACCCCACTGGAGCTCTCTACTCTAACCCCTTTTCCTGCTCTCTCTCTCGCCCCATCGTGTCTGTGCTGGTGCTCGCTCCCCCCTACCCCACTGGAGCTCTCTACTCTCATTCCATTGACAGCTTCTCTCACTGGGCACTGTAACTCAGACTATCAGTGTTGTGCTTTGGTAAAACTCAACCTCTTGTTCCCCTGCGGGACAGCGTGCAGGGCAGTGAGTCACTGCAGGCAAAACAACATGAACTTAGGCTCAGAGCCAACAAACTCCCTAACCTTGGGGTGAACTTCGCCCTTGGCGATGGCTCACATCATTTGGAAATCACTGAGCAAATCATAAATCTGAGTCAGTTATCTCTAATATCCCCCCTCCCCCCCCCCACCCCGTTCTCCCTCCCCCAGCCCAGCACGCTGGGAAATGTCTTCAAAGTACATCTCAGGAAACACTTCCCTTCTACCCTCTCCGCCCACCGCTGACCCAGGAGTTTATCCTGTGGATCGCTGAGTCACGGACACAGGAAGATCCCAAGTTTGATTTCCCCTGCTACCCCCCCCCCACCCCCGATTAGTGCTGAGTTAGTCCACTGGCTGCCCCTCCCCTCACCTGGATCAGTGCCCACTGTGCACCCACAAACCCCATTCCCGGCTGTCTCCCCATGGTGACTGTGCTGGTGCTCGATCCCCCACTGGAGCTCTCTACTCTAACCCCATCCCTTGCTCTCTCCCCACACCCTTCACTATTATTCTCCACAGTAGGCTATGGATTCCAGAGCTGCTTGTGACCAGCCAGGGAATAACCATTTCCCTGATGAACCAAGGTCTCTGCTTTGAGTCTCAGATCTCACACCCCTGACACACAGACACTTACCCAAGTTACTGTGAGTGGGCGACAAGGGGTTCGGAGATAGGTCGGCAGCGGAGCCTGAACGAGACGGGAAACAGCAGTAAGAAAAACGTTCACAAAGTCCCTGGACAACCTCTCTTGATCCTCGCTAACCCTCGCTTCCCATAGTCTGTCTGATGCCCACAGTGTTGAGTGTGTTCAGTTAGAGAAGCTACTGTGAGACTGTGGGTACAATTGGGTTTCTGACCATTTCTCACTATAAACCCTCCAGGCACCTGCCCCTAACCCTAATGACATGGCATGGAAACGAGCCATTCAACAAGCTAGTCTGTGCCAGCGTTTACACTACACACAATCCAAATCTCCCTCTCCTCTTCATTTCTCGATGCACCCAACATGTTTCCTCTTTCACATTAATGTTTCTTCCTTCAACCCACAGCTTCCGGCAGCGAGTTCTGCATTCTCACTGTCCTGTGTGAAGAAGTTCCTCCTAAACCCCCTGTGAGATCTGCTGCTAGTTTATCATTTATAATCCCTTCGTTTCAGATTCCCCAAACAGTGAACACAGCCTCCCAAACCTCCCACCTCACCAATTCCTTTCACAATCTTAAGCCAGGTCCTCCTCTCTACTATCTTCATTTCCAGAGAGTAAAGCTGCCCTGTCTAGGCTTACCTGCTGCCGTCTCTCCCCCCCTCACACTCCCCTCCCCCCGCGGGAACATGGCTGCTTTTACCTGTGTCCATGCTGTGGTTCATCTGGTGGTCGCTGGTCTCGCCATCTTCACTGATGTAACCGGGCGGTGGGGTTTCTGACAACAATAAATACAAATGATATTTACACGGCGGCTTTCACATCGGGGGGGACGTCCCCAGGCGCTGAATGCTCAAGGATTTTCACCCGAGCTGGGGGGTTGGGATCAGGACGGGTGGCTCCTGGCTGCCGTGCTGTACAAAATCCACAGTCACTACCTGGGATGTAGTTGCTCTGGGGTTCGATGCCGGCCGGGAAGTTTGTGTTCTCCGGGATGGAATGTGTGTAGTCATCGAGAGGCGGGAATTCGGACGGGATTTCTGTGTGTCTGGGTACGAGGACCGGCGGCAGGACTGCAGGAGGAAAACAAACACTAAAGCTTTAAACAATAAGACTTTTTAAGCTTAGAATAACAACCGCCGCCCCCCCACCCCACCCCCTCCACCAGCAGGAGCTGAGGGGGATGATTCCCAGCCTCCAGAGTGTGTGTGGGGGGAGGGGGGAGTGTCTGTGTTTGTGGGGGGGGGGGCAAAAGAATAGATTATCAATTCTCTTGACGTCCAGCCTCGATCATGCCCCCACCCCCCCCGCCCCACACCCCTGGAGTGTTGGTTTAGCATCTGCTCCCCACCCCTGCCCACAGCCTCTCCGGCAGCCGCTGTGTGTGTGCACTCACCGGGGGTCTCCACTCGCTGGTAGTGATAGGGGTTCACGCACACCTCGTCCTTCTTCATGTGGAAGGCGAACTGGCACATCTCCACGGCCTGCAGCTCGTGGTGGCTGTGCAGGTCTGGCCACCGCCACAGACGGCAGTAAATAACGTGGGGGAGACCCTTCCTGTGGGACACCTGCAACCGGCCATCCAGGGACCTATGGGGGAGAGAGAGACACACAGTCAGTCTCACACACACAGTCACACACACACAGTCACACACACACACACACACACACATAAACACATACAAATGCATTATATATTTGGTTCCGACCCTCACAGACAATAACTCCCTGTTGCCCAGGTTAACCCTCAGCCTCTCCACTCCAGTGAGAGAACCCCAACTTGTTACGTCTCAAGACCAATGGAAGCTTGCGGCACTAGGGCCATGGGAATGCCCAGTGATATCCTGCGTTTGTTGGCAGGTACAGAGAGAATCTGTCTCAGGTCAGGCAGAGAGACATCAGAGCATCAGAACGCCTTGACCCTGGGCAGGGGATGGCAGGAGGCCAAGTGGGGTCTCCAGGCTCCGGCTCAGACAGCAACCATCAGCCGAACGGCCGTGAGCGGGGAGAGCGGCCACTATCTCCTCTACAGAGCTATTTATAAAGTGTTTAGACAGCAGCCCCGACCTTAAAATAGACACTTCTCTTTGAAAGAAAACACACACATGCAAGTACACTCACACACACATACGTACACTCACACACACCCGTGCACACGTGCGCTCACACACGTGCACTCACACACACACATGTGCACTCACACACACACGCACATACACACAGAAAGATAAAAGATTCACCCAACTGGCCAGCCCCTCCTCACATGGGCCCCTGCGTGGACTCCCTTGATCTTCCCTTCCTCCTACACCCCACAACACTCCTCACCTCCCTTGCTCTTCCCTTCCCTGTTTGCAGAACGCTCCTGCGTGTAAATTGGCCGCCAGCTTCACCTTGCAAGATACTTCACTTTACAGTAATTGCTGTGAGGCGCTTGGAGATGTCTCGGTGACGTGAATCAAATGCTCAATCAAATGCAGATTATTATTGTTATTGTAATGCTGCGCTCAGGCCTGTTACTTGTCGTGGCTGTGTTTGAAGGGGAGCGAATGCTATCTCACACCCGGTATCCTGCGACTCTTATTTGAGCCGAGTGTTTGTCTGAGTGTTGGCCTGGCTCAATGGGTCACACTCTTGCCTCTGGGACAGAGGTGGTTGGTTTGAGTTCCCAATCTGTTAAAGATCCCGTGACACTATATGCTGTTAAAGAGAAGGGCTTTTCCCCTGGTGTCCCCCATCAACCATCCAAATAATTTGCTCATTCAATTCACGGGCTCCTTGTGGGAATCTTACTCGGCACCAAGAAGTTGCCTGCAAACACACAGTCACTACACTTAATTATCTGTGATGCACTTTGCGATTTTCCGTGGTTATGGGCACTTACTATTATTGAAGGGAACAGCATGTATCTTCTTTTCACTAACAACTGGGTTTGTGTTTTGTGGATCTTCACTGCAATAGCCAACATCTGATCAGGGTTTCTGTAAATGATTTGTATTCTGCCTTTCGCTCCCACACCCCCACACACTCCACATCCAGCCACAACATGCTTTTATGTTTACTCAGAGAGAGAGAGAGAAAGAGAGACGGACAAAACAAAAAGAGAGGCGTAGAGCAAGAGAAAGGAAGAGAACAACAAAACAACAAAATTACATTTATGGAGCGCCTTTCACGTCAGGAGAACGTCCCAAAGCGCTGACTGGAGAGGACATGCAAATGGAGAGAAAGGGAGAGGAAGAGAGAGGAAACTCCTGGATTTCAATCCCAAATTCCCGGACTTTTGACAATTTAGTTTCCGGAGAGCACGGGGACTGGATCTCGCTTCACTCCATCTATATTTCCGTTTTTAAAAGAGACAGAGAGAGAGAAAGATACATCCTAAGGCAATCTCTCCTCACGGCTCTGTCCTCTATTCTCTATCAATCCTCCTCTGCGCCCCCTTTAATTCACAACTAAAAAATCAACCCCCTACCACCACCTTGTTTGAAAATTGCCAACGTCCCGCAGGTTTACAGAGTTAAGATTTCGACCTTCGAAGTGTAAAAGGACAACTATCCCCGGCTGCACAAAGCTAGCTTTCTGTTGAGAAGGAGATAGATTGGAAGGTTCGTGCTTTGAGTTTTGGGAGCCTGGCGAGATATGTATCATCGACAGATCCCAAACGATGATACTCGCGGCACCAACATTAACATACACCCCCTCGGGCATCCCCAGCTCCACAAGCCTGGGCCGCGTGTGACTCATAAGAACACAAGAGACAGGAGGAGAGCTTTCGCCCATCTGGCCTGTTCATAATTTATATTATAAATTTATAATAATAATCCTTACATTTGACCCAGCGCCTAATCACGTCTTCAGGACGTCTCAAAGCGCTTCACAGAACATACTGTAGAGTGGAGTGACTGTGTATTTTGTGAGCGAAACCCGGCAGCCAATTGCACACAGCAGCGTCCCACAAACAGTCGTGGACTGAGTAACCAAATTATTATTGTTTTTTTAAGGGATTATTACCCCCGGAAAGCGATCCGCCAATCAACTAACAACCGGATTCCTACTGACTGCTGGTAAACAGAAGCATGTGTGTGGAGTAACAAAACTTGCCTAAGGTTTGCCCCCCCCCCCCCCACACAGCACTGTGCTGCACTGGAGCATCAGCCTCGACTGAAAGACTTGAACCCCAGCCTTCTGACCCAGAAGCGAGAGCGTGAGCGGCTGAGTGAGACTGACACGCTGCAATTAATCAACGTGCCCGGCCAAAAACAATAAGCTGAGACTAATATTTCTGACAGCTTGGCCTGGACACAAGGCACAGGCTCTCTGGTGAGAGCACGTGAGTTCACCACATCTGGTGTGATTTGTCTCTCAAAGGGCTTCACTTTCCCCAATGCACGAGCTCACTGCTCACACACTGTCTATGTATAGTGTTACACCATTAAAGGCCGTCTCTCTCACACATACACACAACCATATACACTCTCGCTCACACAGACTCTCGCACACACACACACACACACAACCTATCTCACACATACATTCTCTCACATACTTATACACACATACACTCACACACACACACTCACTGATGACACACTTCAGTCTCACAGGAGGAGGTGCTATTTTGGGGTACCTAAACAGGGAGTAGGGAGCTCACAGCTATTTGCGGAGCAGTAGGTAATGGACAAATTTTACGTTTCCTGAAGCTTAGTTGACAGCATTGGTCACAGACAAGCCTCGCGATCACCCTGACCATTCCCCCCCTGCTCGGGTCCCAACCCAACTGTCCAGTGCCTTGGGACGACCTCTCGACGTGAAAGGCGCTCTATAAATGAAATCTTGTTGTTGTTGTTCGAAATGCTTCTAACCCACAGCTAGTGTGGCACTGAGCAAGGCAGGGCCTGGCAGGGCTGGCTTCAGATACTAGTGTGAGTGTCTGCAAGTGAGTGTGTGCCCTACCATTGGTGGCTCAGTCCACACTCTCAGAAGCTCCTTCCCTCCCCACCACCAAGGTCCTGTCTGTGCCCTGTTCAGGTGGCCATTAACTCGCAAAGAGAAGGGAGCTTCCCTCCCAACCCCCCTCCCAGCGAACATTGGTCAGTGGCTTCTCAGCTGTTTGTGGGATGTGGCTATGGGCAAAATGCAGCTTTACTGCACTTTACATTGAAGTGCTTAGAAACGTCTATAAGATGCTATATTAAAGGAAATATTATATAATAATTATTATTAGATCATTGAACCCTTGAGCGTTGGAGCTAGGCGCTACCAGTCACGCCCAACTGAGACCTTTGGTAACCACCTCGTTTCCCCACAAGGTTCAGCGCTAACAGGTCCTGGTGTTAACCTACCCAGCGCCATGACAGATCCAAGAGCTATCCCATCAGGCACTTTACCATCCCAAACTGCATGATGGGAGAGCTCAGCTTTGGTGGCCCTTGGTGACGGTGCCATCAATCTCTAATACAACAACAACTTGCGTTCATATCGCACCCTTCATAACATAGAATAAAAAGCAAAGCCAAAAGTAAAATGTCCCCCAAACAAACAGCACAGCCCGGGGCCTGAAACATCGACACATCTGGAAATCTCGGTTGGGTTTTACGATGACATTAGCTTCTTTAATCCTGATTATAAACACATGGACATCCCTGGCATGTCAGCAGCCTAACGCGCCTGCACCAATCACTGACATGGGCTCAGCGGGGCCCACGTAAAACAATTACAGAGATAAATCACTCCGTACCTCGAATGGGATTGTGAGCGAGTGTTCAGCCCTGTAATTAGGCAGAACAGTTTTTTTTTGCGACGGGAGGTGAATAAAGTAACGTTTCTTCCTAAGAACAAAAAAAAACAAGGCTGCTATTGCGTGCTTCAAACCGGAGCTCTCTCGGCTCCGAGTCCGAAGGTTGTGGGTTCGAGCCCCACGTCGTGGACTTTGACATAGTCTCGGCTGACGCTCCAGGACAGAGCTTCGGGGGGAGCCCTGCACCGTCACAGCCACTGTCCCTTCAGATGAGATGTTAAACTACGGTTCAAATAGAACCCGCACAGACTGCTGGGCAGCCAGACAACAAATTACAGCGCCTTTCACGATGGGAGGACGGGACGACATCCCAAGGCAACTACACTGTTTTAACACAGTCAATAGATAGTTAGTCTATCGTTCAGTCAATAAATAGTCATGGGGTGGTGGGAGGGGTGGGGGGAGGGTCACTAAATTCACAGAGATTAAGAGAACAGTGGAGAGAGAAATTGTAATCAAACTGTGGTCAGAGAATTGTCTCAAGTCACTGGTCGGTATCTCTGTGCACGGAGCCTGGCACACGTTATTGGCTCAGGTTCAGACATGGGACCCGGGAGTCTTGTGTACGAAAAGGCTGAGGTCTTTATTCTTCCACAAGTCAAGCCCAAAGTGATTGAAGTAAAAGAAAAAGACACGTTGAGGCTGAGCCAAGCTTTGAGGCTGATCCACATTCTCGCTCTGGCACCAGTTCAATGGCTTTTATGGGATCAGTTCATTGAGCCAAGCCAATAAGGGCGGTTTCTTTAACCTGCTCTTAAAAGTGGTTCAAACAATGTGGAAAGAGGCACAACAAATG